AAAGCAAACTATTCCTAGTGCCTGATATCCAATAACTGAGGGCTCACACTTTGGAAAGATAATTGAGCACTACCCTGTACTCTTTCTAATCAAAATGGTTATAACTGGATAAAATTATCGATCTGTTGGCTATTGGGTATGGGAACGTTCACATATTACGTAATAAAAGATGGGTTGAGCCATAAACTATCCCTTAATAGTGAAAACTGTTCTAGGTACGATAGAGGACAATACTTTCTGAACGACCTAATGGTGGCAAGCTATTTTATTTTGCAATTCAAATAAAAATTCATAGGCATCATGCTTTTTACAACCAGAAATTTTGTGCCCAAAAGAAATTATGATTTATTGGAGCCAAAAATCTTGACAACTTTTTAAAAAACTTTGTACGGAATTTGTTGAGAATACATGCCCTCATGTACGAACCTTCTTCAAAACTTAATGGAAAGTTAAACCGGCTGTTTTGAAAAAATACGGGTTTCAAATATACAACTAATTATTAAATATTCCAATCTTTCTTAAAACTTTTGTTCCGGAATAATGACTGTGCATTTTCTTAAGAAATTCTTTATCCTTTTTACCATGTCTACGCACAGTTTCTCATGCACTGGCATCATATCTTTTGTAAATGATTTGTAACTCTAGCGTAGAGGCAGGAGCAACACAGTCATTAGGCTAGCAGGTGCTGAGGCACTCCTTTACTTTTTTCAAAGATATGCTGCAAAACTTTCGAAAATTTATGAGAGTTCGTCAAATTTCTAAAGATTTCGAGATCGATTTTAATCGAAAAGAATCTCGTCTCCTAGGCCAGAGGAGTTGCTTTCTTTGTAAGATAGTGTCTCGCTAGCTGAAAAATCATCATTTGATACCTAAAATTGAGGGCAATACATCATTTGGTACCTACAAATTTTGTCAGCCGTGTAGACGTTTCAAATAAAGTCAATTTGACTGAGAATCTTCTTCATTCCAATGCCAATTGTGAATAAAAAACTTTTATTTTCAACATGGGGCATGTTCCGACATCTAAATAGGGTGATTTCAAAAATCCCCCGTTTCCTTTCCTGTGACAATGCTTTCAACAAACTGATTCTCAGCCAAAGCAAAGTTTTTCCGAGCCCGTTTACAAGCCCTAAAGTTTTGTGACTTCAGCACCTATTGGCGCCCTTTTGGCTGCTTTCTCCAGTGGGTCAAATGGTTGCCAGTCCGCCACTGGAGTGGACCCACAAATTTATTTGGGACCTTGATCAGTTTTACATTCCAAAGAACTGCAGATCATTTGACGGTACTTGATTGTGTCTTCAAACATTCTTCTTAAGTTTCTTGTTGTTTATAAACAAACTTGGCAAGAAGGCCCTGTGGTTTTACAAGGTTTTACGAGAAATTTCCCTGTATATAATGAAAATCTAATCAAAACTTCGAAAGATACTTATTTCTTCACATCACTTGAATTTTTTATATACTGGGGGCTGGTCCGATCCATCCGATATTTGGGGAAAAGAATTTTCTTCTTGATCTGATAATTCTGGGTACCTGGTTTGATAATAATATTCCTTTTTGATATTATGGGTCCAATGAATACATAACAATATCAAAAACAGGAATAATAGATATGTTCAAACTGATTATTATAGGAAACAGTCAAAATTACTATGACTAATGGTATCTTACATGCTAAACAACAAGATTTGATATTTTGATATATTGTGTCTTTGAAAATTTTTAACTAATAAATTTAAGTCTGTAAAATTTGTTTTCGATACTTTTAGGTGAATTTTGATGAATGCAGATGGACCTCACCGTACAAAAAAGTTTAAGCAACTCCCTGGGCCCCATACACCCCTGATCACAGCAAACCCCGTATGAAGTAAGAATATTCAATTTCAGATACGTTTTCGGTCCCGGTGTTACCTGAAACCGAATTCTTAAGGACTACACTTATTTTTTTCTAAAGAAACAAGGGTCGATATTTTGTACTCCAGTTGCTTAATGTTCTGGGAGATTCATAATTATGATATCAAGAATGATGTTATGAAATGTTCCTGACCTTTTTCTCATGTCAAGAGATTTGCTTCCGTTCTGACGCTGTATTTAGATGTGGGAAGTATATTTTTATCCCTTGTGTCTTAAGTTTTAGGCCAACGGGGCAATCATGTTCTTGGATTTCATTGTCCTCAGCTTTATCACGGTTTAATGTTTCTTATTTCTTCGAGTACTAAAGTTTCTGAAATCTTTCTGACTATCCAGTACTCGTTTCTTATAACCAGTTTCTTATAAAAAGAAATGAGTGTATGCCTCTTGGATTGTTGGCAAACCAATGTATTGGGTATACAGTCAATACTTTATGGCAGGGCCAGCATACTAAGGTCTTAGACAGTGCCACTAACGCGTAAGCCTCATCGCAAAAGAAATGGAAACGAATAAAAATTAACAATATTCACCTCATTACCGGGACACCTGAACATAATACAGGAAAGGGTAGGGCTAAAAGACTTCGGGGAGGGGGGCTCGATATGTTAAACTCATAAGCAGGTTAATTGCATAATGCTTTTTTTATTTTAGCATAATATTACCCTGGGCTAATTGTGGCCAAAACATAAAACGTTGAACTATTCATTGAACCTGGATTTGTTTCTCCTGCTGTGTAGCAAGAAGTTTTCACTGAAAGAATATGAGAACCTAATTTTGTTTGCAAAAAATGGAAAAGCAATAAAAGTTTGAGCAGTACAAATATATGTCATGTGAAACAGTCCTTCGAAAGTTGATGGCAAAAATAAAACTAAACTGTAACACATAGAGCGGGTAAAATGATGGTTTGAAAATAAACAAGGTCCAGATATTGTCTTAAATTGATACTACATACCTTCATAATATTATGTGTCATCATCAAGTGCCTCGGATCTGATTGCGTAGGATATTTCTACTGGGATAAGTACACCAGTCTTCGATAAAAAATGTTTTGGAAGCCATGTTGTTTTTCAAATCGAAAAGTTTAGACGGCACGTGCGTTGCAGGGCATGATGGGAAGGCAAGTCTCCTTCGTAGGAGAGAAACATGAATATTGAAACAAATCGAGTAAAGATGTAGTGATTTGAGTGATTTTTTCGGCTTATTGCGATCTAATCAGAGATGTATTCCTATGTGTAGAGGTGGGGAGGAACTATTCCTCAAACCCTCTTAATAAACAAACACCAAAAAGAGGGGCCTAACAAAGACTTTTGTTGAGAAACTATATGCATATTTTCTAAGATATTGTGCTAAGGAGGCACAGAAAGGCCCCTTGTTAATGCCAATTTCTACTCTGGTAATTGTTTTCGCAACACTTTACAATAGGATTACACTGGATACTTTGATAATTTCGACAGCACTACATCCCTGGATTTTATGCACCAACATTGGAGAGACATTCAGATAGGGATGAAGAAAAAACGGCACACAAAAAGAACCTACAAGTTCTAATAGTTAAAGCACACATTGGAATTCTTCATTAAGAAAGACATTTTTCACATTAAAGAACTATGCAAGCTCTCCTTGACTAGCGTCCATGAATAGCTATGTAATCAATTCGCTATCCTTTTGAAGGAGTCTATTGTGGGATGCCCTTAGTGATGACTCGGAATTGAAAACGCCCATCATAAAGTTTAAAAAGAAAATACAATAATTGGATACCAAAAATTGCTACTTTTGCATTTGGATTTGTTACAGTTAGTTGGATAGGTTTCTTAAACTCATTCAGCTGGTTTACAAATTCTTTTATCGCTCAAAACAACCTTAAATTGCGTTCCCAACACTACTTCGGTGTTTCGGAACAATTTCTTGCTTATAATTTGAAAAAAGAACCTAGTCATTTTCCAAAAAAACCTATGACACCAGACCTCCAAAATTTAAAAAATTATCAATTTTCCTAAGTATGCTTTGCTCAAAACAACCTACAATGCCTTAATTTACTTCGCAACATCATTTAAAGTGGAATGAATCATTTATCATTTGAATGAATTTCTAGCTCACATTCTAAAGAAAGGTCCTAGTCATTTTTAAGAAATCCATGTCCCCAGACCTGCAAGAAAGTTTAAAAATTGTCAGTTTTCACAATTCATATTTTCGCTCGGAACAACTTAAAATGCCTTTTAGTGAGGATAAATAGTCACTTATATAAAATCCCGTATATTCATACATTTTATATCTTTTTAGATGCTCTTTCGGCAAAAGAATCTCCCGTCAATTTTCTCATCAGAAAAATGCAATTTTGCCAACCCTATATCCTCACTTTTTTTATCAAAAACTTGTAGGCTCGTTAAAAGGGTGTAGATGAAATCTTATATGAGAATTTAATAGAAAAAACCAATAAAATCCCGTATATTCTTTCATTTTATGTCTTTTTGGATGCATCTTTGGCAGAAAAACCTCACATCGGAATGAGGCAACTTTAGTAAGGCTATAGCCTCACTTTTACCAAACATTTGAAGTCACGTTGAAAGGATCAGGATGGATCCTATAGTGGGGATAAAATGCCTTTTTAGATACTCCTTGGGCAGAAAATATCCAAATAAAAAGAGGCCAATTCGTCAAACCTATAGCCATATTTTCAAAAGGGGCAAATGCAGCCATTTGTACTGTGAAGCCAAATACGTACATAAATCTTCAGTCTGGTCAAAGCATTGAACACAAAACGAATAATGAATGAACTTAAAGTATTTCAAATATATCCATCCACAATCGTGGCCAAAACTCATTGGTACTGGATTAAACATTTGGCATGCTATAAGCTGTTCCCCAGAAACAAAGGGACATATCGATTTCTCCTCTCCCCTTATATCAATGCTGGTGTGGCGAGAGAGCTGAATTTCCAAGCATTCAATCTGAGCTCATACAGTCCATTCAAAAGTGATATGGGGGGGGGGGAGTTGAATAAAAAAGGGTTCAAATCTGTAATACAGTTCCGCGATTGCAGTCTTGATGATTAGCTGTTTTGAAAAACAGTAGATTGCTAAGAAAACACGGTATGATAAATTAACTTTAGATAAATTGATTTCTGAAAAAAAACAACTGTTGCTTGTAAGAAATCTGTTTATACTACGGTTCCCTTGTTTATTAACAAGGTTCGAAAGTATCCATGACACTACCGTGTACGGGGGTCTGGCTTTAGGCACAAGTATGTTTGATTTGCGGCAAATAAATTGGTTCCAAAGTTGCCGGGAGACAAACAACCAACTGACGACTTAAACCGACATTTGATGGCATCTGGCCAAGATCAGCTTGTCAATGATTTAAACCTTTGGAAGACTTCAAGGATATGCGACTCTAAATCAGTGGTGAAAAGCAAACTGGCCAGCGTGTCTTCATACTTTTGGATCTCAGAATGGTACTGAAAAAGAAATAGAAAAACTGAAAAAGAAGATAGAAGTAGCATTGGAAAGGAAGATAGAAGTATTATTGGGAAGGAAGATAGAAGTTCTAACGGAAAGGAAGATAGCAGAATTAAAGAAAGGAAGATATCTTAATATCTGGAAAGAAAGAAAGAAGTTCTAATTGAAAGGAAGATTGCAGAGATACGTAAAAACAAAGTGCAGTATAAATGGAAATCTGAATAGTGGCATTTATGGAAAGGAAGATAGCAATTGTCATGGAAAGGAAGATATCGGAATTAATGGAAAGGAACATAATTGCTTTGAAGGAAGATCCTGAGAAGTATTTTATGAAATTAAAGCTCGGTAAAAAGGTTACAGCATGTTGTAAGACGAGAAAATGCATTTGGACAATGTAGAAAGCAACATATGAAGAAAGACTTGAAAATTAAGGAATTAAAATAAATGTCTCTGGTCAAGAGGCCTTTTAAGTATGCAAACGAATGTATTTTGGATGCATTACTTACAGTTAAAAAGATCTCCTGGAGCCTCTGCAAGGTAAATCTGAACCACGAGTTGAGCTTGCTTTTCTGCTGTTGCTCACATTGTACTGCATGCTCAGTTAGAACAAGGATGAACCGCTGCAGGAGACAAAAATTAATGACGTCATACAGTGATAAAAAGCACGCAGTTTTTATATGAATTACAGATCGAAAAGCGTGTAATCAGGGTATTCATTAATTTTTTAAGTAGAAAATTGACAATTAAAAGCAGGCATCTATAAGTTGACTGAAGTTTGTGCAGTCTTACTAAAGTGAGGGTGAAAGTAAGCGGCGAAGGTTTTGGGAGCAAGCCGTGGACCTTCTAATGAAATCCCTGTGTAATACAGATAAAAATAAGACGAGTAAGTCTGCCACTAGACGGAGAATGTCGTTTTGCTACGGCATGAGAAGAAGAATGCGTCTTTTCTTTACACATTAAATTGACAGCTGACAGAAACTTGTATAATTTGTGGGTGTTTGTAGCATTTTGGCCTTAATTAACCATTACACCTAACGTTTTATCAAGGCTCTTTCGCCATTCAGCTAAACGCGTATTTTTCAAAGCGCCATGGTCACAACAGCGGGAGACTTAAAGCCACAGGGAAACAAGTTTGGTATTGGGACAACCAAAATAAAGAAAGAAACAACACAAGTAAGTCAACTAATTTATCATGGATTTCAACAAACGATTAGATGTTCTCCGCGGAAATAATTTTAAAAGTTTCAAAATGAAGCAGTTGGGATATGAAGTCTCCATGAATAAACTAACTAAGCATATCTTTGCAATCGCCCAATTTAAAATTTTCACGAGGAAGACAGGCATACCTGGAAAAGTATCAAGAAGAGCTCTTTCTGGTCTCGTTCTGCATTCTCCAGCCTCTCTGACAGCTCATCCGTCTCATACTCTTTTTGCTCAATCTCAGCATTCATGTCCTCCTTCGCAGAATCCTCTCCGCTGTCACTGCTCGAATCTCCCTATAACGATAATGGTTAAAAATGTTCTATCAAGATCTTGAGGGGAGGGATGTGGATCAATACATGGAAGTTTTCGATGAAAATCGACAACTGAAGACAAGAAAAATTGTTTTAACAAGTCTACCGAGAATTCTCCAAGAACCCATAAACCTATAATCTACCTCACCTTCTCTCTTCCCCTACCAACGCAAGCTCTTCTCACCGTACCGTAAACTATTACAGCTTTTTCTTCTTCTACGAACGGTTAACACAAAAAAAGTGCTCAATCGCTTACCTGCTTTTTGGCTTTCTCTATTAGTCTGTTCATTTTTTCTTTTGTATCTTTGAACTCTTTAAGAACCTAGCAAAAAACTCCAATCTTTTACAACATAAAAATGTTCCCTGATGTCCATAATATCTTTGGAATAATTTCCATTCTAAAAATGTTGAATAGTGAATTTTGATTACGATATTTCAAAACTGCTCCGATTTCATATTCATCGAATTCTGAGAGTTCATTTGTGAAAACATTCAACAACTGTTTGAGGTTCTGTGCCAAACAATTTTAAAAAAGTTTATGCTTTCTTCACCTGCTTCTAATGAAAATGGGTTGGATTTTGATTTTTATTGAAGGGTCGAATTAAATTTAACATCGTTGTCCCATAGTTACTAAAATACTTTTGAGAAAGTTCGTTCTCACAAAGACCAAACTTTTTCTCTTGGCTTTTCACCCTCTAAGTTCCAATTTACGGTCTTTTCCAAAGAAACTCCAGCCCTCTTCTCAATATCCTAAAATACCCTTTATTGCAAATTTGCTCGTAAGGTTTCTTCAAATGATCTTCAATCTGATATAGATAATGTAATCAGACATTACAGAATTCGATAAACGAAGCATTGCGTGTTTGGTTTATAAAACAGAATGGTTCGAAGTTACCATTGAACTTGTCCTGATCTATACATCAAAAGGGTGAGCCGGTAAATGCTGACCGGTAAAGAGTAATTTTAAAAAACGAAATTTTTTACCACATAATGAGCAAAGATAATACAAAATCATATTATATTGAGATTCTTAAATTTTTGTTAATCGCTTTACTTTGTTTTTATGTTTGATCATCTTCTTGAGTGTACTGTGGAGCATTACCCAGATATAGCATCTGCAGAAAGAGAGAAATTTATCCTGTTAACTGTTGTCATATTCTTGCTTATTGTTCGAAAAGGACATTAATCAATAGAACTAAACAATCCTAATGCTTAAAGTAAACAAAGACATATCTCAAGAAATGTTGAATGTAAAAAATGTTCTTTATTCCAACTTGTAAAAATACCTATCAGAAAAACAGTCGACTCCCCTCTCACTAGGACTCATCCCCCCCCCCCCCCATCATCTGGTCTTATAGCATATATTGTGTCCTATAACTCTAGAGTAATCCTGATACTAGAGAGAGAAAGGCAACTCGAAGAATAACGTGCGATTCGTGCGTGAGGTTAGCGATTGACCGATCTTAACACAAAGAAACTATACGACTTATACACATATGATTACGAGGTTAAACTATTACGAGGTTACAGTTACGTTAAAGGTAATGTGCCCATTTAAAAGGACTGCGTGTACCCAACTTGTCAAGCCACCCATCAAAAGAACGGATTGCGATTGGTTAGTATTCTTGCGATGCAAAACTGCTCACATGAAAAGCTAACCTCGCAGCAGTTTAGATAAACAGAAGGACCGTAATGACTGGGGCGATCACATGAAAAATCACATGTTTCTAAAAACCCCCGCAGAGTCGCTTGCTTTAGCTGGACACATTACCTTTAAGCCTACTACACTGGGCTACACTGGCTAGAGGCCTGAAATATGCAAGATTGATTTCTGATAGTCCTTAAACCCGAACTAGTGTAATGAACTGAATTTGGCGACTGAGGTAATTTGCAAAGCCCCAATTGAAAATCTGAGAATGATTATCACATACCTGGTGAAATCAGCATTCATCTCTTTCGAGAATATCCAGTTGACAACTGTGCTACAGTTTATAATTTGCAGGCGAATCAACTTGTCAATGACTATTGTTAACATCTGAAATGAAAGTTGAAGTTTTAAAATAACTGACAATGTTCGTATGAGTCATCGATCTGATAAAAATGGCGCCAAAGGTAATAGGTGTGTAGTTTGATTGATGCATTTAAATAATAGATTGATGCTAAACGATATGACACTTTTCTTCAAACAAAACTCGGCTATTTGAAGAACTATCGGCTCTTTTGAATTATCCAACCAACATTTGCACAAGGCAGACAGTTTCCCTCACATTGGATGGAGAGAGGCTTTCTGCATAAACGGAAGCTAAATGTATGCTCCTACCTACGATATACACTCCATTTGATCCTCTTTAAGCTCAAAATCTTATCCTGACTTAGCAACAATGTGAAACAAACGAAGTTAAGCAAAGTCTCTAAAAGATCTGGTTATTTGTGGCAATGACGTCATCCCCACCCCCTTTCTATACTTTCTTTTAAAAAACACAACAAGCAAGGTTTATAACAAGCAAATATCGAGCACCTCACGAGCAGCTCACAGTGCATACGCCTTGAAACTGTGTAGTATTGAAAGCATTCGATAAACATAGATCATTTATTAAGAGAAGTCAATACAGACCAAAAAGCTTAGGGTGAAAATCGAGCAGTTACCTGTGGGTTCCTTAGCCAGAACTCTCTTATGGCAAAAAGACACTGCAACTGTCCATTTGGAGATGTGATCAAAGATTTGAAGATTGAGTTAAACCTGAAAATAAACAAAGAGATGTTTTACAGAAACACTGCCAAACGGAAGCATCAATAGTGAAGCATTAAAAGTATAAACCAAGATTTGCTAGAACGAATAATGGTTTGGTCAAAACGCATTTAAAAATTCTCTTTCAAAGCACTGTTGCAAGAGGATTGCAGGGAAAACCTGAAGATGTTTTGTTCTTTTACACTTATTTAAAAACAAACGATACTCCACGAGCAGACTGCTACTGAGCCCCGAGTCTCTTTATATATCTACACCACAAGTGATTTCTTCTCCTCGTTAACAATATGTCCAAGTTAATAAATACAACCATGGGCCTTGAAAGACTACAATCCCGGACAAAAATGTTGAGATAAAATGTAATTTTTGTGATTTTTTACTTTACCTTACCCCTGTAAATTCGAAACCCCATTTCCCCCGAATCAATGTTGGATTTGTAATTCTATCATTCCTCCTTCAAAAACATGCGTTCAACATTGAATTGGGGGTGGGGGAAGTTATTTTTTAAAGGAAAACGAAAATATAAGCTTTCCTTGAAAAGTCTTACATGGATACATGGCTCGATAGCTTGCCCAAAGTTCTTTCCATGTGTCCATCAGCCTAAAATTGTTTAATTCTCATTGCTGTTCTATAAAATATTGCGGTTGACCATTCATTGTTATTTAGCCAAATTAACTTGGATATTGTATATTTAGTATAATTATGTTAACCGGTATATTGTAATTAATCAATTTTATGTTGAAAAAATATTTTGAGTTTGAGTTTTAACCATTTTTGTCCGGGATTGTAGCTGTTTCCTTTTGAACCGTGTTAGTTGGATTGAGAAAACTTGCCATAAAATAGACGGCTGCATGGAATTTTCTCTCTTTTTTGGCAGGGAAATCTCCAAGATTCAGTATTGAGGATTAGAATCTAAAATACTTGCTGAATACTCACTTGGACAAAGCACTGTATGTGTGACTGATTGACTTAACACCCGCACGCAGAATTGTTAGGGTGGAGATTTCAACTCGAAGCGGAGCAAACGTGCCATCGTCAAGCTGGTTCCCTATAAGATAGAAATTCTTCTCTGAAAAACTTCTCAACCCTACTTTATAAAAACAGCAGTTGTTTTAGGGGCTATTCAGTAATGGGAAACATGTGAAAACATCTGGAAGGGTGTTTCCAAGTTTTTAAAGAGTTTTAGGAGATGGGGTGAACGGGTTGAACTAGCCCCCCAGCAGAAAACACAGCAAAGTTCTTGCCAAGGAAAGACACCGATTTAAAGCTAAAATCAAAACAAGACAACATTGAAATAATACTCTAGTGCAATTGTTAACTGTATAATTATCTAAAGGTTATTTTCAGTTAACAAGCATGACGCAACAACACTGTGCTAACCAATGGTGTATCCTCATCCCATCCTTGACATAATATTGCGCCTTGCCTTGTCCAGGGTAGGGCTGACCCGTTGTACAGCTAATTAGTACTGTTTCTATATCCTATAGCTTCACACAGTGGCGGATTTAAGGGGGGGCAACTAGGGGCAGGTGCCCCTCCTTCGACGAGTTGAAACAAGTCTGGGGCCCTTTTTTTGGAAAGTGTGTGCTTCTTTTGAAGAATGAGAATCAGGTGACAAAGTTTCTGAGACCGATAGGCTAATTTGCTTCAAGGATTACCTCAAAGTTATCTTGTTTATTCCGAAAATGGATCTGAAATTGTTTTATACAGCGTACTCTCGTCATCAATTTTTGAAAATTTTTCAGTGCCCCAAATACCAACTGCCCCTTCTTCAAGTTTGCATTGGATCGGCCCCTGGCTTCACAAAGAAAGAATATCCTGTCATCGTTTCGATATCGGGCAAAACCAAAGCACAAACATACCTTCATCATTGGTCAGCATGTAAAAAGACTTTTCTGTATCCGATATTTCGTTGATAATGTTGATTAATCCTTCATTGTTGGTTTTCGATTTGATCGCATTGATGAGCGATCTGACAGTCGAATGTCCAGGCTCATCAGCTATAAAAATATGCAACAACAAATGCCATTTAAAATTCATCCTAACCTACTCCCAACTCGTGCATTTTTGGTCAACTTCGTATAAAGGCTGGTTTCCATAAAACTTAATTCGACGCATTCATCTCAATTCAGGGTCCACTATTATCACGACAAATGAAAAACGAAAAACGTGTTTTATCTTAATTCAACGTAATTCAACAGATTTTGTCGAGAGAAACAAATTTTTTGACTTCTACCAATGAATTACGTTCTAGTAGGATTTCTACCGATGAATTTGGCCGGTTTTCATATAACGGAAATAATCTTAATTGATCATGGACTCTGAATTGTGATGAAATACGTCGAAATGCATTAATGAAGACCAGCCTTAAAAAGAAAGAAATATAACCAGCCTAGCAAACCGTTTATCAGAAGTAAGAATCAAAACATGTATTTTATAGAGAAATATCTTGAAGTTAGTTTAAAAGGAAGTAAGTTTAGAAGAAAGTAAGTCTAAAAGAAAGAAAGTTCAAAAGAAATTAAGTTTAAACGGAAGCAAGTTTAAAACGAGGTAAGTTTAGAAGGAACTAAGTTTAGCAGGAAGTAAGTTTAGAAGGAAGTAAGTTTAAAAGGAAGTAAGTTTAAAAAGTAAGTTTAAAAAACAAAGTAGAGGTAACTTACTGCTCTCCGGATCTTCATATCTAAAATTTCCTTGCGGGTTTAAAGGCATCAGTGAATACAAGCTTTCTGGAATCTTTTCGATGACATATTGGCGATAATACATTCTAAAGGGGGAAACACATTCAATTAAAACTGATCATTCTTATCGCAAAAGGAATCAGTTAATCGCGAGAGAAAATGACGAGGAATCAGTTAATCTCAAGAGAAAATGACGAGGAATCAGTTAATCGCGAGAGGAAATGATGATGAATCAGTTAATCGAAAGAGAAAATTGACGAGGAATCAGTTTATCGAAAGAGAAAAGGACGAGGAATCAGGATATCGATATAGATACTCATTTGCAGGTGTTGATCGAAAAGTGTGGGACAGAATGAATGCCTAACCTTGTGCAGCGTTCGAGAACCTCGACAATAAATCTGACTTTAGTTGATTGCCTGTCAGCCTGGGCGAATTCACTCCTGGAATACAAGGAAATATAATGCTAATAAATGGAAAGATGGGCAGAATAAAAACATTATAGAACGATGGGACATTTATCTACTCTGTGTCTTCGTGTGAGATTGCCACACGAAACATGTTCAGTGACACTGGAAATCATTCGCACCATTTGTCTCTGAAATAATCTGATTGTAAAAAACGCATCAGTGAAGGAATGATACAATCAGAGACGAAACGATCTTTTGAGAAAGCAAAAGAAAGCTAAACGTAAGCAAAGGACCTTAAAAAGATCTTTTTCGATCCCATAAAAGAGTTTACATTGACGAATAACTAACTTACGAACTACTTCACAACAATACGAACACGATACCAGGAGAAGCAAAATCTTATCGATCATTAGCTACCTATATAGTTATTCAAATATGAACTACTGTTTACCGGTCTGTCATGAAGTGCTCGATGCTGTCTAAGAGAGTTGTACGCCTTTGATGCATAGAAATGGGCAGTTCTATGCTGCAACTCCAAGTTGCCTGATGATCGCATTAGGCGTGAAAACTCGGAGTTGCAACTTACAACCGTCCTGTTCTATACAAAAAAAGCGTACAAGCAAATATCAATTGATTAGCAGCTTTCCATTGGCCCAAATTTAGCCGTGAAAACAACATGGTGAAGCTGGCCTTGATATTTTTTTAGTTCGGAACAACTAGTGGTGTAAAAAAATACAAAATAGCAGTGTTTTAAAAATAAATGTAGAAATAAGTAGTGTTTGCGATCGTACACCAACTTTATGCTTCTGGAGCAAACTTATCAAAAACTTAAATTTATCTTAAAATATTATGTTGATCTTATCTGGCTGTAGCTTGTTGTGCTGGATTTCGCATAGTTGAGATAACCATAAATGAATATTAACTGTCTCATAACCGATAAAATAAGCACGAGATACAAAAAGAATACTTTCTAACTGCTCGTTATAACATACAATCTCTGCCAAAAGTCTTGGGATACTAACGTCAACTTTCAAAGTCAAATTCAGCCACCCCCCCCCCCTCCTCTTTATCCCCCCACTTCCCGTTGGAACAATGTTGGTTTACTGTAGAAGAAAGAGAGGGGTTGTTGTGTACGTTTTTTCTTGTGGATTGTATCATATTTTTCTAAACTATCAGCATTATTCTGGGGTAAAAGGGGGACGGAAGTAGTGGTATTCGGGAAAACAAATGAAAAATAGAAAAGCAGAGCGCAAAATGTTGGGTGTTCCAAGCAATTTTGGCGGTGATTGTAGCAATCCTAACCAGATAAAAAGACTTTGTCTCCAAAAACCACATATTCGTTCACAAACTTTGCATCAAGTGTCACCGCTTTGAGAAGGGTTTGAATAAATTATCAAAAATATTTTACCAGTCGTCCCAAGACCATTTGCATTGGAAGTTGCCAAGATGGTATGTGAACCAGTCGACAAACCTGGAATGGATCAATCAATACTGGATTTTGGATTTTTATGTATTCCTCAAACATAAAAAATTACATTTTCTAGCATATATGATACATAGATATACTAGCTTGCGTGTTGTACAATATAAAGTGACAATGTACTTTAAAATAAGGTGAAATAGTACAAGGAAAATATGAGCGAAATTCAAAAACGATTTGTTCCTAATGTTGAGCCACGAACAAAGTATGGAATATAACAAAGCTTAGCCCTCGGTCGTGGTTTAGGAGATCCCATAAAGAGATCAAATTTGTAGGCTCCACTATTTCTTATATTCTGTTGTAGAAAATGCGAAATTGTTAGCTAACGTTTACGTTTTTTGAAAACCTGACACATTTTAGTGGCCAAAACTGCCCTAACACCTCTTACGATATCAAGGGGTGCGCGTAGTGGTAAAAAATTTAAAGGCACTTTGTCCCGACGAAACTTCGATGGCCATTTGAATTTCCCATTGGCTGGACTATACAATAGACCTATTGTTACGCAACCAATCGGCAACGTAGGGCTAATTCTCTATTTTTCTAGATCGTAAACGCGCTGTAAAGCCTATTGTTAAATCTAAAAGGTTGACTGACTAGACACAGTGCCGTTAACCTGTTAACCTTATACACATTCAACTGACTTACCGATCAATGCACGTGACATTCATTGAATCGAGTCGGTCAAACAAGAGCTCTACAGCATGTGCTACCTATCAGGTTGGTTAAAGGAAAAGAAGAAAACAAACACGTGGAATTAGGTGGACTACTGATAGATCCCTTCACTGCTAATACCTTAAGATGCTATTAAAGATTAGCTGCTCAATCGATGGATAATCGAATGCAACTCTGTTTTTGAGGCCTAAGGCACCGTTTACACGAGCCCGGGTTGGCTGCCACCCACCTTAGAGGGTCAGCCAGTCTATAATCAAATCTCTTCAAACGTTTATATGATAATAGCAGTCAACCTGGGTCAACCCGTCTTGCCGGGTAACCCTTGTCCAGGGTAGGGCTGACCCGCTGAGATGCTATAAAAGATTAGCTTCTCAACGGTTGACCAATAAAATGCGTAAATTTTTTTACAGGAGCATGTTGACCTGAACCAGAATGGAATCTAGCCAGGGTTCGTGTAAATGGGGCCTAATTTTTGGTCAACACTTTGGAATTCAGCATGCTACCAAAAGAAAAAATTCTATCACGGCTAACCCCTTGAGATGCTGTAAAAGATAAGATGCTCAACCGATGGCCAATCAAATGCATCTCACTTTTTGATGGTTAATTTTCGAACAACACTTGGGAATTCGGCCTGCTACCCAAAGGAATATTGTCTACAGTGACACATAGGAAAAGTCTATTTGAAATTTATCTGTAAATCACTAGGGAGGATTCTAGAATACTAAATGTTTGAAGGGCTGGCATTAAGATAATTAGCTGTACCTGTTTCTAATTGCCTAGCTTTGAACCAATATCTAACTTGCTTACATTGTAATCATTTTGAGATAACCATATATCGAATCGGAAGCATCCGAAAAAGGTGTAAATACACTAGGGTATCAAAAGTATTGCACCACCTCGAAGGAGGAGAAATGGCGCATGAATGATCGAAAGCTATTGTTATGCAAATTAATTCTGTTTTTAAAGGGCCAATGGCAATTGGTCGAAAGCAAAACAACCACCAATCAAAACTTTAATCTATTTAGAGCATTTATTTGAAAAATAACAGTAGCAAACGTCTTTTAACAGTTTCAAATTTCAATAATTTGACGGGTAGCCGCAAACTTTTGAAACCGCAAAAAGCCTCCTTGAAATGGATCCATGAATTTGGGCAACGTATTCTTGTGGAATTTCGTATTAGGCCTGGAAACCTCTTACAATTAATGATTTTCTGGTCTTTGGACCACCTTTTGGAACACGGTTTGTAACCTTTTTCATTTAAAGTCAAACTTTTTAAGTGATGTTAAAAATTGCACTTTACTTTGACTATGTCAAAGCTTGAATTTCTTTTGTTTGGAAATAATTCTTTGTAAAAATAGTTTCCGTTTACTCAGGTAAATTTTTCTTTTGTATTTTTTCAAAACACTCATTATATTTTCTGTGGACGGATTTTGAGCTGCAAAACCTTGCGCAGTGTTGGGTTTCATGCCTTTTACTGCCCCTTGGTGCTGTACGTAGTGAAATAAAACCGACAAATTCTTTCCCCTTTAACATCAAATTTATTTTGGTCGCCAACTTCTCGGTTTCTTTACTACTGTAACATTCTCGAGAAATCTTGTTTGATTTACCGCAGCTGTTGTGTAGCTGCATTTAACTTGGTCAACATTTTTTTTTTAAATTAAAGACTACTTCCCCGTAAATGTTTTATAGCGACTCGCCTCTCATTTGACAATTTTGTTTCCTCAGGCATGGGCTACATTTTTACAGATAAAAATGTTTTTGCGTAATTTATACATTTTTAACTAAGTTTTCTATGGCGTCAGCAAGATTTGCAAACTTTTCCCGCCAAAGTTTGCTCTAAAATGCGCTTATTTCACCCAATTAATGCATTCAAATGTTTTGCATTGTCAAAAAGTCGACAAAAAGTGCCGCCATTTTGAGCAGGGTGGTGCAATACTTTTGATACTCTAGTGTAAATAACAATTATCACAGTATAGAGTTTGAGAGTAAATGTAGGCTAAAATAAAGGAAATGTCGTATAAGAAACAATGAAGAAAAAATCCAGAAATCATCTTAAAAAACTAAGCAAGGATACAACTCCTGGAAAAGAATTTGGTTGCAACTTGCATAATTCAATGGTGAGCGAGCCATAGAACAATGGAATATGCTGCGGCTGTGGAAGGCGGAGGAGATTGCCAAGTATAACCTAGAAAAAGAACCAAAAGATTGCTAAGATACACATAAGATTGCATAAGAGATATGGATATCAAAGCTTGAAAAATGGCTTATAGAAACAAGAAGGTCGAATAGCGAATTGCCTTGAAATAATTGAAACATAAGAAAACTGCTATCTGTATTCCAGGTCATAGCAAAGAACGATCCTTCCCAAAAATGTTTGAGCACATACACAAGATCTTTACAGTTTCAAAGATACTTAAAATATTGGTAAGTATAATAATTACACGAGTTTCAGGGTCAATCTAGCCAGGATTGGAAACATACACACTTCTTATGAAGGAATTGTCATTTGATGACGTCATTAATGACTTGGAGAGTTAGTCAAACCCTGGGGTTGTCAACCATTGAACGTGTATACTGTTGTGTTTCTACTAGGTTTGGGAAGGATTGTGGATACAGAAAGATAAGTCGATGCAACCCGTTGGAGCAATTGGTTACATGTTGGTTACAACATCGCCATATATATTGATCGTGAACCATTCCATACAGCCTTTCCATACAGTCATGAACCATTATTAGGCCTTAACAGAAACACTCCACAGAAAAACGAACTTACTTCCACAATGATGTGTTCAAGAGGCACTTTCCCTTTCATGTAATAACTCAGCAACTGGTTTGCACTGCAATAAAAGAAACACTCTTCTTACGAACTACATTATACATCATCTACCTTCGTATATATTATCGTCGTTCTGAATTCGTATGAAGAAAGGTAAATTCGGAAAGTATACCGATTCAAAGCTTAGCTCAATAAAAACAAGAGTTGTGACTACGAGTCAAGATAACCCAAGGCAAGCAACCAATGTCGCCAAAATTGAAATGGGATGAAATTAATTCACATGGGACTCTTGTGCTCAAAGAACAAGCTGGCACCCTGTTTGTATCATGGGCTTTTGCAGCATGACATAAATAGCTACACAGCCAATATTCTTAGTAATTGAGGCACCTATAGACATCTAATGGGTCTTGTGCAAGGCATCTATCATTTTTAAAGAACAGTACCTCAGATTTTAAGAAAACTCTATATTTTTTGATTGGCGTATAAGGAGAGTACATCAAGCATATCATGATTATAAAATTATGAAAAATACTGTAATTAAAAATCAGGAAAGAAAGTAAACATTGACACTGTCATCTCTCGAAGCAGGAAATCTGAAACATTACTAGCTAACATAATTGATGAATTACTTGAAACATTTAGAAAACAGGTTAAAATTTATTATGACAAAATATTTTGACTAAATTGACTGTTATCAAAAGCTCCAGAAAAATCACTGACCAATGAAAACCACATAAATTAACTCAACAAATTTCATGCTGGGACCTCTCGATGGTAAACTGAACTTCCATCAGCTAATGCAATCCAACGAAACAGAGCACCGATTCTTTCAAGGATAAACAGTGATATTTGCATATGAACCTTTGGCATATGAAAATTTCTCACATTTTGGTCTTTAATAGACTCAGTTGTTTGTCGGACGAAAATAACTTTAATGTGATGTATAAACCTTTCACTCATGCCAGATTACTTTTTGATTAAAAAATTAATGAAACAACTTAGATATTTCACGAAACCGCATTTCAATTTACCCGTGTAGACACTGTAAAGGGCCATTCTTTAATTGTACTGTACCGATATGAAATTGTTTATTGTTCACTGGCTAAAACAGTGCAACAAACAAATTCAGATATACACGAAAGCTTAAGAAGTCCATGAAACTGTGCATATATACAAGCATTTACCATTCCTTCCTGTCCTTGTAATGAGCGTCCATTACTCGAGAAATACTTTCTTCGACCAAATAACGCTCGACGGCATGCGACCCTGGTAGAGGCAGTTCCTGCAATCATAAGATTCATAAAATTGCCTTAAAGGCATTTGACATGCATAAGTACAGCGAATCCAAAAATAATTTTTATCAAATTGATCAGAGCACGCGCACAAGAAAGGAATTGGAAACTGCTCACATGTTTTTCTCTGTGCGCAATTTGATTGGTCAACCGCTCGTGGACGAGTGGCTGTAGGCCACTTTTACCTGTGTCGAATGCCTTTAAACTAAAGAGATCTTTAATCCCTTTGCTTAAAGACTATTAATACGCATAAAGCCTGGATGTTATTCATTTTGTAGCAATGGATCATCATCATCATCATCATCATCATCATCATCATCATCATCATCATCATCATCATCATCATCATCACCATCACCATCACCATCACCATCATCATCATCATCATCATCATCATCATCATCACCATCACCATCATCATCATCATCACCATCACCATCACCATCACCATCATCATCATCATCATCATCATCATCATCATCATCATCATCATCATCATCATCATCATCATCATCATCATCATCATCATCATCATTATCATCATCATCATAATATCATATTTATACACGAAAACCCTAACAGCTACTAGTTTTGAACCTAAACGAAAATGCTCATTATATTTGCATCTAATGCACGTTATTCCAAGTCTTTACTCAGAATAAAAAAGGTATTTTTGGTTGAAGGTTTGATAAGGACTCTATTAGTCAAAACAAACCTGTAGGAACAATAAATAGAATTGCCTTACAAATTTCGACTAAAACCATCTTAATAAAGGCACTAGATTCAGATCCACAGTTATCAAATCAGTGTGATATAGACCGATGTTTTTATGAATCGCTTTAATACAACCTCTTTAATAAAGGCACAAAACATTCAAGGTATTAAAAAGCACGAAAATGATGCATATCAAGACCAACTATTACTGGACAGTTCCATTTGTGTAGACAAAGCTTGTATTTAGTACAATCTAAGCCTAGTAGCAAAGTCGAAATGCTCCATTGGACCCAAATGCAACAATTTGCTCCAAAGGACCAAAGTGGTCTGATCAACGCATACGCATAAGGTTGGTTGGAGTGAACGCGCGAACAAAGCGATTGTGGTCGGGCTAAAAATGCGCTTCCCTTCATTTGCTTATGGGAAGAACTTAAAATTTTCATATTTCATAAAGTATCTAAAATGTCTTAGAAAGAATCAAAAATTTATTATCTAAGTATTTATTATTTTAAAGAAAGAAAAAAATAGCATTGGCAACAATAAATCTACAATCCCTGCAAAAAATCATTGGAACACCCTGCTGTCAATGAACAAATTGGAAAACTAAAGTTTTAAGCCGAAAGATACAGTAATACACCTGTTGATATTCAGGATTGTTTCCAGGGTAGGGTGACGCCAATAAAAAGATTGGAATTTTTAGCGTAGTGTACCAAGACTTTTGGCAGGCATATCACCTAAAGCAAGAAACTACGATACAGCTGGTCAAAATCAGACGAAAAAATGAAAATGACTTACTTCGGGACAATCTGTGTAATCGAAAATTCGAAAGACCACTGATGGCAAAGGGTACGAAATTCTATCTGAATGTGGCGGAATTTTGAAAGGAGGTATTGGATGCTAGAAAAGAAATAGGATTGAAATAGAATAAGAAATAGATTGAAATATAACATGCTTGTTTGAAATAGAATTGAAATGCTAAGGAAGAGCTGCAGAAAGGGGGAAATTTAGAGATCTTTAGAATGATCTAATTAAAAAATATTTGTCTACATTGCTGGTCAAACAATCGACCTCTTTATTATTATCGCTAGTAGTTCTTTTTAGGCCAATTAGGCTAATTTAGGCCAATTTACAAAGCATATACTATCAAAAAAATACACCATAAAACCCTAACCCATAAATAAAAGTTTTACAAATCCTACAGTTGCAATACTATCATTCCTACTAATGGAATCGCAAAAGTTTTCATCTCTTTAGACGAAGGAAGTATTTCGAAAGAGACAGGGGGCACTAGTGTGTTTTCTTTCGAAAGACAAACTGCATGAAGGAACCAAATGGAGAGTTGGGACTAAGGCAAGTCCAAATGTTCATAATAGGTCTCATGATAATAAAGGCATTTTGTTCCACAGTTCCACAAAGCACTTTGGTACATTTATATAGAAATCTCTTTGCTTCGAGGAAAACACAGGACTGTTTAAAAATACAGGAAACCTCTTAAATGAATAATTGGAGTGACCAATAGTTATTCAGAATAAAAACATTACCAGACGTGAACTTTCAAAAATTTCAAAACAATAAAATTTACTAACAGGACATCATGTTTGATAGTGTTTTAATGTTTGAAAATGATTAACGACTTACAGGCATGGCTTTGCACAAAACAGCGTGAAATTCAATGTACGGTCGGCGTATATGCTTTTCCTACCAGACAAAAAGATTTCATTTTATCTTCTAGAAGACTGTATCTACTAATCTGATTACAATTTATAAAATGGGCAAAATTACTTTAGATAAAAGAGCAAACAAGGCCAACGATTGATAGAAAACGAAAAAGGACAAAAAGTGGCAATAAAATTGGCATTAATAACTGAAAGATAACAAAATAAAACCGAAAAGACGTGTAAATATTAAACAAATATTGCATCACAAATAAAATCCAAAATTTCTTTTAGGAATTACACTCATTTAAAGCTAAAAAATTATAAGATAAATAAATCATCAAGAACAAAGCAATACGATGATGCGAATCCATTTACTCTGATGAAGCCCTGTATGCTGGGGCAAAATATTAGTAATCGTTTTATTTAATTTATTTTGAAAATTTATCTCATTACATTGGATTCTCGTCGTCGTATTGCATTGTCCCTGAATATCTTTCGTGTTATGATTCATCGCAAGATTCACAGAATCTGGCGGACAATCTATTTTGCGGCTCTTCCTTCTTTTACAAGATCTATCATGTCGGAAAGTTGATTGAAAATGGAACCTACCTCCCATCCATCACTCTTCATCTTCTCGATCTGCGCCCATAAACAGTCGATGTACTGTGATACAAAAGAAATCCCATTTTAAAGTTACAAAAGGTACTATTAACCGGTCTGTCATAAAGCTCACGATGCCGTATAGACATAGCTGTGCAGGGTTTTAGTGTGAAGAGAAGGACGGTTCTATGTTGCGACTCTGAGTTTCACGCTTAATGCGACCATCAGGCAACAGCAATTTAGTAGTAAATCTAGTCCAAGTAACTAAATCAAGTACCACAATAAAATGGCATGTAAAAAACACAAAGTGAAAGTTGAAAACACAAAACCTGTGTCTTGATACGCCTATTAGCATATTTTATGTACAGAATTGTTTGCAGGTCTCTCACATAGTGTTGGATGCCGTATAAGCAGGGTTTTGAATGCTTTGGTGAATAACGCAAAAAGGCTGAAAGTTGCAACTAAAAGTTTCAAGCTCAATGCGATCATCAGGCAAACTATTAAGACGTTTTACCCCCTAATGGTACTGAAACATCCATATTAGTTTTTCAAAAAAATTAAGCTGTTTAATCAACGATAGGATAGAATGACCGGATTGCAAAGGCCTACTTGTAAGAATGATTGACAGGGCTTGTTCACACATTTGATTGGCATGTCATGACAATGAATATGTCAGTCATGGTCGTCACGACAAAGACAAATTTTCAGTAAAGATATGAAGAGTGCAGACTGAGAAGGGATCAAATCGGTATCGCAGGGTATTGATTGAATGAGAAGAACTGCATTCAGAGTACGTAAGTCAAATGGTATGTTCTTGCCTCTTCTTGAGGATGAGGGTCATCAGTCGACCAGACACGGAGGGCCTTTGTGTGACGTTTGCTCCTCTTACTAAAATAACAAAAACATTAAATACAACATCAAACATTATCTTGGTAGTAAAAAATATTAAAAATGGCTCAGAAAAACAAACTTTTAAGTCACACTAAAGCTGTTTACAAGTCATTTAATAGATTTTGCCACACAATAGGTGTTTAAATGATTCAGGTTCCCAAGATAAAAGAAAGGACCCTGCCGACATGTAGGTCTGATCATATTACTTATTTGTTCGATTCATATTAACCTCATTCTATTACTAGATGCACAGCCACGCCATTCTGATATATTCAATCCTTGTTTTGTTAGCCTGCTCGAGAAGAATCAACTTAACTGCGAGCAAGCTGTATAATTAGAATTATATCTTAATTTGTAACTTTCACATTAGAATTGTTTTTTTCATTTAGATTTCAAAATAGTACTAAGTGTATTCAGTTCGTTGCATTCCTTTACAATAATTTTCAGACTCTTTTTATTCAATATATCATTTAAGAAATACAATTCTACACCTCATATTTATTAGGCAGTGTACAATTGGCGGCTTATTTTTCGAAAAGCAAATTAAAACGTAAGGAAACTTTTCATTTTGAATTCCAATTAAAACTAGAATTAAAAATTGGCGGCCTTCATTTCGAATAACAAGTAACAAAATGGAACTTAAAATGACAGTTAGGTTAATCATTACAATGAAAACGCGTTAAAGTGCATTAAATCGGGATTAGGCCAAGGTTTATTTTTTTACAGAATACATAATAAGTACAGCGTATTGCTATGTTCATGACTTTCGATAGAAGCCGGCGTTGGAGAGTTTCATTAAAATCCAGATCTTTGAGTATATTAGAGAGCGAATCATAGGAAGAAGCAGAAAGAATGCCAAGGGCTCCTATCGACACGTAAACAAAGTAAAATAATTTCAATTCTTTGAAGACCTTCAGCAGAGCTGTTTTTCAAGGGGCCGCCATAAACTATAAATGCTAAAGTTACAAGAATACAAAATCAAATTACTATTCACTATTTACGGAAAAAATACATTAAACTAAAAGCCTTTCACAATATAAAACCCGTTACAATAGTGATAAAATTAAAAGCATTTGACAAAAGATGTTTAATTTTTTGATGTAAAGTCCTCTAGCAACTGGCCGAACAAAGGGCAAATACAGAAAGCAAACCAATTGAATACAAAGATAAGGAAAATTCAACATTTATCAGTTTGCACTCGCATGAAAAACCAGAGTCAATAAATCATAAATCACTCAAACTGAAATACCTTATGATCTCTTCAAGGGCTGACAGCAGCCTCTCTAGCTCCTTGCCTCGTTTCGACGCAAGTTCTTTACCGCACTGGAAAAGGAGATCACCTTTCTTAACTAAAGATTGCTATCGATTGTGCTGATTAAAGTTCAATTATAGCTACAAACTGTAATTACAAATGGGTATAAAAATAACAAAAAAACCAACAAAATATCTTAACACAGTCTTGAAAGGAAAGATGTAGCTGCTCTTTGCGAATCAAATGAGCCCCATGTCTTTCTTTATGAAGCATAAAGATTGCCAGCCATTAAGGCATAGACGAGTAAGATGATCAACAAAACATTGATAGGGTGCCTCATGGCTCCGTGGTTAGGGTCGCGGACAACACATCCAATGGCCTTTGAATCGAGTCACTGGCATGACCATACTTTCCCTCAGAGGGAGTAGAGTCACCAGCTCTCTGTAACGCCAGGCGTAGAATCACGAGATGTGGTCACATCGAGATGAAGGACCAGGACACTGTTCGATAAGCATAGCTTCTCAGTGTCCTAAAAACTACCTTCGTAAGCTTGGTAGTAAAAATACGAAAAAGATATCCACCTACCCATGGCAAACTTGAGAGCACAATGTAAACAAACCAATCAGATCGCACCTGGAAACAATAAACATTCATAATTCTGGTGGAAGTCATAAATCAGTTAGATACTGGACTGAAATTTAAAGAACGATTAAATCAAAAACAAACATTGGTTACACTTATAAAGTTCGTGTCATTTAGCAAGAGAAATAAGATAACAAAGGCAAGCCATTTGCCAACAATAAACCAATAAATTCATTTTAACCTGGCCTCAATGAACAAATGGCTGCAACTACCATAAATTATCTGGTTTTGCATTTAACTTGAGATTAATCTGTTTGCTCCTTGACCAGGGGCGGCAATTGGTCAAACATTGGAGGGGGGCAAGCCTATTGTTTTATCATTGTCCTCTAAGGTCAGAGCAAAAGATCATTGTCCTCTAAAGTATTGGGGGCGGTCGCCCCCTCGCCCCGCCACCTCCCCCCCCCCCGCCCAGGTGCCCACCACTGTCCTTGACCCAGCACTAGCAACATAAATGCACCCCAGGACATGAAATCAAACTCGACCATGTGACCAGGCAGCCGCAGAAAAAATTTTCACGAATAAAGATATGTAGGAATTTTTTAAGAATATACTCTTTTGCAACAAACACTTTTCTTTCTTTCATGTTCATCAAAAGAAAGAACATGAAGACAAAACAAATGTAGTTTCCATTCTCGCAGGAAATTTATGCATGATTTTTGTCTGGTCGCAAGAAGAAAAATTTTTTTCATGCCCTGGTGTACCCCCTTCCCACATAACCCTACAGCACCCCATCCAACAGCACCACCACCCCACCCACCCCACCCCCTACAGTAGCTCAGGTTATGGATCAGAGAATTTGCTCACTTTTATGCTCGATTAGCAGCACGGAAAATTTAGCCGCTTAATATCTCCTTTGTCATTTGAGTGAAGCAACATAATTTTGGGGCATTATATGAGGCATTCCATCTATTTGAAATTATGAAAAACAGATGTTGAAATGGGAGAAATTTTTATACTTTTAGTTAACTTTTACCTCAGTTTAGAATGCACATATGTAACTGGGTTCATACCTGTGGAATATTTGGTTGCCCAGCCATGTTTATGAAGTTTTCCAGGAAAGAAATCAAGGAAGTAGCAACAAGGAAGTTGCAGTTAAGCAAGTCAGATATGAACCGAACCTGTGAAGAGATACATCAACAAAATCAATGTCAATGATATTGCCTTTTAAGAAGGGATACCATACATGTACATATATATCATAGAGAATACCATATTTACAAAGATAACCATTTCAGTAAAGGAATAATGGCTATCATGAATAGTAATCTTAATTGTATTATATAAGATGCCAAAGGACACAACTTCGGAGAACAGTTTCAGTATACAGTTTCAGGTGAAAATTTGTACAAAAAAGGAAATGTTCAGGGTCAGCTGGACTGCTTTTCTCATTTTCCACGACACTAAACAACATTACAACGTCTGTGTAACAGGGACAGCTTGGTCGTGCTCATGACGATAGATGAAATATTTTCTGATAGAAGATAAAAGAGCATTCTGATAAAACTCTGGTCATGCATGCATAGTGGAAAACTTCAATACACACTTTTTTTTAAAAGAACTGGCTGTTCTTTTAAAGTATTATGAAGTTCAGACTGGCTGTTCTTAATTTTTCTGAAAATCTGAGTATGGATTGTTCTTAACTTGTTCTTAAATTTTGACCAACTTTGAGGCTTGTGTTCTTATAAAAAAGATGTGTGTTACTGGAAGGTGTCTGAAGTCAGGTTGTGTCTGCTATTAAGAAGGCTCCGTTACTGAGTGTGTCCGTCCTTGGGGTATGTCCCTTATTGGTAAGTATCAGCTTGAAAGGTTACCATTAATGGAGGCTCTACATAGAGAAACAACCCACCATCAAACGTGCCCTTTCAAACTGTTGAGCAGCCATCATGTCTTCAAGGTTCCTTATTGCCATTTCCAACAGCTATGCAATAAAAGAAATACAAAAATTATTTTAAAAACTGATTTTTATTCAAAATAATCAATGACTGGGGTGATAGAGAGCCATCAAGTATTTTCCAGATTCAACTGTAGTATCTATCGACTTGGCATCCTTACAGCCAAAAAAAAAAGTTGAATCTCTTTTCCCTGTCAAATTATTTGTGTAGACTAAAGATATTGAAAAGTCATACAACAAAGCTTCCCAAGGGAGTAGTAAGTCTTGCAAAGTACAAATCAAGTATACAAACTTTCTTTCTAGTTCATAATACCTCCAACATAAAGATGAAGTACAAAATATTTTAGTTACGAAACAATTAAAAATACCTCTCCTCCAAAATCAAAATTCTTCTCATTGAGCAGGCCAACAAGTGTTGAATATATAGTGATCTTTTCTGGTAAATTTGAAATGCTACAAAAACATAAGCAGAGAAGATTAAATTAAAGAGAGCTGGCATAAGAAAAGAACAAAAAATAAGGGAATATTTAAAATTCAAGACAAGTGAAAGCAATTGACTATGATTTTAGAAGAAATGTGTATGAAGCGGCATATACAGGATGTAATCAATGCAACTATAAAAAGTTTTTGGAGAACTTAAAATAATGTTTGCAAACAATCTTTTGGAAAGTTGATCATGGAAAATTTCATAGATGTATACCCTGGTGAGTAATGTCATAACCTCACCCTATCTTTATGCAATTTTGGCACTTCCACAGATACTTAACAAGTAGGCTAAAAATTGCAGCCTCACACACTAGAGGGCAAGAAGATATTTAAACGTATAGTTTTTCTGAGATTATACTAATTGCTTACCAGGTACTTAATATTCTAAGAATAAGATCCTTATAGTTTGGAATATCAGTCTCTAAGACAGCAGCAAGTCCATCCAAATTGCTTTTGAGTGAAGAAGTGCTCTGGAAATATAGATTTTGAATAAATAAATATTAAAAACCAAATTAAAATGTTGACAAGCTATATTTTTAGCAAATGATAGCTAATGATATTGAAACAAAAAGGAGGCAAATGGACCCAAACTTTATGGGCAATCTTTCAGTGTTTGAAATAGTTTGCACTGAATCATATGGATTAACAAACACAAGTAGGAAGAAATGCAAGCACTTAAAACATCCCCATGGAAATTTTTTTAATGCTTATCAGTACATTAACTCATATTTCCTAAGAAACATGTCATAATGTCTGTGAAAAGGCTAAAAATTTCAGTTGAAGATCCATATAATATTAATTTTGCATCCTATTTTATTTTGACATTGTGCTATATCTTCAACAGGTACATTAGACATTTTAAACGATAATTTTCATTCCCAAATACCAACCAACTTTCCTGACAGGTGAAATTTTTATATTTATAAGCATCTTTAAGTATGCATATCATAAGGCTTGGAATGTTACCAGGAATGTTCAGTGCAATATCTCTGGCTCTCTTAAATCATATGAAACTATGATATTATAATGCTTAAATCAAAACTTGAAACGATAAGCGATGTTCATTTCAAGAAAACTCTTGCCTGAAGGCATTGAGTCATGGTAAATAGGCCTTCTTTAAGGGGGTAATTTTCTTTCAGCGTGACAGCTGTAGTTTTATATGGTATAGGCATCTGTTGTTGACAACTTGCTATTAATGGAAATTGTTTTGTCAATCAGTACAAGGTGAGCTCATGTGATCAGTAGCAGATCAACAAACAGCATTACAGCATAAGAATCATGACTCAGCATATTTGGGTATACCCTTTTTCTTTTATCATGACACAAAGCCTTTGATGGACATGTGGTAAATAATATAGTCAGGCAAATTTTCAGATTTGACCTTTCATCTATAAGTTGTAACACCTTGTTCTTTTCACTAGATATCAGCTGTCTGTACTCATCATTAGTTGAAAATAAGTACAAATTTTGACCTAACATTTTAAAAAATAAAATTCCAGTTTGTTCTGAAATAAATCGTGACAACATTTAACATTGAAGTTACACACCAGATCACCATATTCATATTCTTTACAATATAAACAGATATGGCCTTACAAAAACATTCAATTACCTTCTCTCCAACTCTTGTGATTAAGGACTCCAGTCGATCTTCAACATCAATAGGCTCAGGACGTCTTCTTTTTTTCTCCCTTGAATCTGTTAACAAAGCCTTCTGTTACTACATTTCTTCTCAAAATATTTTCTAGAAACTTCTACCATGATGATACAAAAACAGATATCCATATGATATCCTTGTGCCAAGTCACACTCTGAAAACAAGTGGCCTTCGCATTTCAATTTTTTCAAAGATACCAGAAATAATAACGCTACTTGATTCTAAGTCAACTTAGCGTCATGAAAAGTTATCATTATTTCTGCCAATTTGAGACACTTTTACAAAGATTGCTGGTTGAAAAAGTCAATGCTGGAATGATATTAGCCTACAATACAGATTATGAGAGAGGGCTTTATAAACTAAGAAGTTTTGTACCTAAAAACACACTATTAACCCTTTATTTATTTATTTAATACAATTTTCTTTATGGTCTTCTCAACTGGGGCTGTACCAATAAAACTACTTTAAAGCCACTGAAAATAAGCTTATGAAAAGCTGTCAGAGTAATAAACTTTGGTTGCTATACACCCACTCAAAACCAATTTTCAAAAGCTTCAAGATCTTAAACTTAGACAATCTCTACAAGCTCGTAACTGCCAAATTCATGTTTCAAATTAACCAAGACAATCATAGTACTTTTCTTCAAACTGAATTAATCAAAACCTCCAATTTACGTCAGTATAATACAAGGCAGTCCAATCTTGGTTTCTCTCTTCCTTCAGATTCTTACAAACAAACAAAATTATTAACATTTGATGGAGTTAAGCTCTGGAACTTCTTGCCAGAGGAACTTAAAATTACTCTCAACCAAAATTCCTTCAAAAGGATGATGAAAATTTACTTGATACATAACTTTTAACTACTTTTAACCTTAATTACACTTCAAAACACTCCCTACCCCTTTACCAGTTTCTTATGACTTTTTTATCATTATTCTTTTATCAATTATTTTTACTTTACGATTTTCTGATCTTACTTACTGTTCTAATTTCAAAATTTCTATAAATTATATATTAAATCAGTACATTGTGATTAATTTGTTTGCTTGCTGAAAAATATTTTGAGTTTCCTCGATAAGAGCACTGATATTTGTAAGTAGAGCTTTTTCGATTATATCCTTGGGCCTAAACCCTAAATGAGAAGACTTACCATTATCTGGATCAAAGTTTCTATATCTCTTGCGATCCATAGTTGCTCTCTTAGTAGTTTAGCTTGATTTTATCCGTAGTTTATGTGTCTCGCTGTTGAAGTCTTTGTGTCATTCTATCACATTTGAGCTGCCATATTGACTGTCCAATTTGGCCCAACCGCATGCGCCAGAGCCTCATTATCAAAGAGAGATATTGTTACCAGGAAACAACGAACGCTATTAACACATGTTGTCAAGTTAGGGACCTGTATTTGACAACCGAACTTGATTGCCATTTTGGGATGGTAAGCTAGTTAGTGCAGTATCCAGAAAGGTAGCCACTTTAAAAAATACTCCTCTCATGGTAACATAACCGAGACAATCACATCAAGACTACTTATGTTAACGAAAGAAGTATGCCTGACAGCAAATTTGGCCAACTGCCCGTTAACTTGGTTGAAGATACAAGGTACAAAAACAAGTCGATGTATGTGTCTGATTTCTGCTCAAGAAGACCACAGATTCCTGCAAGACGCCGAGCAAAGACTAAAGAAACTTTACGATATGCAGAGGATGTTGTAAGTATATTGTCTCCGTCTCCATTAAAATAAATGAAAATATTATAAATTTAGAAATAACAAAAAAGCGACAGTAGGTCATAACAAGTGTTTTCCTTTGTCAAATTGGAAACTAAATTTGCAATTTTCTCAAATATTTCATCGAAATCTATTTCAAAATACACTCATTTTTTTATAAGGAACAAAGGTCGATGTTGAGTACTCCAGTTTCTTAATGTTCTGGAAATTTCAATACTCATTGTTTCTTAAGAGTTTCTTAATCATGATGTCATGAAAGGTATTATGTTCGTGACCTTTTTTATCACGTCAAGAGATTCGCTTCCGTTCTGACGCTGTATTTAGGTGTGGAAGTATATTTTTTACCTCTTGTGTCTTAAGTTCTAGGCCAACAGCGCGATCATGTTCTTGCATTTTACAAAACTTCGTTGCTCTCAGTTTTATCACGATTTAATAGTTTCTTAATTTTTTTGCTTCGAGTACTGAAGTTTCTTAAATTTTTTCTGACTATCCAGTATTCGTTTCTTATAGCCAGTTTCTTATAGAAAAATGAGTGTATTGTGGATTTTCAAACAAGCTAATTGCATGTGAAAATAAAGGAGAATTTTGAAACAGGGTTCCTTCTCTTTTGTCATATTCGATTCATGAGATCATAATTTTTTCAATAGGTTCTGTTCCATTCGCTTATTCTTGTTTCTTCTCTCATTCCATTCTGAACTTTATTTGAAATGGCAGTCTTTTTGTATGAAACTAAATACATTTCTGTATTCAATTTGTTGAAGAAAATAAAATCAATATTTCATAAGTTGACCTTTCGTCTTATCGACATTTTGAATTGAAATCGGGCGTCGGGCTCCTACGTCTCAATAACACAGTCTATCAAATAGACAATAAAATAGTTTGAATAAAACAGTGGTTTAATAACATGACTAGTTCAAGAAGCAAGAGAATGTTGCCTGTATTGACATAGGAGCAAGTAGCCACGACTCTGTAAATAACAGCCCTCAATAAGAAATGGCTTGAATTCAGTTAATGTAAACGGTAACCATGTGAAGTTGATCTATACAAACAAATTTCTTGTCAAACAAAGTCATGTTTGCGATAACACGATTGTTCTGAAAATGCGGTAACCCAGCTATTTCTTGAAGAAACGTATACGAACAAGGGAGAAATAATGTAACCAAAGGTTTACTTAAATAGAATCTTGCTTTTGTGATAGCCCAGTAGCGTAACCAATTTTTTGAAGGGGTACGAATGGCCTTGGGGGAGGGTGGAGCTGCCGAGTGTTCGAGCGATGTGTGTCCTTTAAGGGGAGTCCGGGACACAGTTCTGAAGAGACGGTCAATGAAGAAATGGGGAGGAAGGTTATAACGGCCTTTTTCGAGATTCAGTTAGATTTAGAGCTAGCATTATGAAAATTTTTTACTGAATTCTTAGACCTATGTGTCCGCGTCCACGCAACCCCCTGATAATGTTACTGTACCCAACGAAAGAGGTTAATTTTGACAAGAATTTATTCACAATGCAGGGAAAATTATATGTTATGTCTCGCCAACTTGTTGGCATGGCGACTAAATCAGCGTGGAGGAGTCTTATATCTATGCCACATATCAGACTTAAACAGTTTAACGTAAATACATAAATTGCAAATGATCGTTTTTCTTTGTCTCATGTCTCCTGAAAAATATGGCCTTATTCTAAGGCTCAGTGATAACCAGTTATTGAAATGGGCAATCGAAAATGCAGTGATAAGTGAACAATTGCTCACAATAATCAAGAATTTAAAGTGCATAAAGATATAGATATTAAAAGGCAGAAAGACACAGCATTATTCGTAATAGTGTGAAAAGCAAAGCAAACTAATCGAAAAGAATCTTTCATATTGGCGAGCGAAGGAGCGAAGCTAGAAAGATTCATAAAGAATCAATATCATAGTATCACTGATCAGTGCATAGTATACCCTGGGTACCAGACTCACTATGTATAAAATAAAATAGAGATACTCTCTATTTTTTTATATAGTGAGTCTGGTACCCAGGGTATGCATAGTACGGACTCGACGACATAATACCTCGGTTTCGAAATGGCTCGGTGTCGAATTGAGGTTCGGGATACAGATCTTGGCAACAAAGTTCAAAATGACAAAAAAAATCGAACAGCTACTTTCATCAGAGCAGGGGCGGATCTAAAAATTATTCTGAGGGGTTCTAAAACGTAAGGCTTGGTAACCCAGGGTGTTGCTATGCACAAACTCTGTACCCCTGCTAATAAGCCATAATGAAATGAAAATCTTCCATAAACTAAAAAGCCTGGATGCCTTGATTTATATAGTAATTTTTGGTTTCAGCTTTTATGCCAATTGAACGCAATTTGCAGCTCGCCCCTCTTATATTCACTTAGGGTACAAAAGTATAGAAACTGTAGTCAAATATGATATGATGGCCCGCAGTGGCAAAAGGCCCGAGCCCACAAATTTTCAAAGCAAAATTTAATTTTTGACTCTTTGCAGCCATTTATTAGAACTTGATCAGCCTGACCAAAAAAATAACGTGGCTGGTGGAATGAAGCCCTTGAAGTGCAGTGCAAAAGTTGAACACAGGGATTCAAACACAGCATGCATCGACATATGACGCCGAACCAAACAAAGAAGGCCCTGAATGTTTCGCTATGGGCCTGGCGTTTTGAGTATTTTTATGTATTTGAAATTCTTAGAGAAAAAAGTATTCGCAGGAATATAAGTAGGTATAAAAAGGAAACCCCTTTTGGTCAATAATAGTAAGGGCAAGTTTTTGAGATGTTTTTTATGTAGTTCTTGAATTATTAAAAAAAGAATAACAAGGGCTCGGGGCTCGGGCAAGCTTTATCCTCTGAATATAAATCATACCTCATGGTCTATGAATAAGACGTGAAACACGGAGTTGAAACTTGAAACCGTTCTGTTATATAAACCACAGCGTTTACAAGTTCTGCCGTTCCAGCATCGAGCATCAGGTAAAGATCGTCAAAAGATCCACGAAAACATATTGCAAATTTGCGCCTAAGCATTCGTCGCGTGCTGTATCATAATTCAACTCCCCCTGGTCAACCTCAACTCCCCCTGGTCAACCTCAACTCCCCCTGGTCATAAAACCACTTATACATTTGACTGTAGATTGAAGCGAAGAAACTCCCCCTGGTTTGTCGGTATTCTTTGATGTTTTGGATTTTTGAAATCCATGGGTTCTCGCGCCAAAGTTTAGAACCCCTCGACCTGGCACCGTGATTGGCTAGATTCACTTCCACGGGTGCAGAAACTCGTATAATTTACAGGCCACGGGTTCCTTAAAGTGGCTGGATATAAGAGGAGACAATGCTTTCCGAGTCTGTAGAATGCTATACAGGACAACCAGGGGGAGTTTCATAACACTTCAATGCATGGACTGAAATAACAATGTTGAACAGTTGTGAGACGGGGCATTGAAGCGGAAATAACAATTTCAGGAGATGTGCATACTTCCCGGTATTATTTAAATGGTTTAAATAATAATAAACAAAATTGCGGTAGAATAAGCTTTAATCCTCAAAAAGTTTGTTCTCAAATCTGAGGGGTGCTCGAGCCCCCTTCGCACCCCACTGGATCCGCCCCTGCAGAGATCACTCTGTTTCCCTAATAAAAGAAACCCTGTTCTGAAAGCAACGCTGCATAGTATAACTCTGGCCAGAAATGACGCAAAAAAGGTGCGGTCTTAAGGATTTCTCATCGGCTACGCCCATCACCCTGCCACACTGCAGTAGCTAGAACTTCCAATGGATGATTTACACTCATGTGTCTTTTGTTTTTAGCATAACCCGGCGACAAGATTCTTGAATGACCACTATCAAACAAGCGACCATATCGACTTAAGACGACACTGTCAAAAGGTTTTGAACACTATTGAGCGAACAAACAGTCGGCAAGATGACCTTGGAGTTACGAGAGGTGAGTTTTCAATATAAAGTGATGTTAGACAGCTTAGCAAAATGGTTTTGAAATTAGTTGAAAACTTTGAGGAGACATAAAAAGACCCTTTGAAATACCAACATGATCGTAAAAGACAAAAATCTGCGAGTGGTCACATAAGGGTGGCAACTGCTCCATCAGCCCCAGTGACCTTCTATCGTACAAATAATAAGCTTTTTTCCTCCCACTAAAGTTCTTTTTAGTTTTCTATCCAAACAAAGGCTGGACATCAAAGCTGACTTGCCCTAAAAAGGCTTTGTTGGGTTATGCTGTCAGATGTAGGCAGTGGCGTACCCAAGGGGGGAATAGGGGAGTCCAGACCCCCCACTTTTCTGAAATATGATCCTCAAGATTTGCCCGAAAAACAATGTAAACTCATTGGGGGGCGGGGGGGGGGTGGTGTAGAATACTATATGCTTGTGTCAATAACAATTGTAAAATACTTTGCTATTTACATCAAATAGTGGAGGAAATTTTGTAAAAAGGGCGTTTCCCCGCATTTGCGAGTGTTTGAAGGGCGTGGTCAAAAAAATTCTACGGGCTGCGTCCCAGACCTTCCCACTGTTGCAGCCCTGGTTACGCGCCACTGGATGTAGGTCCCCTTTCAAAGTATTAGTTAGTCAAATCCTTAAGGAGATAATACTTCAACATCTTCTAATCGAATACATTTGTACGAATATTATTCTTATGTGACGACACCCCTTTTCGTATAAATTTTTTATGGTTGTCAAATTCTTTACGCAAATAAGACCAGCTCGTTTATTACTAATACTGAATTTTCAGGTAGAAAGACGCCTTTGTATAACGGCATACCAGCCACTCCTGTTGAAAGAGACGACAGTGAGCCCATAGCTGAGCTGCTGCCAGCAAGTTTGAGGAGAATCGAAAGTGCATGGAGGGAGGAAGTCAATGCAACAAAAAGAGATCGAGGTACTTGATTGTGTTGATCCATGCCTTTATATGAAGAATATTAAACATTATTTTACAGCTATATTTTACAGAATAAACGTATTTAGTTTATGCTACTCAAGCTTTTTAGCCAAGCCCCCCCCCCCCCGGTATCTCGGTCCTTTGTTACATTCTAGTTCATTCCTGTTCTATTTTATTTTGCTCTATCGTGTTCTATTCTATTTCAGGTAATATTTATGGAAAGGCGGGGGCAAAGCAGTGGTATCACCAAAGATTGGTAGGTACACTATGATTTTAAGAAATAGCCATAATTTGACAGATGTTCATCAATTTTATCACCAAAAGAATACTGACTCATTGACATAAAAGAGGATCTTTTAGTTCAACGATAAATCATAACAGCAGTTTTCACCCACCATAATTCGAGGCGGTAAGAGGAAAATAATTTATCAAAAATCATGTATGTGTCAAAACACTGTTATTTGTTTTTGTTGCTGACATTTCAAATCTTTCAAAATACAAACTCAATTATATCTCTTATGATGGTTTTGAATATTTTTAGAAAGAAGATGCTGCCAAAAGAAGCTACCCAAAGCTCGTACCTGGGTTGAATACCTGGCTGAACGACGCAAACGAATACGGTAAACATAAACTAAATCATATCCAGCTGGCCCAATTAGTGTAGCCAAGCCGGCCCAAAAAGGAACGGTTGAAAGTAAAATGAACAGGGTTCCATGGACCTACTTTTATGAAACTTGGTTACAGTCATGGACAACACACTTAAATTCTCGGAAAAGCTAATTTTCATGTAACACGTTCCTCTAATAAAAAAGCTAGAGAATTGCCAGCAAATTTTACTCCAATGGCAAATATCTACTTAGGAATCACCGGGAAATTTTATCAAAACCAAATCGATCGTTTTTAAGACCATAACAGTACTTACCATACATGCAAATTGGGACTTTTGTGCCAGACACCAAGCAAAACTGCCTTTTTAATTAGTTAAATACCTCTTTCTAAGTCTTCCTTCTCCACGTACAGAGGGCCCCAGCTACTGAATGTAAGACTTACCATAGCAAAAAGGAGAATGCAGAAACATTTATTTTAATTCCCAGAAAGGCTTTTCGTTGTGAAACGACTCCCTTAAAATAAAATAGCTATAGAATCTGCCAGCAAATCTTGCTTCCATAGCAAAACAACTTATTCACGAACATTTTTAAATCTTATCTAAGCCATGTCGACGATCCAAAAGTTTCAGAAAGTAAGTAAAACAAGTGAACAAACATACTCGTTTGCACTATCCTACTTAATATTTCTCCTTAGTCCAAATCCCACAATGTCCTGCAGTTACATGAATAAAAATAAGACAATATGGCTTCGCTTTGTAACAAATTCGTAATTCAGAAAAGTACCCCGAGAATCCCTATCTCAAATGTAACAGAGTTCCCCTCGACCTCTGGTCCAGCAGTATATAAAAGTATACTTTTTAACTAATACTTTATTTTCCCATAGAAAAAATGGTGGTCCATGACTTTATGAAGAATGTGTCAGAAACCATTAATAATGAGCCTCCTTCTCGCGATGTTCAAAAATTCAAAGAGGCTGATTTTCCAGTGCCGCCGTATAAATCTGATTATCCCAAAATTGAGGAATACTTGGATACAAACATTGACAAAAACGAAAGGCCTGGCTTTGATGGTATCGTCAAGGCCCCGTCTCTGCCAGACGAAGAGGACTTATTTCTAGATGAGCAAATCATCCAGCAGAGCCTTTTAGATAACCAACTATCGCAAGCAGCTCTGGAAAGAGAAGTAGAGGAATACAAGAACGTCAGTTTCAGGCATCCGACAAGAGAAACTATCGTTTCACCGCCTGACAGAAAGCTGCTTTACTCAAGGGGGTCGTCGCGGAGCTCTATTGCATTAAATAACAAGAAAACAACTGACGGAAGGTTAGCGGATTATGATTATCATTATGACCTCTCGAAACAAAGATCTCACAGTGCGATGTCTATGCATGTAACTGGAGACAAGGTTTCAGATAGGCAAAGGCCCAAAAGCTCTTTAGGAATTTATGATCCAAAGTATTCAAAGGGTAGGCCAACTAGCTCCAGCTCGTCTTCAAGGCCATCGATAAATATAACGAAACGAGCAAAGAGTGTCGAAGTCCCTTTTCGTGCTGGCACACCTGAGGTAGTACAAAGAGTACATTCTGCAGGCTCAGGTAGGAGCTCTGTATGCAAGCTACGGAAGCATTTTCACAACGACCCAACATGCTCTAGTTGCCAAGAAAGGGAAATAAAACGGATGGCTGAAAAGTTAGCAGAGTAAGTAATATAAGGAAATTTCTTATCATTTAAGGGTTTATTTCACAGTGGAAATTTAGCTATGCGTTTGTAGAGATGATAAGTGACGCTTTTTAAAGGGATTTTGTTAAGGTCAATATACATTTCTGTAATCAACGCATAAAAGATGGCGAGACGAGTCTGGATTCAGACATTCTTTCACAGACAAAATGGGCGTTGCAATAAGTTATTCACCAACCTTTTTGAAGATCGCTTTCTTTGAAAAAAGCAAACGTTTTACAACATACTGAAGCTATTCCTCTGACACATTTTAGAGTATAAATCGTTAGAATGAGGTCTGAGAAGATCAAGAATGAAAATATATACCAAGTTGTGGATCGAAATAGGCTAATAAGAAAATCGCGAGCACATGTCCAGCATAGTTATCCAATCAGTACCACGTGCCTATAGAAAAATATCAGTTTGTTGTAAAATGCTTTTTTCATAACCATTTTCAAATTCTTTTCCACTAAAAAATTAACCCGCTTCTTCTAGTGTCCACAAATTTCTCGACAGCGTAAGTCTCCACTTTGACAACAGGAATATTGGACTGGGATTTTAACAAGAAAATTATCATGTAATCAAACCGTTTTACAGGAAACATTGTTTAATATTGGTTGCACGATATGTGCAAGTCCGTTCTTGTAAGATTTTTTTCTTTGTTTTTAAAAGTCTGTTATTAAAGGCCGATTTCGGTCTTTGAATGGCAAGATTTTCTAGCTTCAACGTCGAAAACATGCCGTTGTACGCTGGGCTTTGGTACTTCTAATTGTAGACTCGCTGAAGAATACTTTTCTGCAGAAATAAACCTTTAGGACGGAATCTTAACTCCTAAAAAGTTAGAAAGCCACACCCATAATAACTTCTACTCTTTAAATTTGCAGCATGCAACCGAAATCTTACGACAAGCTGAAGAAACAGCAACGTGACCAACCAAAGATGGCGGTTTCAAAGATGTACAAAGCATCTTTTGATGACTACAGCTTTCCTGCAGATGACTATATCTACAATCAATCTGTGTTTGGAAAAGTTTCTGCTAAAGATAGAGGTTTCTTTATCATCCATCCAGAATGGGTTTCTGAGAGAGCTAAGCCGAAGAAGGGCTACAGATGAAGCTAGCGAAAGGACCGCTCGAATCAGGGTATTTTCAGCAAAATACCCGATCGAGTATTACATTTAAATAAGTTATTAAACATTCATAGGTAGTCAGTTTATGATTTTTAATAAGATATGATCTTTATAATTTATACGCTATTAGTGAACTGATTAGAACATATTTAACAAATATCGAGGTCTCTATATTGGTACAAAAAATGTCAAAATTCACCTTGTCTAAATGTCAGATTTCCGCAAGATTTGTAAGAACTTGTTTATTGTAAATTTTGTCGTGCGAAGTAAAGTAAAAGCGTTTTATAAGATATGACAAATGTGATTTGGATTGATTTATTTTATTATAGTAAAACCGGGTAATGAAAATAGATTACTGTTAATTGCGCCCTGGTCTATGTCTTTTTATTTATTCTTTGTTAACCAAAGTGGATTTGATCAGCAAAACGTAATATTTCTTGCAAGGAAGCAAAGAATACAAGCGCCAACTTCGAAGGTCCTATTGGTGTATTGGAGTAACGCTAAAACTTCAGAAATTGACAATGATATCGGAATTACATGGGCTCCGACAAAGGTTGAAAAGTGGGGGGCCAAGGGAAAATTTAACACCCATAACAAAAGATTATGAAAAAAACTCTATGTTTTGCAAAAAATTATTTCTTTAACTAGAAATATATTCTTTAACAGCAGTGTCTTCAGAATGATATTCATATTGGGAGGGGGGTGGGGGCGTTGTATTGATCCTCATTTCACTCTTAAAAATGAAAAATAGTACAGCGTGACAATTATTTGGGGGATGCAAACCCTCGCTACAGACAGGCCTGAACATAATCTTAGGCCAGCAGCAAAGAAATAATGAGGCAGATAATGGCATGAAACTTGTATTTTAGAATTTATGGAGAAATGAAGATTTTTGGGATTTGACCGCAAAAATCATTCCGGTTGAAACTTTACCCCACTCTTATAAAATTTTTAGCTTTATGTCGTCATAAAATCAATATCATGAACAATAACATAGTAAAAAATTCCAAGTTTTTGTAACTAAAATTCTTGCCCTCAATCCGAATCATGGGTCAAAAACTTTGTACAAAAAAATTTGAAGAATTTTTAAAAATGGGGCTGTAAGTTTAATCGGTGTACTGAAAGCGAGTTCGAGAACAGAGCTCATTTAAAGGAGCCCAACATAAAAGGAACTCATTACTGCAAAACGAAAAGAAGAAATGCAGCCTGAAATGCCATCTTTCGGTTTTCATCTTATATGTGTCGTAGTTGGATTAGAAAAAATTAGCTTTCACAAAGTTTTCACAAACATTTTCCGTTGCATCTTGAAGCTTGACGATTTGTTAAACGGTGGAAAAGCTATGGCTCCATGAAAATCTACTTCCTAATACTAAAAAGTCTATAACAACAAAAAAGCATTGTAAAGGACAGGATAATTTAGTTTGCGTAAAATTTAGTCCAATGTCACTAGAATGTCTGGCGTTATGCAAAGAACAGAGGGTTTCAAGCAAAGCATATCACAAATAACAAAATACCAAACTAGTCAAAAATTGGCATTAAAAATTGGGGGCTGAGTCCCCCTTATATACTTACTTTTAAGAACTTAAATTTGCTCCAACTTGAACATAAGATGGATTTGGATAGTTTGTTTCGACAAAAAAACTAGAAATGCTTCGGATGGGTACAGTTTCTAAAGCTAATTATGATGAAATTTTGGGATTTTTGCGGTAGTGTATCTCAAAATATCACCTTCAAACTGGCATTGAAAAATGTTGATTGAAGTTAATCGAAGTAAAATATTTCATAATATTTTCGTTTTGCGTAAGGATTGAGATTTGATTAATGTTTATTCATATGACGTAAGGTTGTCAAATTAAACGTATGAGTCAGCACAGATAGATGCTTTTCTGAGTGCGAAAAACCATCTTTATTGCAGCGATGCTTAAAGGTCAAGATCCCGCAGCTCCCAGGCAAAGGCAGTCACACTCACATCCCTTAATACACAGGGAAGATAATTGCTTGAAATGCCGGGAGAGGCTAGTAAAAGAAATAGCAGACAATATAGCGAGGTAAGAGGAAATTTCATAGTACAGCGAGTTTCCACTCTTAAAGGGTCTTTAGAACCTTAATTTGTCTACAATAGTCACGTTTAAAAGTTGACAGCCAATGGCCTAAAATAAGCGTAGGTCTGACTCACTTTGTGGAGTTATAAATTGAAATTGTGGAACAGTAATTGTGCAAAGTGTGGATTTGTTGATAGTGCACGTTTTTAAAAGTGCAGCATAGAACTAAGATAAAATTAGGAACATTTTTTCAATGCGAAGTAAATGTCCAATCCCAGCCTTATGTATTGCACTCATTTTCTATAAGAAAATTGCTATTAGAATGAGCAATGGGCATTAGAAAAGAATTCAGAAACTTCAGAGCTCGAAAGTTCAGTACACGCGAAGAAAATGAATTGCGCTTTATGATATTGTCGTGCTGTTTTGAAGTAAGATGGACCCTGTATACAGCTTCAATATCAAGACAATATCTCAAATTAGTGTGCTGGTATGACTTCTCTCGGTGGTAGCTGGAAGGAACATTTACTTGGGAATGTTACATAACAGTGACCATAGTCCTCCCCAACTTTTTTTGCAAAAATAGGTGAGAAAATGTTTTGAAAGTCTACGCCAGCGACTCAATTAGTAGCAGTTCTTCTTGACTGGGAACACGTTTTTGTTCTTTTTCATGGTACATTATTTTGTTTGATCAAAGATAAATTTGTATTTTATCTAACTCGCTTTTGTATTTTTACATTAATTGAAGTCTTCTCTGAATCATTATGTTTATGAATAAGGACAGAAAGAAGCAATTTTTTCTGAAATGGATGTTTTCCGGTGTTTCAAAGGGCGTGGTCGTAAAAAATTTAGAGGCAAGCCCCCTAGCTCCGTACAAGTCAACACCTTGTGGGCTGGTGCGTGATGTCTGCGTTACAGACAAGATTAGGGTACAGATCATACTTTCAATTTACGCGAAAAGGGAATAGGAAGAGATCAGCACAACTTTTACATCAGCGAGAGAATAGATTATTTGCCATCCGTAACGAGGTTCTCATTTATAGTATCAAAATGTTCTGAAAAACAGATTTGATGACAAAGGAGTTGATGAGCTGAATGCAATCAAAAACGTTCCATAAAAAAAGAGACTTAAGAAAGCTTCACTCAGCTTTTGTCCCGGACAAAAAGTTTCATCCAATCATGCATTGAAATAAATGACTAAGATCACAGAGATCTGAGACTTGAGCAAACCCTAATTCAGGTTGATTCCCACCTACAACAAGATACATGCAGGTGGGGAAAGCAGCATAACTCCAGAAAAACGTAACAAAAAAATTGCAATAAATGTGCTCGATCTTCCAAGTTTCGAGTTCTGTGAACTGCTTCAAAGATGTGGCTCCGAAAAACCAAAAACACTAAAGTCTGGGAAGCAAGATTGATTTAGAAGGGGGTTTTGAAGGTGAAAGGAAATAAAAAACAACTTTGACAGAGATCCGAAGAAACCATGTAAAAGGGTTTCGTTTCGTAACCCTTTGCTGACAAGTTAAGACATCTCTTTATGTTGCTAATGTTTTTATCAACCCAATCCATATATTGAAAAGAATCAGCTTTTGCTATCTACACTTCGCTCATTTAAGATTTTTCCCAATTAGGACATGCTATTTGCAATATAGTGGCAGTTTCTATATTTGACCCGCCCATTGTGCCAATCCCAGCAAGGTACCAGACCTAATTTTTATAAAAAATGCGGATCTGTAAAAATTTCTTATTTTAGGCCCTGTGACAACCCCAGGTTTAAAAACCCCTTAAGTCATCAACGCTGCTGCTATATTCTCAAGCATCCTCCCCCTGTCCAATTTTGATTCCTTCACTAGAAATGGTTGCTAGAAGTGTTCAATAGAACCTCCAATCATAAAGGGAAGGGAAACAACTTTGAAAATGCTGAGGATTTTTTCACGAACTTCAGCAATTTTTACAAATCTTGTTTCTTTGTTTGGCTTTCTCTCGATTATTTTACCTATTTAGAGAGCTCCTCCTTAATCAATCAATCTTAAATACAGCCATATAAGTTTTGAATAAAACTGAAACTGTAAACTGTAAACTGAAAACTGAAACTGAAAACTGAAACAAGGCATGTAGCCTCTTCTGAAAGAATATATTTACTCAACGGGATATTTGCACTAAAATGTTGTAGACTTGAAAACACTGTATAAGACGTATGAAAAGCGTAGAATGAAAGCCCACTTCACTTTTCGTCTTTAAGATTGATGATTTTAAATCCTTTAGACTGAATCGCTTCACCTTCGAAACCATGTCTGCATGACCTTCATGGTACCACAGGCCCATATGCATTTCACTGTTTTATAAAGAAAATCTATAGTTCTACAGCAAAAGCTTTGAACTTTATATTTACGTTCTCAAATGAAACTCTATACTGGGGACAAAAAAAGGTGATTGACTATTATTTCTTTTATACTGGATGTATGTCAGTTTAAATTTGGTTCATTAACATGAATGTTATATAGCATAGCAAAAAAGTCAGGATAGATAGAAAAAATAAATGAGACGACTAGCATTTTCTGACTATTCATTCTCCTAGCGACAAGGATCTAGTTGCCAACTCGAAGGAAACTACCGTCCATAGTCAATCAATTAGAATCTTGGAATTTGCAGTAAATAAAACTCACACCCAGCAGCGGCACCACGGTAGGGGACGCGTCCCCCAGCCCCCCAGTTCTCGGCAGGATCAATTTCGTCTAAATTCGATGAGAAATATTGGAGAGGGGTAACATTTCGATAACGTGCTTCATGTGGTGTAATCCTTTGATCTTCAAACTGCCTTTACTTACCAAAAGTTAGTCATGTGCGTTCCCTTCGGATAAAATTGGCGTTCCCTGTTGTGAAAAGGACGTTTTCTGGTGGGAAAAAGGGAGTGGCCTCAATTTTTTTATTTTCTCTCCCCTCCCTTAGAGCTAAATGGCTGGGGCCGCCTTAGAGCTAAATGGCTGGCATTGCTCACGCCAATCAGAATCCCATTCTTAAGAAGGATCGTTTTTTGCTAAAACCTAATTCAATATCTTCTTGTGATACTAAAGATTATATTTTTGGTGGCAGGACAGATCACTCTGTTCCCAAGAGCCGAAAATCTGATTAAAGCCTGGTTCATGAGCTTACTCAAAAACCCCCTTCACATTCCAAAAGCCAGAACTACCAATAATGGTATCAGATCATTAAGTTTCAAAGGGCCTAAAATCTGGAATTCACTCCCGGAATCAATAAAGATAGCACAAAATACTAGACAATTTGAGAATTTGATCAAAACTCGGTTACTTGAAAACAAGTGCGCATGCTCGTTTTGCAGTAAATGAACTGTCTTATGCAATCCTTGAAATTGCTTCATGTTAGTCTTAATTAGTGTATATTCACTATTGTAAAAACTATATAAAAATTAAATAATTTACAATACAAATATAAATACAAACTTGAGATCCTTTCGATGCTCCTCATAAAAAACCTCTAGGTATGGCTAGAATACGAGCACGAACATAGGAAGGGTTTGAAATCAGAAATTCACTCAGGTTCAATCTTGGTAAAGGGACTTGAAATATGTTTTTTGGTTTTTTTAGACAAGAAAATCAAAGTTTATCGCATTCATTAACGGATACCATCAAGGACCGCGACGCAGGGAAATTCACATGTGAGCAGGACAAAGAGAATGGTGGAAGGAACCAAGAAAATACAATGAGGATTGCTTCAAGGGAACTAGAAGATGGGCCAGCCCAAGGCTTCTTCACAATCCACTCAGACTGGGTCTCTGAAAACAAGAGGCCCTTTCATGCTTATCGACCATCAACAGGATTTTACAACGAGCTCTCACGCTGGATAGAAGAAAATCAAAATGAAATCATCCGCAAACCTCATTAATGATGAGAAGTAAGAGAAAAAAGTCGATGTAAACAGAGAACATTCGAATATTGCTGCAAGTTAATGATATACCATCAATGAAACTTCCTCCATATAAAACTGATTCATCACATTGCCTTATAAACATTTAAAGCTTCAAAAGGCCTCAAAATTTCACTTCTTTGTTAATACGAATGGTAACGAAACAGATGTGCTAGAGTGCCGTGTGAAACCGCAAAAAAATTAAATCGAATTACAGTAGACTTAAGGTTAAAGTCACACCAAATGTTACTCCAAAATTTGTGACTGTAAATGGAGTGTGACTGTAAGCGGAGCTAAATTAAGTAGTTTTTGCATATTTGGGTCTAGATTTTATGTAACTGTGACTTTAGGCGGAGTGATGATAAGCGGAGTCGCCTGTACCAATTTCAGATAAAAAACTTTAATGGCAAGGGTGGCGAAAAATATTGACATGTAATATCAATGATATTTTTAAACTCGTCAAGGGAAAATTTAGCAATCATAACAAAAGATTGTGAAAAAAGCTCTAATGTTTTGCAAAAAAATGACCATCTACAGATAATTTCCCCTCCAGCCAAAGTGAAACACCTAAATTTAGACAAAAGAGGACTATATTCTTAAACAATAATAAAGGGTTGTCCCCACCAATCACATATCTAGTGGGAATCACGTTAAATTATAATCCTGATCTATAAAAGATTTCACCATGTTTAAAAAGTCTGTTTTGGGTGAGTTACAGACAAAGAAATTGGTCCACACCCTCGTTGGGCCAAGGAAACACCAATTTTAGAAATGAATTGTGAATAGAAGGTGATCCTTCAACTATTTGGAAATCACCATACATTCAAATACTGAATTACAAATATATGAACTTCCGTTGCCAAAAACACTTTCCAGAAAAGAGAAAGGTGACACGACAAGCTACATCTGATTTAAATTATTTAAATGCCAATTTATCATTGGAAACGAGATTTAGGGTCAGTAGATTGGCACAAGCTTAAGAGGGTTTGGATTGGGGAGGGGACTTAGCAACTTACAAATTCATTACTGGCGTTTTTGTAAAAAGGATTTTTATTTGCTTAAATGAAGGCCACTCTCCTTGCTAAACCATCGATGGGTCTGTATAAATGTATGATAATTTCATTTTATCATTTACACTCTCTTTTTAATAATAACAATTTTATAAGAACACGAGCCTCAAAACTGGTCAAAAGTTAAGAACAAATTAAGAACAAGCTGAGGCTGAGCTTCTGCAAAATGAAATTTTGAACGAAGTTTTTTCTCAAAATCGAGGATTTTTAGCAATGTGTGGGTGCTTTTTCGGTGAACTTTGTTGGCAAATGAGGCCTGAACATCCCCTTAGAGCGAAAAGCTAGCAATAGCACTGCTTACCTCCCTTTTAATTTAAGAACAAATTAAGAACAATCCAGCCTCAGATTTTCGACAAAAATTAAGAACAGTCAGCCTGAACTTAAATTTACTCGTTCTTATAAAAAAAGAGTGTACTGCCAAGATATGAAACGAAAGTTGCTTTCTGGGGCGATCCCTAATCCTCTTTTCACAAGGGTATTTCGAGTGGAAACCAAGTATACAGTATTCATATGAATAAATTCACAAGAACATTGAAGCTAGAAATTGGCGAACTTTTAGATTTGGTTAAGCATTCGCCATTAAAATTCGAAAATGAATGTCAAACAAATCATCACTGGAATTTTGTAATGATGACAATAGGAAATGACCTTATCCTTGATAAAGTTGTATTCGGCATCTTTCCAAATTCTTTCAGTGCTCTTGGGAGACAAATAACAAACCAGCTATCCCCAGAGCACAGCATAACCAAATATTTATTTCCTCAAGCGAATAGGTGCCTCAGAAGGAAGTCACCTGAGTATTGATGAGAAAATGATCTGCTAATTTCCGATTCACGGCCTAGGAAGGGACCTTTTAGAGACCAATTCTTCCCTATTATCGTGAGAATTACCTTAGGACGGGCCTTATTCCTAATCAATTTAACGTTATTCTCTTGAGATTAGATGCTTCTTCCTTCTCGTGCAAAGATGGTGAAAAGATTTTACCATCAATGGCCGCTACTCACATCCGCCAGACATTTTCTGAAGACAGGGTGATTATGTGAAGTTTGATGATGGATACCTTGTCAACTTATTGAAACCAAAAATGACAGAAAAACAACAACTCTAATGACACTGTTTATCGATACAATAGATTTTGAGATCGAAAATCGAGATCTAAAATCTAGGTTTTGCTTGATGAATTCTGGCTATACAATTTCGTATGACTATTGATCGTCCTTTTTAAAGAATAATTTACACTCATTTTTATACACACCAGAGGCTTTATGTTATAACTTTTTTAAAGGTAATCTGATTTTTTGATGTCCTTGATGTTAATGACAAAATCTCCTTTGTTTTGTTGACAATGGAGAAAATTTTCAAAAAAACATAATGGCATTTTTCTAATATTGATTTTATGTTTTTGGAAAGTCGTTCCTCGGTGTATTTACAAGGTGTGCTCTTATAAAAAAGAGGGTAGCTACATTGCAGCGAGCTGTCACTGGGTTGCCTTCATGAAATTTCATTACATTGACCTATACTAGCAAGGAAGGTTGAAAAAATGAAATAAAAATAAGCAAAGTGCAAAAACATGAACAAAATCATAAAAAATTTAATAAAGTATAATAGAATAAACATTTTTCTGCTGGTATAAATTAATCAATTAATTGAGGTTAGTGAAACGTAGGCGAAATTATCACAACACGGCGCTTTGAAAAAATTAAGCCAGTACTGCTACGCAAGAAGCCTCCATTGGTATTAAAAAGGGGGAACAAAGATGAAAAAGGTTTAGCAATGGATTTATCATCTAATGATAGTTTTAGGTAACAAAAGAACCAAACAAAGATAATTATGAAAAAGGCCGAAAATATGATGAACAAACTTGTACTTGAATAAAATATTGAGGAATGTTTCAAGTCCGCATATTGAAAAAAACGCATAAATTAACAGTGTAAAAGTTGTTACCTCGATTTTTTGCTGATGTTTAAATGATTCCCTTTTTCAAGAACCATTTTCTTCTCTCGCTTACTTTTCCTAGGAAAAATACAAAACATAAAATGATATTGATTAACAAGGAGTTTTAAAAGTAGCATTGAAAAAGCAAACATTTTAAATATACTTAAGCTTTTAGTCTGACACTCTTCAGGGTATAAAACGTCAGAACATACATCGAAAACTCTACACTAGGAAATATATATACCCAGTTGTGGATCGAAATAAGCCAATCAGAAACGCGAGCAAATGACTTGTTCAAGCAAATGAGCCGTTGAGGTTACCCAATCAGTGCCGTTCGTCTGTTGAAAATATTACCAAGGGTGAAAACTAAATCGTATTATAAACAAAATGGCAACTTTTTCATTCTGTTTAGATATTTTCTTTTTCGGAAACCTTTTTTTTAATTTCTGTACCAGCAAATACTAGTTTAAAAACAATTAATATTTGTTCCAGGTTACTAAACAAAAACCATTAGCAATTAGGGGTAAGATGGTCCTCAGAATTTTTTACCATTGTCAATCATAAGACTGAAGGTGGTGTTCTCTCATCATTTGAACCATTTATTTTTGGGCTGTCGGTGCGCCAATCGCAAAGACGGCCATAAATAAAACCCAAACCGTTTTTGAGGGGGTTGAGAAGAAAAATAATGGCCTTCTGCCCCCGACTAGCAGCACCTTGTTCATGCAAAAAGTCGCAAGCCATACGGCCATTAACTAATGCACGAAAAAAAAGTAGAAAGTCAACATGCATTTAAATAAAAACCCTGAAAAATTTCTAGACATGGGTTGGGTTCGCAAAGGAAAAACCTTTCCTCTCCAAAGTCCAACTTTGAGTTGTCGTGCAACGTTTGAGAATGAAACTGTGCTAAGACAAAGTTTATATACCCAAGGCCAATGCACACTTGCACGCTTGTTGCTATAGCCGTATAAAAGACACAATGTAAAGCTTACTCCAGCACTGCTACAATAAACACAAACTCCACAAATGTGCAATCTGTGCCCAAAAAACAAAAGCCCAAGGGGCACCTAAAAGGCGTACCCTGTCACATATTAAACGTGATTAAATTTCATTTAATCAAGCTTTATTAAGAAAATTCAGTAGCCAGATTCGACACACTGTTTAGGAAATATGTCACTTTATTCATTCATTCATATTGAAACAAAAGAATTTTTGAGTCTAAATCACTGACCACGAAAGGGTATTTACTGACAAGTTGAGTGACCCCTCCCTCCTCATTTTGCAGATACGCAACAAACCCCCACACATTCCGTGCACAAACTACCCACAATCTATCAATTGCTTTCCCACAAATTGCTTAAATGACGTAATGAAAGCCAATCCTCAATGGTTTTGCCATTTTCTGATTTTAAATGTATAAGAAAGTGTGAAGGATATCAAAAAGGAAAGGACAATAAAAATTATTCAAGAAATATTACAAGTCTCGAAGAAAGTCGTTTCTTATCTAAATTGAATAGCTGACTTCAACCCTTTTGAATCCTTTTAAATTAGGGCTAAAATTATTTGGCTGAAGACATCTTTGTTGACGTACCTTTTTGAGCAAATCAACCCGGTTTCCAGTGCCAACAAATGTTATGTCATAGATTAAATTCCAACACTCGTCCTATTTGGTTCCAAAGTAAACATATTACTTACTCACCGAGCGTGCCTTAAAGTTTTCAATTTTTTACAAGTAAACAACATATTGATAGTCAATCTTAAATTGAACCCTATCCCATGCCAAAAGTTAAGGGCGCAAATCCGAATAGTTGGTTGGTTTGTCCGGATTTTAATCCGGATTCGTTTATTGTTTTCAATAGTATCAAGAGCTAAATGCAACTAACAAACAGAAAAACTTTGACAAGAAGGAATCCACATCAAAGATTAATCATGACGGCGAGGAAGATTACAGTTTAACAATAATGTGAAAGTCGCACAATCATTTCCGTTCCCTCTAGCTACGCCGAAAAGGTCACGTTTAGCTAATAATCAAGTCATTTATAAAAGACTTGACGTTGAAAATAAATCCAGAAGAAATTGTTCACAGAGACTGAGCATCTTGAGATTTTTGGACAATTTTCTATCTATGCCCAACATGCAATCACAATTTACAACCATACTTTTCCTATGCGGAGTTCTGTCTTTTCAAGTCTTTGTCCACTGCGGACCGTTGGAGGACCAGCTCTTTCTGAATGGTAAGTCGACAAAAATTCAATTCTCTATTCTATTCTTCTGTGTACTCTATATATTCTGATTACTCTATTCTTACTCTATTCTTTTGTGTTTTTCAGTGCTGCCTTATAAATACTTTTGTTTATGTTCCTCAACTTTATACTCGCAAAGTTCGTTTTTATCAGGAAAAGGGCTCAGATTTTTGTCCCAAGGCTGTGCTTAATCTAAAAGCATTATTGGATTTTAGTTATGTATGTATGTATTTATGTATGTATAATTTTGCCATCAAATAATTACAATTTAAAAGAAAAAGATCTAATTACAGATATATAAAATTTACAGATAGAAGTTAAAAACATAGACTAAAAACACCCCCAGGTTAAAAATGGCAGGGATAGCATTAAAAAGGTCAGTACTATCTTGTTTTCATAATGGTCCCTCCAGAGGTGTTTTAAAAAATGTGTACATAAAAAATTGATTTGTATTCAAAACTAGGAAAAAAGTAATTCTGGAAAAATGTTAACTAGAACCTTTTCATTGGCTGAATTTGGGTTTTCAATAAAATATGTAGGGGCTATCCTCCTGACTTTGTAGACCATCAAAGAATTTATCTTTGATCTTGTGTTTGAAACTATTGACGTTCTTTGCAGATTTTAGTTTTGACGGTAGATTGTTCCAAATTTTGGGACCAAGATATGAGAGGCAATTTTTCCCTATGTTTTTCTTTCAGAAAGGTTGATTCAGTTTGTTTTTAGATCTTCGAGTGATTCTGTTCTGGCCAACTGGTAAGAACATCTCTGATATGTAGGGTGGGGCTGAATTATCAAAAAATTGAAAACCTTTGCAGTCATACATTGTTCAAATCTCTCTTTCGTGGGAGCCAATTGATATTTGTGAATTCCTTCATTCCTATATGTGCTCTGTTATTTAGATTCAAACAAAATCTGATACACTTATTTTGAGCTGTCTGAATTCTTTTGGTCAATCTTTTGTTTAAGTATGGAAACCAAGCACTGCTTGCATAATCAAAATGGGGCTGAATTAGTGCGTTTGCTATAAGTATGGAAATTCTGATTAAAGTATGGAATATTTAAAAGTGTTTTCTTTTGAAACATTTAATCGATTGCAAGGGAGAATGAAATCACAGGGGCACATAGTCGAACAATTGCTGAAGCAGTTGGCAAATTAAAGGTTCAGGCACATAAGAACGTTATCGAAGTAAAAGAACAAGGTAGAAAGCCTAGGCAAACCCCAGAAGTCACCGATCAATTTTCTTAAAAAAGGAGGGACCGAAGCTACAAAACCTTAGCTATGTGGCCAATCAATGGTGGTCCACCCTTTTTTTTCTCGCGGACCTAAATTGATTGTTGCGCAACTGGAGCCAGCAATTGTCACAATTAAACGTATTTCCTCTTAAGAATAACGAAATATCTGATTTGATATTAGAATAGAACGATATCTTAAGTTTATTATAACACATGAGACACTTTAAAGAAATCGCCCATAACTAGGGATTGGCATCTCATCTTGGGTATCTTTAGAATACTAGAGAAGATGCAAAAACGCAACCTTCTTTATCTTGTAATAAGATTCTTTTTACAAACGAATCTTGAAATCTGATAGTCTCTTTTTTAGAGAAGCACGCTAAATAAGAATACCGAGGTTCAATTTTCAAAAACTGGATAATAAGAAGAAAAACATCGTGCTTTAGAAAAATTCCTCCCATGTTAAGGGACTGAGAATATTTCATCAGAGAATCAACCATTCTATTAAAAATTACTCGCTCAACTGTTTTTGAGTATAGAATGTAGTTGTAGGTAAAATTATCGCGTCTCGGCAAAAATCATCTGGTTCTTACAAGAAATTTTGAAAACCACGAATTGTAATTGCAAGACGCAGGCACCGTGCAGCCATTAGGCTAGCAGGGGCTATAGCCCACCCACTTTTTTGCAATAATAGGCTAGAAAAAATTTTTTAAGGTTTACTCTAACGCAACTTGGGATAGTTTACTCCTATGAAGTAGCAGTTCTCATTGACCGGAAACCATTTTTGTTCTTTTTCTGGGTGTTTCATCTTGTTTAATGATATGATATATTTTCTAACTTGGTTAGCTTGGTTTTTTATTACCCTCAAGCTAATTTTATCTATTTTTATAGTTATTGATATCTTCTCTGAACCAGACTCTTTATAAAAATTCAATAGAAATAAGCAAGCATCTTCTAGAAGGGGCGTGTTCCGGCGTTCAAGAGGGCGTGGCCTCAAAAAATGTCGGTCTCACCCATTTCAGCCCCTCCACTTTTAGAGTAGTGCGCGGCCCCTGGCAAGACGAATCTTAACCTGACCAATAGGTTTCAGTAAGTTAGTCATCCCAAAGAAATCATAGTTACCTTAAATTTTTGACATGAATGTTTTGTAAGATAAAAAGGGACAATGTGCAAATTACATGACTTCCTTTCAACTTCATTAGCTAAGCGAGCTTTATCTAAACAGCCCATCTTGCTTAGTATATACTTGAAATAGTATATAAGATACTGCTTGATGAGAAATAAGTATCCTGTAATAAGACACTCTTTTAAAAATGCTTGGTTATTTTAAAGTCATTAATAATTTCTTTATCTAGTAGGAAAAGCCGAATAAACATTATTCATGAATGGACAGTGAGAATGGCTCATAACGATTATCAATCAACTTTTAAAGAACTTTTAAGTTATTACAAGACTCAAAAAATCGACTCTCGTAAGAAATTTCACAATATCTTGTGATAGATATAAATAAAACATTTAACAGTTTAACTATATTTCAATTTCTGTGAAAGAATGGCCTGAATGAAATAATTTCTATGAAAGAATGGCCTTACAGCTTCCGATTTAGAAGTGAAATCCCAACTAAAAACAACAAGGCCCCATTACAAAATTTATGGATTTATTACTGTGTGAAGTATATGTTGCCAGATATGGAAACTCGATCCCCCAACGACTTCATCGTTCGATTGTACTTGTTGCTTTAGCAAATAGTACATATGCAATAATGATGAAGTATGATTTATACTGAGAGATGGCAATTGGTTAATTGATTAGCATGATATGTTTTAATTAATTGGTTTTAATTAGTGTCAGTGTAGCAAGATATTGTAACAACTTTGAATAAAGAAACAAATCAATCTTATTTGCATATTCATTTGCTATCGGTTAGATGTTTGGGCAATTCTTGTACGTCAGCCCAGCCCAAACCGGAGACCATCGTCAAATATTTAAAGAAATGACTCAATCTTTATCAAAAATACTTGGCACCAACGAAAGGTAAATCAAAGATGTCATCTTTTGTTGCTAAGCAACCATCACAACAAAGTATATTACCACAGCAACAACCGAAAGCATTTCACTTTCAACGTAACAAAGCACTAGGCCCAGGTGAATAAGAAAAAGAGAAACAACAACATTTCTAGATGAAGGCTCAACTGGTTTATAACTCACTCTTAAAGTTATCCAGAGCTCGGAATACATTGTAGTGGGCTTAAAAGGGATCGAAACAGGGGGAAATGAATGGCTCCATTTTTGCAAAGTTCATATGGCTAATATGTTAGGGGATTTATATAATACAACAAAACCTAGCCCCATAAATTATGTTTCCCTAACAGTTATAAACCGCGAAGAGAGCTGCCATAAAGATTAATGGCTTCATGTCTTCTTACGTAGATTTTCTACCCACGCCCAAACCACAGTGTGAGGTAGATTTTCATAGAGGAATCCGAAAAGGGTTTAGTACCTCGTAGGATTGATTTTCACCATTCCCAGAGCTTAAAGATATCATCCAAAGCTCCTTTTGACATGCAAAAGAGTTGATAAACTTGAAAATAGTATGGTGAAAATAGTTAACTTAACAGACATAGACATTGTTGGCCAGAGTTTAAGTAAAGTTGAAGTTTAATCTAGCTTATTCGTGCTTCTAAGTAGCTAGAGCTAGAAACTGTAGACTCCAGTTATAGTCACGCCATGAAATGAAAGTTTAACATATTTGGGCCTAAATTTTTATGTTACTGTAACCAGTAGTGTGTCTTTAAGCAGAGTGACACTAAGTATATGGCTTGTTTAAGCACAGTCTTAGAACAGTCGGCGGAGCAACTTCGGACCGTTCTGCTTTATACGGCAAGCGTAAGACTTGTTATAAATTTGGCTTTAATTTTATTTTATCCTATATTCTTTCTTTTAGATACCAGAGACATCGCAAACAGTGTGTCGGTGGAGAAATCACCCGAAGAGCAAAACAACTTGATTAGTGGTAGGTTTGAATTACTTTGTCTAGACAGTTAGATACCCCAGAATGTAGAAAAATGTGCTGCAGGCTTCATATGTTCCTTCATTAATTTTAAGCTTAGTTAATTTTAAGCTTAGTTAAGCTTAGATAATGCCTCGATCAGCAAGACTCGCTGCTTTTCAGGAGGCTGTTGCAAAATCAAATTACAATGAAAGAGAAATATTCACTATGTTAAGCAAGTATAAAAATTAAACGCTATTTTATATTTTACCTACATTTAAAGGTAATTAAACTGGGCCTAGCTTGACCTTATGCTCTAATTCTAAACCTTTGTCCCATAAAACGAAAATGCCCGTAGTGTATTTTCTTACATTGGGCTGCTGTTATCATAATTCGTCTTAATCCAGACACTTATATGCCATTCTCAGAAAAGCTAACGGAACTTAGATACCCAAAGGTAAATGGTTTTCCAACTTCACGCCTATCCGGTTTTCATGAGTATAAGCGGACAGGCGTCATAATCAAATTAGTACGGAATCTTAAAAGCAACGGATTACCAAATCCTTAATCCACAAAAAAGCTTTCTTCCGGCACTTTAGTTCTACAAAAGCGAGAATCGATTAACGTACACAGCAATGAACCGATACTGAAAACGTATGAAGCTGGGAGGAGTAACAACAAACTAACGTTTTTTTACAAAGCAATTCTAGGACAATATATTAGGGTTTCCTTGAGGAGTTATACATTTTTTCGCGGTACAGAATTTAAAAATGGCTTTGAAAAAAGCAAACATGTTACTAAAGCTTTTTGTCTGCCACTCTTCAGAGCATGAAATGTCTGAACATAGATCGAAAACTCTACGCTAGGAAATATATACACCCAGTTGTTGATCGAAATAGGCCAATCAGAAACGCAAGCACATGACTATTAAGATTGCCACCAAGGCTACCAATGGAGTCCTAAGGTGAAAACGAACTCCTTCTGTCTACACAATAGTTGTTATACATCCCATTCTGCCGGCAAATATGTATCATATTTTTACTTGAAGGCGTTCACATAATATGAAATCTTCTATAGAAACAAAGATACAAAAGGCTTCTGACACAAGTGCAGTACCTTCACATCTACCAACAACTGTGGTCACACCAATAAGAGAAACAGGCATTGTGAATGGAAATGCGAAGGAGCTGAGTACGTCATCAAAACCGACAGAATCATTTGAAACAACATCACAGATAAGTATGTATGAAAGAATGTTATACGAAAGAAGCTTGGAATATTAGTGACAAAATACCACATCAGTAACATCGTTCTATTATTTTTACAAAATATTTGCTCCAAATAAGAATCAGCTAACGAAAAAATGTCTCTTTTATTAGAAACTATAACTATTTTTTCACCAAATAACTAAACTGTCTAGGCCGTTGAATATCTAAAACTGTACAAAAATAAAAAACCGATGCATGAAAAGATAAAACATGCCTGAAGGAAGAGATCCTTAAATAGGCCGTCCACCGTATTTCACGAATCTTGTGGAGAAAAAAAGTATGATAAAAGACAGACAGGAACAGCGCAAAACAACGAGGAGCTTATATTATTAAATAAATTTTTTATAACCGTATATTTCATAGATCAAAAGTACACTCAAATTTTAGTTTTTCTTATTGGGTTTATTTTATTGCATTGGTACTCGTCAAAAAAGGTGCCATCAGCATGCAGTGTTATGGTTGAGCTTTTTCGTGCCAATTGGAAATTTTGCTTTTAAAAGACTTTTAAGAAATATTACAGTTTAAAGTAGATTATTATGCTTTTCAAGTTGAATAACGGTGTTCATTCTACAAAAGGTCCTCTGAAGAAGTCATCAACAAAAGGCACATTAAAGAATAAAGAAGTAACTACACAGTCAACACAGATTACCGAAAGTGCAAGTAATCCTTCAACGCTTGCTCCAAGATTGCAAGTTACAGAAACCTCTAATCTTCGAATGAATGAAACCAACAAAGGTAACTTCATAACTTCTACACAATTTTGTAAGATTTTGCAAGCTTTTACAAGATGTGATAATCCAGTTCTCTTCATCTAAATAGTTTTCCTTCGATTTCATGGTACATGTTTCTATGGATTTATTCATTCGCATAAACTGTTCATCCAATTAATTTCCATGGCTTGTTTCAACGAAACACCTGTTTTCCATATCCCAGCTATATTATTGGAGCAACTAACCATTTCTGAAAGAAATCTTACAAGCTGCACCAAAAAGCATTGAACAGGGGGCTGGCATCCTTGTTTTGGTTTAAAGTCCGCGCAACTTTCTCTGTTTTTTAATCAAGATATATTAGCTCTGGTTCTTTAAGGGTAATCTGTCAGTAATCTGAAGATGTTTGAACATGGCTTTGGGCTCAGCAAACCTTTTTGGCTCTCTCAGTGCCATTGGAAATCTGTCACATATTGCGTAAGAGTGTATTGTATTTATCAATCTTTAACTTTGTATCTTTGATTGCCATATCTTTGGATAAAATGTATTGAATAAATTGGAAATATATTGCTAAATTTAATGTCATACTTGAAAATGTTTATCACTTTGTTGAATTCAGGTGTTTAAAGTTACATTTCTCCTTGTTGCTATAGTTACAAAATCCAATGCAACAGTGACTGCTTCAACAAACCTAAGTGCAACACCAACAACAAAAAGGCTTACCACAGAAATCAACAGTATGTATCAATATATGAGTATAAATATATTTATTTATAATCTCAGGTTTATTTCTTATGTAAAGCGTTTCTATTTTTCTATTCAGTCATCATTTATGCACACGGTAAATCCTCGAATTGGCACACACAGTAATCATGATGATTGCCCCTCAAGAAAGCCTCTCGAATTAAGCCCACCCTAGAACTACAAATTGTCAATAAGCCCCCCTCCCTCGAATAAGCCCCCACTGCTACCTTAAAATCTCAATTGGACCCCTCAATTTGATGAGTTTTGCAATTGGCATTACCATCACAACAAATTCATACTTTTGGTGGTAATTAATTAAATGCTCATAAAGAAATTCCTACTAAAATAAACGAGGTCTTTCAATAACGTCTTCTTAATGTCAACAATAATTTTATAAGCCCCTGCCTCGTATAAGCCTCCCCCTCGAATAAACACCCATCCAAAAATATCAAAAATAAATAAGCCCCCAGGGGGCTAATTCGAGGATTTACGGTATTCTCATATTTGTTAAAACACACATTTTCACAACAAACCTAATAATATAAGATTAATTTACTTAAGGTTTTCAAAACACAAACACTAATAACAAAGAAATCAATTGATAAAAATGCTTAAAACCAAATAACTATTTCACCATTAAAAGCAAGATCAGATGTGCTTCAGCAATCAAAAACTAAAATGGACCAAAAAGATCAATTTTCAGACAAATTTTAGCAGACACATTGGTGCAAGGATTAACATGTTTTTCAACAATTCAGATTTCAATTTTAAGAGAGGCATGGACCCCCTGTCCCGGACCATAACACCACTGAGTTTGATGCAGATGTCAACTGATCATTTTCTTTTGACTGCTAACCAACCATAACAAGGACCTGTGTTGATTGCTTTTTCGGGACTATCACTGGTGGACCCCCTCAATGCACCCCCTACACCCCGACCATAATCATTTATATGAGCGTTTTACTTCAACTTGATCCATTATCAAACTTTTATTGGGCTTGCTAACTAGGTCTAATTTTGCTTTATCTGAAGGTGACCTAGTAAACATTTTAGAAACTGACTATAAAAAGTAAGGACAAATCTTGTTCAGCTTATCAAGTACAGCCATAAATTTCAGTTAAAATTATGCAGCTGCCTGTATAAACCTATTTGATCCACAGCAATAATAACCAATCTGTGTGATAAATGTATGAAGTCTGTACGTTTTTCTATAATATTGAGGGGTTATCAATCTCTTAAAGCAATAAATTGTTTTTGTCAGATCAAATTAAAGAGAATATGGCCAACAGAACAACAACAGCCATACCAACAGCTACAGAGACACCAGTGAAAGCAAGTTAGTATTCAAAAGAAATTCAACTTATTTTTAGATGCAATGAAACCAAAAGCTGCATGTTGTAAAAAAGGCACTTTAAGATTATTGAAAACTTATGATTATCCTTAAAATATGACCTCATGTGTCAATGAGTGGAGAAATATAACTAACTTTCATCAAGATAATAAGAGCTCTATATTGAACCTTTTTATAATAGATAAAGGGTTGGATAACGTGTTCATAGAGTTGTGTAGTAGACGATTCATAGGACCGGTCTTGTTGCCAGTGCGTGTGTCCTTTATATGCAGTGGTGTCGCATAGCAATTCTCGCTGGGGGGTGTAAGAGATGCAAAACCATATTTTACCAACAGAAAATCTTTTGTTACATTAATATTTTGTTATACATTAAATTCTACCAACGAGTTCTCTGAAAGTTGAGGGTGTACACCCCGAACCCCTCTCCCACCACATGCTACGCCCCTGCTTATATGTTCTTTGTAGGGTTGCCATCCTAAAAAATTAAGAATGGGGGCTTTGCTGTAGGCCACTTTTCAGGGGCACATGTATACAAGATACTTTTGATGACTTGAACTTTCTGATATTGTGTTGTATTCTTTTTGCAGAAAGTTGTGTAGACAAACTTGGCACTCATTCCTGCAAAATTTTGGCAAAAAGATATCCTAATTATGATCTTTGCAAAGTACTAAAAGTAATGAGTATCCACTGCACAAGATATTGTGGTCTTTGTGGTAAGTTTCACTATTTGCATACCTCATGTGTTACCTAAACGCGCAAAGGGGCCAAACAACAGTAACAGAGCAATAAAAATACAGATGAAAAATTGTATTTATAACACTACCGTAGAATAAATGAAATGGTTGGGAACATCATAGTGTGAGAGCAATTAGGGGCAAAAGCGGTTGTTCATTGCAAACAAAGGACTCGTGTACCCCAAAATGCTTTTTTGACTTTAAGAAGCATTCTCCAGGACATTTCAAAGTTTCAATTACAAAAGGATTTTGTTCAAGGCTTGGTTCTGAAATTCCTTAACCGACTGCCAAATTTGTATACAGAAAATCCCTTAGCCGTTTTTTAATATTCTCTTAAACTATTTCTTAACTTAACGTAAAAAACCGTGCAATGAATGATCTATTTTCTTCTTACATTTTAAAAGTCTATACCGTACCAAGCACAAGGCAAAGAGGAAAAGCTTTTAAGACTCACGATATTTTTTAAGAGAAGTGCCGTGCTTTGAAGACTGGTTTAAGGGCGTTCCACGATCTTTAACTTCGAAAAAATTTATTTTGTAAATAGCCATCAGAAAGAACTCGCCGCTCACTTCCAGTATTGTTTTGCTCACATGATTGTGCGATTAGAATTTCGCGCCATGTTTCTGTCTCGATTTCGTAAACGTCTATTCTATACATTATATGAAGATAAATGTTATCTTGATTTTATATTATATATATGAGATAAAATTTGTTGCAACCAGGCACAAATTTTCTGTAATAAAATTAACATCTCTGAATTGGCAATAAACACTTCGTGTTAGAGATACTTTGATCAAATTAAAAAGCACCTTTTAAGTGGCTTCATGCCGAGGTCAGTTGGTCTTTGAAGCCTTTTAATGCAATTTTTGGAACTAAAACACAAACAGGATACATAGCTGATCCCGTAAGATTATTTGATAAAATTTTTCAAGAACTTTAATCTTGATAATGCAATTAATACTTCCGACAATAACATGTTATAAAACGTAACACAAGTTATAGACAAACAAGTTGCTTTGGGTTTGAAAGTAAGCAACCTGGAATTGATGAGACCGGGGAAAAAATAGATGGCTGAGAGCAAAGATGTTATCTTTGCTGAGAGTGACTTCATTTTGCAGAAACATTTATAAAAAATTAGCCATTTTATATTGCTTTTAATGTGAGTAAGTTAGGTTCTCACATAGTTTTCACACGATCAACTACTGTGTTTCAGGGGTGCCGGAACACATTTTGGAGTGAGGGGCTCTAGACAAATTAGCAAACATTAATGGTGGTTTTTCCACCCTCATCCTTGATGCCACAAATTTAATACCATACTTAAGCAAGAGATTGAGGGGGCTACAGCCTTTAGCCCCCCCCCACCCCAGCTCCAGCTTGCCTGAAAACCACGTATTTCATGAATTTATGCAAGGTACTCAGACCACAGTATATAGTAAATCAATTTTTTCTCACTGTAGACCGATCATTGATAATTTGCTATCTTATTTTATCGTTTCAGGTGCCAGGATGCAAGAATTAAATAAACATGTCATAAAACCAGGTAATCCTTGATAACTCATATTGATAAACTTCTGAAATTAGAAACAAAAATTTCATAAAACTTAAATATTATTCTTTATTGACCAACGGCTTTGCTGTAATATGAGCTCATAAAAAGGAAGAGAAATTAATTTCGGAGAAACATTGATGAAGAATCAGCCATTTTATATTTTGGCAATGTCAGAAAGATAGGCTTTCGCACGATCAACCAAGCGTATTTCGTAGATTTAAATAACGAATTCAGACATATGTAGAAAGTAAATCATTTTTTATAGCTATAATTTGATATCTTCTTTGATCCTTCAGGTACAGTAAAGCAAGAATTAAAAAAGCGAATCAGAAAACCAGGTAACTCTTAACTTCAGAATTTAGCAATTACTATTTCATTAAATTCAAATTATTCTTTTTTCGTTATCAGTGGCCGAAATGTAGCAAAAATTCAAGCAATCTTATTCTAGAGATTTCCTACGACAGCTTTCTCTCTAAGAGACGGGGTTTGGGTGGGTAATTTGGTACAAAATTAGGTACAACCTATAGTAGAATCTACCTGGTTTGTCATTTCATGGCCCTAAAACATCAATATTCATGAAAAAGTGGCTTTCTAGTAAAAAACAGAGACTTCTTATATATCATACCCCAAATCTTTATTAGAAACCAATCTTAAAATGGTATTGTTAAAACTAACGCTTGATGCTCTCTTGTTTATAGTTTGCAAAGATTTTTCAAAGATATTCTGCAAACGGTTCCAAATACATTGTGATGAGGATTCGCTCAACGGGAAAAGGATGCGATACTATTGCCGTAAGAGGTGCAAAACATGTTAATGTGAGTAGCACATTTTGCAATTTTACAGAAAAGTTACAGAGATCTCACGGAAAACAGCATGTTTGAAAATTGCGTCCTTGTGACATGTCCTATACCATAAATCCTCGAATTGCCCCCCCCCCCCTCGAAAAAGCTTCCCTCGAATAAGCCCCCACCCTAGAACTACAAATTATCAATAAGCCCCCCCTCGAGTAAGCCCCCACTGCTACCGTAAGTTCTCGAATTGGACCCCTCCATTTGATGATTTTTGCCATCTAAGGTTTGCCTATGGTGTTTTATTGAATTGCCACAACAAATTCATACTTTGGTATTAATTAATTAAATGCTTATAAAGAAATTTATACTAAAATAAACGAGATCTTTTAATAATGCCTGCAATAATTTCATAAGCCCCCCCCTCGTATAAACCCCCCGCCCTCCTATAAGCCCCCCGCCCTCGAATAAGCCCCTATTCAAAAAAATCAAAAATAAATAAGCCCCCAGGGGGCTAATTCGAGGATTTACGGTACTTAAGCCTATCCTTAACACATATCAAAAGCTTTAGGGTAACGTAATCACCAAGCCCCTCATACTTTAAACCAAGGGCTGCGCAAACCACTTGATTGGCTCTGGAGGGAGGGGGGGGGGGAGAAAACAAAAAAATTAGGCCAAACCTTTTTTACTGTCAGAAAAAGCCCATGACCAACTTTTGGTTACGTAACGGCAGTTTCAAAATCATAGGATTACATCACGAATTATACATTGCCAAAATTGTGCCCCTCTCCTAACATTTCCTCATCGCAATTAGACGGAATGCAAAGTCCACCCGTTGCACCGCTACTGTTTTAAACATTTACATTGCTTTAAAAAATTACCATTTGATTCCAAATTTTCTGCAATGAAGAACTTCTCCTACAATATTTTTACCATTTTCCTACAAAGTAATATTAAAAAATTCCAACAAAGTAAAGTTTCTTATAACCAACTTTCTCTTCTTGCCATTAGTAAGTATTCCTAAAATTTTGAAACGTGTATTTTGGAAATTTGGTAGCATGTTTGCTTGAACATGGAAAGAAAGCATAGGAAAGTACTTCTTCCTCTGCCACAGAGTCATGCCTTGTTACGTCAACTAATGACTAAAGGCAAGCTAACAAGGTATTTCCTTTGTTGAGGTAAGCGGACATTGATATCCAGAGGCGGATCGAAAGTAACGTGACAAGAAGAATGACGCATTTGATTGGTTCCTTCCTTTTGACCAATTGGCTTTTCGATGCAAGTTTCTTCTTACCTTTAGACACTATCCGATGTTTTAACTTTGAGGAGTATCGGACAAAATGTGCTTAAAGACGACATACTTCCGCCATTCCGGTAATCTGCAAATTTTGTGGTACAGAAATTATCTGGACATGTAGAGCTTTTATGACAATATTCTAATGCTGGCATTCTTTTTCAGCCCTTGGCAAAAGACAGAAGGAACTTGGTTACAAACGGGTGGAGAACTCAAGTCATGACTACTTTATTTATTCTTTATGTTGTGATAAATATGCTGAAAAGCTGGAATTTTCTGTAAAATTTCTTATTGGCATCATGATTAGTTTCTTATTTTAAAGAAACTTTATGTAAACTTATTTGATGATATAAAAAAGAATTGATGATTGCTACATTTGAAAATTCTTTGATTTATCATATTTCTCCAACAGCAATACACCATTGTGTTAGATTATAGACGAAGTAGCAAAATGATTCATTAAATACCTACTCAAAATTTTTGTTTTTCATTTTGTGGTGTTTACAATGAGTCAGATGTTTTTGTTTGGGCTTTCATTCTGCATTCATTTTGAAACAAATAGATAACGAATGAAAAAAATACGGTTTTCTTATAACTAATTATCATTTTACACGCAAACTTGTTGCTTAACGCACAAAATCTTATGGCTGCGTACCACAGTAGCTTGACAAGAAGAGTGACAGGAGAAATGACATATGTTAACCATTCTGCATACCCCGTCCAAACTACGATTATTTTTTAAAAAATCTTTTAACATTCAAATTGGCAGAAAGAGACTGTATCTCGCAATTCCGGTCTCTCACACATCAAGGCAATTAACCAGGGAGTATACTTTAACCATGACAGGGGGACTCAGCCTAGACTTTATCACGGACACCCAAAATATAAATATCTGCCAAAATCAAAACCGAAAGATCTAAATTTTGCGAATTAGCATTTCAAAACGTTTTGTGCCTGAGCAAGTGTATTCCAAAGCTAACGTCCTTAACGAAACATAGTCAATTTAAAACAGCAAATTAAAATAATATGGGGTAAAGAAATTAAGAACGTTTTGCCAAACAAATTGAAAATAAAAAAAGTTGAGAATTTCAGATCCAAAAAATAAGCAGAGTGCTCCAGTAAAAAATTTTCGAGTACACTCCATGAGAATCATTGAACTTATACATTTTTTTTATAAGAACACACTAAAATTTTGCAGCCTCGATTTGCTTGAAAAACCTTCGTTCTTGAGTCTGAATACCTTTTTAAAGTACTATTACTTTTTCAAGCGTGATAAAGGGAACATTTACTGCGCTTGAATGAAAGAAAAACAGATTTTTAAAAAAGCAAGATTTGCCCGTCATGCAATTCTCTGTTATGAATATCGCAAAACAGGCTGAAAAAAGAGACACAATTATGTAAGATGAGGCTGAGCAATATTTTTACAATATTCTTAAAAATTGGATGATTCCGAGCCTGATTACCCTTATAAAGAAAAATAGAGCACCAGTTAACCATTCACATTAACGTTTTTATGTAGTATTAAGTATTATAAACTTATGTGGTTTGTAGTGTTATACCAAGACTACAGTAGAAACCCGCATTAAAGAACCTAGGTTTTTTCTGGCAGTCTGAATAGGTTCTTAATTAACTGGCTGCTGTTCTAAATTCCAGTCTGAAAGGTTCTTAACAAGGTTTTATATACGTACAGGCTTTGCACGCATTGAAATGTTTTCCACCGCAAGAATTCTCAAAAAAGGGCACACTTAAACCAGCTTTTTTATGTTAAATTTCAACCAATCTAATGAATTTGTGTTGTTAGATTGTCCAATTAGAATACAACATACCATAACCTGATTAACTCTAAAAACCCTTTTTTCTTATATATATTTATATATATAAGAACCTTTCAAAATTTCAGCTTCTTGAGGGTTCTTGATTATGGGGTTTAAAAGATTAAATTTCAGCCTAAAGGTTCTTATAAAAACAGGTTCTTTTATGCGGGTTTCTGCTGTATGAACTTCGGTTTCTTTTGGCATTGTGTTTCCATAACTCTGATAATGAGGACAGGACAAATATGATACAAAATATCACCTCTACTAAAAAACTGTACATATTACAGCTGGGATTGTTGATGAGGGTTTGTTTTTCATTCTTTTTTAATAAAAATTTTCTTGAATTGCTTCTGGTTTATTTGAGTTCATTAAGCAGAATCTTTTCTTTTGAAATTGGAAACATTCAACGAATATTAGAAACAGAGTTATCGCCAAAGGTGATTCCGGAGAAGTGGTTTTTCTTGATGTAAGATCTAGATAACATGTAAAAAACTACTTTGTGGCTAGGGGATCTTTTAGGAATGTTCGCTGATGGGGATTTAGATGAAAAGAGTATGAACGAGACAAAAAGGAAAGGAAGCAATTTACATAAAGCAAACAGTGCACTGAAAGCAAATGAGAACAACTGGGCCTTTCACAATTCAACTTCATTTTGAATGTTTAGCCACACTAAAAAAATTCTTCACAAATGTTTTAATTTTCGCTGTAGACAGCCGAGTGCGGTTTGTCGAACATCGGTCATTTCAGGCTTATGTTTCAAAAGCAACACGTAAGGTAAAAATGATAAATAATAAGATTCTTATACATACATAAAAAACAATATTTTTCGATAAAAACTATTCTGTAAGAACACGAGTCTAGAAATTGGTTGGAAGTTAAGAAAAAGTTAAGAAAAAAATTAGACTGAGTTACTGTCAAATGCAAATTTAAAAAAAGTTGTGAAACCCCTTTAAAAAAATTCATCTCAGAAATAAAAAGTTTTTGCCATGTAGGGGCTAGGGATGCTTAGTCGGTAAATTTTTCAAACTTGTCAGCGAAAAACGGATGACTCATTCACTTTGTTGACAAATGGGATTTGACTACAACAGCTAGCAATTACACTGCCTTGCTTACAAATTCATAGTTAAAGAACATATTAAGAACAATCCAGCCTTGGAGTTTTGAAAATTATAAAACAGCCAGCCTGTATCTTAATTGTACTGTCAAACTATGAGTTCTAAGCTCCAAACGCAAAACTTTTTTCAGTACAAAATGTTGATAATAATAATAAACTCTATACATTTTGTTTAAAATTGATTAGAAAAAGTAAATATCGAAGAAAAATTATACGTTGACTCCAATTTTTGCAGCTAGTAGTCGGTCACATAAAAGTAAAGGTAGCCAAGCCACGTAACCAGGTAGGAGAAAGATTCAGTTGTCGTGGTAATTCTTACATCACTGGACCAATTAGTAACGGAATTCCTTTCCTACTCATAACTGCAAAAAGAAAGCGGTATTCTAGCAACAGGATGTTTCTGTCAGTTCTACGAAATGCACCGGTATCTTACTCATCAAAAACAATGAGTTTGTTGTCATAGTTGTCATGACATGAAAACAAGGGAGGCTATTATTTAAAACGAGGTCTCATTCTGGACCTTTGATCGTGCCAACATTTATTCTATTTAAAGCCCTGAGCTGTCAAGTTCAGTTGAACCAAAGTACTTTAAATATTTTTGTGAAACTTAACACGTTTCTATTGTATAAATATTGTTGTCAATTGAAGCTGAGTTGACAGTTGAAATCGATAAACAGAGGGCTGAGGAACGACAGATGGCCTAACCACTACGCGGTTGGATCGAAAACAAAGGTTCACGGTTCAGATTTTAAATATTTAGATAGCGGAACTGGCGCAAATATCAGGGCTTACCTTTTAGCGAGGATTGTTGATGGGATTCTACAAAGATAATCAATTTGCATCCATTATGAAGTCAAGGAAATTCTCTGTTGCCGGCATGAAATTCTTAAAAGATAACAGCAAATTATCTTTGGCTGAAGACGATATTATTCGTGAAGGATATTTGTTTAAATACTCATCGTCAGTTCGAAAGCAATGGCGTGCAAGATATGTCGTACTCACAAACTCCGGCCTGTACTTCTACAAGCACATGGGTGATTTTAAGTCCTTCCCTTTGGAGATGCTTCCTGTTCAGAACCTTACAATGACTTTGGAAGAACTAGGAGTTGGTAAATCGAAAATGTTTTGCATTAAGTTATCAATGCCAACTCTTCTCAGCAAGAAAACCCTCTTACTGGGGTGTCATAATGGCGAGAACAGAGATGAGTGGATGACAGCTATACTTCAAGCTTTAACAAACCAAAGGATGGAAAAGCGAGATCAGGAAAGAATTTCGGGTGTTTTCGACCAACTAGACGGACATGCTAAAAGACATTCGAGATCGTTGACTGACCTGTCGTTGTTTGGAGCGAAGAAACCTGATAGACCAAAATCGGCTGAATTCTCATGGCTGCTTAATGTCACTCAAAATAGAGACAATGCAGATTTTAAGAAACTGCGAAGAGCGAAAGCACTATCACTCGTTGAAAACATAAATGTCCGCAATGATTTTTTTCTTGAATAAAAGTATACTCAACCACAACCCTCCCTTTCAGCGGTTACCAATTTCAGTATAATGTCAGATTAAGCAACAAGTTTCCAAGGAGACTTTTCTGATTGATTCCCTGTGTTTCTTCCCAAATTTTTAAAATAATATTTAAAATAAAATAATTGCTATTAGTAAAATAATATTTTCAGTCCAAGCAAACATTCAACAGTGGAAACTATGAAATGTAGTCATTGTTATATAATTTATTGCTGCAGAAGTTTGTAGTCATATGATTAACAGGCTCCTAGCATCATGTCAGCCATGCTCATAGGCAGTTGGGTACATTGGGTGCAGCCATACAAGTGACACCCCCTTGGACTCAAGTATAGAGTTAATTATTTATCTAGTTGTTAGAACACAATGTACTTAATCTGCAAAAGCTGTTTTTGCTAGGAAGGGTGTATCTTTTGAGGAAAACAATTTACAGTATTTCCTTTCCTACTTTACAGTATTTGGTATATGAGAACCTCAGTGAGTATTCTTATACTTCTGTTTGTCTTACTCAAAACCCCAGATTTTAGATGCTTAAAATCTTAAATTGATCGAGAAAAACTTATGTTAAATAGTGAATAATATATCAGATATAAATGTAAAATTATTCCTTCAGTATCTTGTTTTCAGTATTTGTATTAATCAGAATTGTACACTTCACTATCAAGAGAAAACAATAATATATTTAATGATCTTTAGTAGTTGACTGTAAATATATCAAGTTTCAGAACCATCATATATTATTTAAGACCTATTTGGTGTAACTGTGATTCTTGTTGAGTTTTCAATGTATCTCAGATTTTTTTAAATTTCTTTAAGAATCTGAATGCCTGTATCAATATTTTAATTTCATGTACAAATGAAAGAGTAATATAACTGAAGACAACTTTTCTGTTTCTGTATACCAATTCATGTTTTCTTAGCAACATCATACCTTAAAGGAAATTTTTGTTCTGCCTGCTATTTCATTCATTGGTTATGGTAAAAGAAAAAATATTTGTCTTTTTCAATCAAAGAGCAACAAAGATCACAGAGCATATTATGAATTGAGGGGGCTTAACAGTTATCAGGGGCTAAACATACTAAAAACGAAGAGCAATACGATTTTTGTATGGTTTTAAGTATATTTTGGAAAATATTTGAGGGGCTAAACCACCTCAACCCCACTACTTATGTGGTCTGTAAAGGAAAATATCTGTAATTATTTGTAGTTTTTGTTAGAATTCCAATGTATGATGTAGGCAGTACTATCTGGACAGAAAAGCAATGTTTGTTACTGAAGATGATGATGATGAACTTTTTATCATGGTTATACTTGTAAGCATGCTAGAGCCGAGGGGCACTTGTTTACGTAAGCATGATATTGTGGCATCAAAAATAATGGGGTAAACTGCAATAGGAGTTAGCAAACTCCCCTACAGCTTCCCCCCCCCACACACACACACACACACACATACTCCAAAATGTGCTCCGGCGTCCTTAACTTTTGAAGATTGATAATCATGGTCAAAGTTTATTTTCTTACAGCGTGAACAAGCACACTGGTACTTCGTATCAGCGAGGTAACATTTCCAGTTTTGTTATGTATGACGAACGAAGATCTTTCGTGCCCCTTTGTATAGAGTCAGCGTTCATTAATCTAGACATGCAACCCACATGGCTTACTTTGATAAAGACTTAGGAAGTTTGCTTTACCATTCTAAAGAACTTCTGTGTTACATTCAAAGTTGTCATGCGAAAAGTAAGACACAAGGTCGGCCTGTCAACTCACCTGAATTCCTAGTTTGAAAAGCGTACTTTCAAGTTTCCGTTGTGCTGAGCATTTTCCGAGTGTGGGAGATCGAAAAACTTGTAAAACCTAGTAGGGGATGGGGGTTCACGCAGAAATTAGGCAAATTTTTTAACACAGTCAATAGAATACCAACGCTTCTACGCGGGTTCAGTTTGGCAGCAAACAGGACAAATACTACAAATCCCAATTTACATATTTTCTTTTCTGCATGCCACTAGATTGTTTGGATACACCTCCCTGGGGAATTGGGATCTGCATTTATAGGGACTGGAATTCGATCAGAGTTGTGTACATGGAAGATGCTTGATTGATAAACCCATTAACTAATACCTGAACAAACACACACTACATCTCCCACATTCGTGAATTGAACAATGCTTTTTTCAGACTAATATCGTGATGGTCACTATAATAATTTTATCTTTGTCAACTGTACTGCAAATGGGACAATGGCTTTTAGGAAATACCTCCCAAAATTACGGTTCTTCGCGGTGCACGTGATGACGTCATTCACCGTTCAGGATTCTTTTGTCTCGTTCCGGAAATGAGGTTACAGCCCCGAAGACTGCCTAAAAGCGCCGGGTAACGGGATTATCCGGTTACCGAGTTCGTTCCATGTGATGCTTTACCGGAGACAATATTAACCAGTCTTAAAACGAAACGATATGGGTATGGCATTAACACTTACTGGCTTGATGCAGAAACTAGCTGCGAATGCGGTGGGTTTCTTTGGCTCAAGGAAATACTCGGGCACCGTTAGACGATTATCCTTCCCGTTAGCCGTTGGGCTTCTCGGAAATGCAGAAACAAAATAATGACGAGTGCTGCATCCGCCCCTTACACGCAGCTCTTTAGTGACGACCAATTACTTCCCTGTAATCCATTAACTTAACAAAGCTCTACTGATAAATGAAAAACTCGGCTGACCCTGAATTACGTCATGAGAACGCTGCCCCTCCCTGTCCTTTACTTCAGTCAAGATTGAACATCCTTATCCGATATATGGCGGGGATAAATGTTAGATTGTTTTTCTAAAACAATTAAAAAATGGTTTGTTATGTTTACACTCAAGTGGTCTTTCCCTATAGTAAATGTTACTCTTATTGTTGATAATATGGAGAGGGATCTTCAAGATTTTGCCAACATTTCGATCCTCTTCCAGACACGCTGTGTAAACTATGACTTCTAAGTTTCGGAACGCGATGAAACAGTGCACTTGGCGATATAACAAACGCATTTTGTTTTTAATAACATCACTGATCCTTCTGCACAAACATTTCTAAACAAAATCTACGATAAAACATCGTATTTACAAATCCCCAAACTCAAAACTGTTTGGAAGTTCTCATATATGTAACAAGCAGTACAAACTTTTCTCGACAAAATAGAGAAATTTACAGGACTGAAGAAAAATCAAACTACGACGAAGCTCTGAAACGAATAGAGTTGTCGCTGAAACGAATATTTGCAACAAATAACAATCAAGAGAGCTGTGGCCAAATAATTTTAGAAAAGGATGGAGAGAGGGGGGAAGGGAAATAACGAGGATTTCCTCTGGTCTGGAGATAATAAAACAATTCTGCCACCGTATCCACTTTCGAGATTAATTTAACTTATTCTTTATCTTGGCGCACAGCATAGGAAAACGGTGGTTCTAAATTTCAATTGAGCAAAAGTTGGGATTGTTAAAGCCAATTAACTATTAAAAATATGCTTGTATTGTACAGTAGTTGTTTAAAAAACTTGACTTGTGCTTTAGAAATAAAAGAAAAAATAGCCTCGTAAGGATTTGAGGACGCGATGGGTGTGGTCATTGAGAGGTAAGTACGGGGAAAGGAGCAACGAGTACAAGTTCCATTCTATTGTTCCAGGGCACCTACGAAACAAGACTTTATAATCTCAGGCAATTTTCTCCTTACATGGGTTTCAATTACAGCGGTAAATGTACAAGTTAACTAACATTAAATGTAAAAGCTACGTTTGTAGTCAAGGAAAATTATTGGATAGCCCTCCCTCTAACCCTCCCCCCTGAACAGAAATCTGCATTGTTTCTTCTCAAAGGTGGTTGGATCAGATTCCATACATTCAATCTTTCGACATTTGTTTAAAGAATAATCGGAAAATCTTCTTAAAAATACACAACCAACAAGCATGAAGGAACCGAATAAAATATTATACAAGTAACTCAAAAATACAAAAATATACGGTAACACCAACAACTTTCGCCTTTACAAAATATTATCAAAAATAAGGCACGATCGAGCAACTAAGGAAATATAAATAAGACCGAAAATGGTTGAATCGTATAATATGTATAAAAATATTTCTTTGAAAGTTTGATACAAAGAAAGACAAAAACGCTTTGAAAGATTTTCCAGCGTAGTTTGGCAAAAGTAAAAACAATGCAATTATCAGTCGCCTTACTGGCTTTTTGGGCCTAATCTTCAGAACCAAAGCCATCAAAAACAACCTTATGGTATATTTATTTATTTCAAACGTAAATGGCAAAAAAGGCTTGTCAAGTGCTGAAAACCAAGCGATAATTAAACTGTACATCAATTAAAAGGAAGGACTGCTTTCCTTTAATCTGTTTTCTCGCAAATGATCGGTTGATTAAAAATATACTATATTTATACAATACTTTATTTCACTTACAGTTATATGTTGATCTTTTATTTAAAATCATAAATCTCCTTCTTTGATTTGCTTTTCTCCTTCGACAAGGAAAATCTGGAAGGCTTTCTTCAGCAAATGAATTCCAAGAAGTCGTTTTTTCTTCAATTTCCAAGAAGCAGCCGATCCATAATAGTCACCTTTTTTTAGGTTCGTTAGTCGCGTAAGTCCTGAGAATAAAACCCAAATTAAGTCAATTTCTATTTTGCAAAATATCAATATCCTGTTTTGACCAGTTTCACCAACAACCTCAGACAGACTTTATCAAAGGTTCAAATACGTCCACAATTTCAGAAATACGGTTTTGTGGACATGACATACCACTGCAAGTATTTTAAATCAATCTATTGATAAGAAAACATCATAACTTGGTATGAATCCTTCACTTTTCTTACGCAAAACAAAAAAGCTTGATATTTTCTTATCTTTATTGAATTCTCATTTCTAAACGATATCCTATCAGAAATTTAATTTTAGGTTATGATGAAGTAAAAAACTAATAATGCAAGACAAAAATTTAAAAAATTATTGTACTATTATGGCTGAAATCAAGTAGACGTCTGGTCTTCCTGGAAGTCGTGTTTTAATTCGGGTTTCCTGAGCTCTTCAAATGAGCTTTTAATTTTCGTTTGAACTGATAGGGCGAAGGGATCTCCCTTAGTTCTATGGGAATTTCATTCCAAGCTTTGAGCCAAGAGAGCTGTAATCCTTTTGTTGTACACTCAAGCTGAAAATTTTGTGTGTCAAGATTTCAATTGTTTCTTGTGTTATAACTAGAAATTTCAATACTCTGATTACATTTCTTCCAGAGTTTCTCAGAGCACTGCTTATTGTCTACTTTGTGTGTTTCGCTTGATGACAATCGAATGTCTCGCTTTTCTCTCGAATGCCTCTCTATATACTTGGTCTGCCTGTTGCAGTTGAAAAAAGCCTAAAAATCGTTGATTTTTCCGCATACAGTAAAATGAAAGATAAATAAAAAAGTAATAATCGGAACTGCAAGCATCGAACTGACGCAAAACAACAAGATGATATCGTTCCAGATCACTGTCAACTCACCCATTGCTTCAATCATACATGCTTCTCGCGTGTAAGCTTCAACGGGAATTGTATTCTGGAACAAATTCAGGGAAACGACGCCATAACCAGACTGCCAAATATTAAGGATCATTTTCAGCTTTTCACTTGCCTGAAAAAACAAAACCATGCGCGTGACTAAGAAGCTTAAGGACAAAGTTCTTATGGCTTAAATACGAAAATGCTTTTAAAATGCATAACATTTTGTAAAAGCAAGTTAACTCTCCTGGACTTGTAGTTTCTGACATTGTCTTACGTTGGATTGCATGATTTTATTTTCTAAAAAGGGCGTGGTCGCAGAAAATAATATAATTTTCCTCTAGGTCCCTAGAATTTTGGGGACTGGCACCACCTCTGGATAAGGATATTGTAGTGATTTTAATATTGTAAATTAGGCCATATTCCTACATCATGCCATCACCATGACATCCACCTAGGTCATTCACAGCATCACCTAGCACATGACATTCCCTTCACCATTGTACACATGTTCACACATCTATGTCATGCTGATTTCTTCCCAAGTCTAGATCTTTCCTTCTCCATTGCATCATCATTACATCATCACAACACATCATTACTCAGCACATTTATTTTGTATATAAGTATGTTAATTTTTATGTAAGTCAGTTCAGTTCACATCAGAGTTACACAGGCAACACACTGTCTCTCACACTGGCTCCGTGTTCTCTGCACGTTAGACAAGAATCGAAGCGAACACCAACGATGGAAAGTCACAGGATATGACAGGAACCATTGCAACTCTTGCCACATAATAACGTTCCTATAATACTACCATTGAGAATAAATATGAAACATAGAAAGAGAGTCAGTGTAATTACCTTTGCAGCCTGGTCGTTCGCTTTCTTTAGCTTAACAGCATCAGTTAAGTGTTCGAGAGGCCTTGATTTGTTTCCTTTTCCAACGTAGAAGATCGAGCGTACAAAACAGCCAAATCTTTCTGTCTCGTCGAGGTCTTTGTTTTTCAGTTTTGTTGTTACTCTTGGGTCTATGAGGATGTAATTGAACGACGCTTTCTTCAGCCTGAAGAGCAAACATTAAATAACTTTAAAATGTATAGAAGAAATTGGAAAAATCTAAAATCTAGCAACAGGCAAAAATTAAGCATAGATTTTCGAATAGGTTACAACAATTAATTTAGGCAATTTTTTAATTGTTTTGAATCTAGTAAAGACAGTAGTAAACAACGAGGAAGCCACCATGAAGCTAGACAATTTTTTTATTAATCAAGTTAACACTTCTCGATTCTTATCATTCCATTATTTGGTATTTTGTGCTTGCAAATCAACTTCCAATACATTTATCTTTAAATACTTACAGCTATATAGTTTGTGACAAATATTTTCTATGGATGCAAGCTACAAATGCTTTTAAAATGAATAAAACTCAGAATCTCCTAATAAGCACCATTTTTATCTCATAGAAAACTTTCAGGCCTTTGGCAGTACCAAATAGAATAAAACCATCCATACAAAAACTAAAAATTTATTCAACTATGTATTGGTCTGGAAAATTGCGTGGAAAATACCAAATCTGGTGCATTGTTGGGTATACAAACGTAGATTAGACTAGATGATCTTTTAAAAGCAAAAACCAACCCTTCTCTCCATTTGTGTTTTTGCGGATTTTCAAAATTTTTAACGATCTCTTCTTCCAGTGAACTATAGTCCTCTGCACACGGTTGTGTTAACTCTCTTCTCATTTCTGGAACAAATTCCATGAATGTTGAACTCTAAAACAAAAGTTTCACATCATTAAGTCGTGAATTGAGAAGCAAATTTAGTGATATTTACATTGTAATATAGGACGATTTGACAAAATTATTGAAAAGAAACTCTAAAACTAGTATTTTCTCTAGTTTACAGTAAATTTTTGTCAACTTTGAACTAGGTTTGATATATGTTATAATAAAAATAACATTTAGTAAAAGTATGAGAAAAACAGTGACTTAAACTAAGATTTGATGAAGTTTAATTTCATAAGATGCTTGACGATGGGAAAATATAACACTAACATTAGCAACTAGGAGTTAAACTGCTGCACTGAAATAAAAGTTAGTACTGATATCAGAATACTAGAGATAAACACGCTTAGCAAACGAAGTTTGATACCATTAGAACGGAAAGGATGAAATATTCTTAAGCATAAAAAAGTATAGCTTCTACAAAACAAACTCGTTGTGGATCGAAAGTTGCCAGTAGCATAAAGACAGAATTTTCTAATGGAAAGGGCAAGAGGTTATAAAAATAATGCAGATCAAATTCAAGACGAACAACCTACCTTCCCTTTAGTAACAACGCCAGCCTCCACTCTAGCGAGATGCTTCATGTAAATATTCTTTGTGTTGTTGGTTATAGGTCCGGGTTTTTCATCAGCTTTGATCAACCTTTGCTTTAGCTCCTCCACATTCAAAGCCTGGATATCCTTCGGCACGACAATCGATTGTTCGCCGTTCGTTGACTCCAGTAAACTCACGTCTTTCCAGTCATACTCAACTGAGACCTCGTCGAAATCACCTTCTTCGCATTCATGACATTGATCATGATCGCAGTTGGGTAATGATGGTGAAATACTTGTATGCCCTTTTCTTGTCATGCACAACTCGCATGAACAGTCATACTTATGCTCCCATTTTTTTCTTGCACGAGTCGGCTTGTTAAGCTGTGCCTTGTGGTACGACTTGAGTTCTTCTGGTAATAAAGGGCTCTTCAATTCAGTGCGATCTTCAAACGTATGGTCAACTTTTTGTCGCATTCTAAAACCCGGACTCCTTGTCAAATTAGGGCGTTTCTCAACAATATCTTTTTCAGTTTTCCCTGTCGTAGCTCGGTTAGTTTCATCAGAAGATGACGTCACGCCGTTGAGCCTTTTCCTCGGGGAAGCAGGCAAGTCGGCCTTTGTTCCATCTGGCCTATCAGCTTCGGCCAATTCCCTGCTGTCCGTGTCAGTTGACGATGCTTCTTCGAAATTCTTTCCCGACCGCTCATCCATCATGTCCTTTCTACGCCTGCTTCTCAAAGTCACTGATGGCGAATTCCTCAAATCAAATTTGGGTTGGGAAACAGACACAACATCATCCGGACTGTTCTGTTGCGAAGTGTCGCCATTATAACCAGAAGAATTTCCGTCACTCTCGCCAGCAGCCGATTCTGCATCGGTAGGGAAAACATCGGCTTGATTTGAATCTAAAACATTAATCTTTCGCTGTATTGATGAGACTCTTTTTGTTTCTTTACCTTGCAAGGAGTCTTTCGATTCATTCACAGGCTCTTCAAAACCAAATTTAAAAATCTCGCCATCTGGAATATCGCCATTTGTCATATTTCCACCAAAAAATGACCGATCAAACAAACTACGCGTCATATTTGGAGCAACAGGTGTTCCTTCGGCGTACAAATTCCTTGGTGAACCGAACGTGTGCATTATGGGAAATTCTATCTCGGTTTCTTCATTGCCAGGCTGTGAGAGAGTCTCGTCTGTCGTTGGAGTTCGTGTGTTCGTTTCTGCAGAGCCAGTGCCCGTCACTGGCGGTATCGATGACAAGGAAGACTGAATGGCTGTGTGTTGCTGCAAAAACATTGCTCGTTTGTCAGGAGACTCTCTTGCTTGTTTCGATCGATTTGAGTTCGTTGTTTTTTCAGTTCTTGCACCCTCTACTTTTGAATCGTTAGTAGCTGATCCACCATTAACACGAGAAGACTCGAAGCTCTTTTGAGTAGTTTTATCAACCATTTTCGGTTTTTCTGGAGTGTGTCCAACCTCGCTGTCTCCTGGACTAGCCTCCTCTGCAAAGCCATTTTGGAATTGTCGAGCAGGCATGTTAATCAAAGGGAATGGAGTTCGAAAGAACCGAGGTCGCCCCGGCATATAACCATTTGGACTACTAACAGATGCACCATTGGTGCCTGTCCAACTATCTTGGCTTTTACGTGATTTCTTCCCAGATTGCATATTTACAAGTTTTGCTCTCCTAAGAAACATTTTCTCTGCAGATCTCCTGCCAGAACTCCGCCTAAATTGTTCACTTATAATACTTTCATTGGCATTCTTAATAAGAGAAACGGGTATTTCACCAAGAGAGATCCTAGACTCAAAGTCAGTTCCGATTACCAAAGATGCCTCGCCACTGATACCCTTGTGTAACATATACTTCTCTTCTCCATCCTTCAACTCAGTAATAAAGCCCCTTAAAGAATCCTTGGGGAGACTGAAGTAGCTTGTAGATGAATCAATATCCGAGTCCCAAGTGAAGGCAGTATCAAGCGACTCTAGAGAATCCGATTGACAAGATTTGTCTTGATGTTCAAAGCTTTTTGCATTTTTGATCAACGAATGTCTATGAGAAGGAAGAGAGAGATCAAAAAAAGAATCTTTACCAGTATTTAGAGTAGATGGGTGATCGGGATGTTGCATCTGGTTAAAATTTGGGTACATTTTCATGTCTCCGGGTTGATGGCCCTCAAACCCAGGCATTCCTGCCCACATTGGATTATATGGAAACTGAAAATAGCTGGGTGAAGGAACCTTTTTATAAAGGGTTTGACTTTGTTTTTCTTCTAGACCGATTGATTGCTGCATGCGATAGGAACTTTCACCATCAACTACATCCCCAAACTCTGTTGATTTTCTTTTTGGTGACATCAAAGATTCTCTAAGTTTGTTATTCTTTGATCCATGTCTGTAATTTGATGTCGGATTGAATAACACGGTTCTCTCATTTGGGGAAAAGTCGCTTTCTGATGAATCATTCAAGCTGTTCCGTAACAAATCTAAACATTTCAACTCATGATCACTTGTATTTTCTGCCAAATCAAACGCGGTTAGGCCATCAGAATTTCTTATTGTTGGGTCAGCACCACAAGCCAGAAGCAGCCTTGTTGCATTTTCCCTATTCCACATGACAGCAATATGAAGGGCTGTCTCACTGTCTGATGATTTCAAGTTTGGATCTCCATTGTATCTGAGCATCAATTTCAACAGCTGCATTCCCGCAGCACCATCTAGACCTGCAGCTAGGTGGATGGCTGCAAAGCCTTCTGGTCCAATGTAGTTAGGATCTGCACCCCTCTCAACTGCTTTTGTAGTTTTCCTACAAAAAATCAAAAAACCAGATTTAGAAGCACATGAAAAGGTGTGTAAGAAGTAAAAATCACAGGATAGGCTGCCCATCGGATTCTGTGAATCTTGCAAGGAGTATTAATATGAAAGGTATTCAGGAAAAAAGCAATATGACAACCAGAATTCAATGTAATGAGATAGAATTTTAAAATGGATCAAATTCAACGAAAAATTTTCAAATTCTTAGCCAAGGTAAAAAAAAATTTGCGTCAAAAGGGAACTCTGCTTCAGAAGGAAACATCAGTTTTGTTAGGTTTTTATTTGTTAATGAGAATTTTCACCAGATTTCTTCAAGATATTTTATTTGCAATGAGCTAAAACCAATACAGACACACTAATTATAAGACAGACACAAAACAGCTCTATGGATAATTACGGTTAAGCAATTGAACTTTGTTGTAAATCATTGTAAACAATTCTTCAAGGAGCTTGATTAGATCAAGACTTAATCAACATCACAGATTTCACATCTTATGAAATTTTTAGATTAGCATCTTTAGATTAGCTTAAAATCATTCATTCGTTTCAAATGTTTGCTTTTTATTATAATGTGTAATTTAATTGATTCCATTTAAAAAAGGGAATTCATTATTTTGTGAGGCCCCCTACACCTTGAAACCCTGGGCAATTTGCCCCCTTGCATCCCTCTCTTGGCGGCCTTGCTAGCAGCTAGCTCTGGCAAGGGGGATAAATGCAAAATAGCTTGTGAAAGTCCCCAAGAGTCATCAAGTATAAACTTTTTCAGACAAATTCAGATAAAAAAAATGTCTACTCCTATTGATCAAGTCATCACATTATACATATTTCTAAGCTATCTTTCAAAAATGAAAAAATATTTTGGATCTGATAGAAAATAATATAAAACAAATGAATTTAATATCGCTCAATTGTTAACAATGACCATTTAAATTTTCTTTGCTTTTTTTAAGCCTGTTATCAGATGTGCTTTATTTTCATTGAGTCTGGAATTCCCAATCCAAAGTACATTAAAGTGAATGACCCTGAGTTACAAGTGGTCCTCAAGTATTTCCTGTTTGTCAAAAATAGATGATTATCATTCAATCAAAATGCTAAAGCTAACATTTATAGGATATGAAAATGGCTTTGAAAAAAGCAGACATTTTACAACATACTAAAAGCTTTTTCGCCTGACACTCCTCAGAGCATAAAACGTCAGAATAAGGTTCCGAAAGAACACGATGGAAAATATATACCCAGTTGTGGATCGAAATAGGCCAATCAGAAAAACGCAAGCACAAGACCGGTACAGTTGACCAATCAGTGCCGCGAGCGTAAAGAAAAATTACCACTGGAGTCCAAGAGAGAGAACAAACTCCTACAGTCTACACAATGGGGGCTTTTTCGTTTGCATGTAGATCGATTCCAAAACTGCTAGATGGAAGGACAACTGGGCTTGTCAATTATCTGAAACATGTCGTCATTATAGAGTTTTCAACAATCTGGAGTTATAGAGTTATTCATAGGATACCAATTCATAGGAGCAAAACCTAGGATACAAGCTAACAGGCCTGATATTATGTGGGTGCAAAGGGCAGCTGTAATCTTTTATTCAGAATTTGCAACCAAAATTTAAGATATCTTGACTTGGAATGTCACTAGGCAGTGTAATACAAAAACCCTTTGCCTGCATGAAATTTAAACACAAATTTTGCTTGTGTCGACTGGGCTTTTGTGAAAACTTAAAATGGAAATGTCCCTCATGAGGAAATATGCAACTGGTATGTCAAAAACTGTGCTAAATTTTCACTGAAATCTGTTCAATTTGTTAGATCAGTTTCTTTTAATCTTGTTCTGTAATTTTTATATTGGAAATAGCTTATGAATTAGAATGATTGGTTTTAACAAGATTTTCTGTAAATGAATTTATGACTATCATTACCCTAAAACTGTCCTAGCCTTAGGTATACCAGAGTATCACCCTGGGTGATATCTTTCTTTCAGCAAGGCAATGAACTGATAAGCCAAGACTAAATTATCATCATGAACTTGCTATAACAAATGGTCTTATTATAATTATTTTGTAATTACAAATGCTAATTACAAATGTCTTTTAAAATTAATTAAGTAATGTGACAAAGCAATAAAGGGATAAGGTCAAGGGGGAGTTAATTCTGCATTTTGTTTTAAACAAGAAACAAAAATTAGCTAAGGGTTTTTAGCACATCAAAGTTGTGTTTGAATTTCAATTGTAAGTCAAACATTTCTAACGCATTTCATTCTCTTGACTGAAGCAACAAAGCATAAATTGATTAGAATCTTTGTGAATTGCAAAAATCTTATAGAAAATTAGACAAACAGTACTCGTTAAGAAAAATTGTTAAAGCTTTGCTATCGTGTGTGCAGGAATTGAAAGCCCCCTTTGGCAAAATGAAAGAAAGTGCCATGGAAAATTTCAGGCTTGACATGCTTAAAGCAGACTTGTGAGTTTTATGAATAGTCAGTTTGAGTTAGTCTTTGTTGAATATAGGCCAAAAGGGTTGATAAATAATAATGTTTTTATTTGTTATTTTTACTTCATATTTCAAGTATATCTTAAAATTTGGAAAAAATTGTGTGCTTCTGTTTTCTATTAGTATTATAAAAAGGTTATTCGTGGTTAAAATGTTGACCCCAATAGTCATTACAAACATGCGTGTCTACAGCTGACAACATGACTTAAGATTGCAAAAGGAAAATGTGCTTTAGACAAAAAAATTATTGCTCAATTAGATTTTGATAAATATCACAGCTTTTTAGAAGGGTTCAGATAGCTGTTGTCCTAGAATAATTGTGACGTAAGACTCCTGGGTGTAAACTACCCATGCGCTTTACAACATCAGTTGTGGTTTATTACCCTCTGGCTTTCTAATTGTAATATTTTTGCACAAAGAACAAATCGTAATTCACTTCGCTATCGCTAACTGAGATCGAAATATACACATGAATAAATTCGCAACGAAAATCGCTTGCTAAAATATAAACTGATGGCCTCATTTACTGGCAAAGATCCATCAAAGTGTAATCTGATCAGTTACATTTCACGGTTTTTGGCGATTGTTTTTGTGGCCTAGGTTCGGTTAATTTCTTGGACAACTTACTTCACATCTTTCCGTTTCAGACTGTTTATCAAATATTCTGCAAGCTCATCCTGTTGTTCAACTTCCATTGCTATTCAGCGTGATTTGTTCCAAAAGATCTGAGGATCATGTTATATCGATCATCAATCACGATTATTCTCGATTTCGAACCACGTTTCCGACGCCATCCAAAAAATTCAAATCACAATCAAAGCTTCGTTCTACCCGCCATTCTCCTGCGCATAATCATGTTGTCATTCCCACGCAGCTGTCTCCCGCAGACCGCAGACTTCCCGCGTATATCTAGAGAAACTCATATCGAGGCTGCATGTCAACAGGCGAAGGGCGACGAGGAAGAGTTCCAGAGAGAAAGTCAAGAATACCATCTTTTCTTTATAGTTATGTTTAAGAAAATATTTCTTTAGCATTTTGGGCTTTGGTTTCATTGAGAGCAATCAAATTTTAATCAAGTGAGATAGCTTTTAATTTTGCCTTTTCCAAATTTTAAAAAAAGATGATGAGACATAACTTAGTATGACGAGCCACAGGCATTTCTTTTTTGCTTTTTGATGAAAAACATTACGCAAGTTATTGATTACCAGTTTTAAACCCGATGCTCATTCTGAAAAGGTGGCAACTGTCTTAGATAGGCAGAATGTAAAATTCCAACGCTCTTAGAAGCACAATGTCTTGCCACATAATCAGCAAGTCTAGTAAAATTCACAGTAATTGTCCCTGTTTGGTTATTTTGATATTTCGTAATTAGTGTTATCAGTTCAGTTTCATTTGATTATCAATCAAACCTATTTACAATTCTACATACTAACAATACAATTAAATACAAAAACAATTCTAAAATTTGATATATCAAGGCTAACAGAACCAAACAATTGAATACAAATACAAGACAGACTATTTCCTGGAACAACATCCAAAATTTCTGCAGGCCCAGCTGCGAGGTAAATGCCAGCCTGCACCGCTGACCCAATTCTCTTTGAAGGAAAGAATTGCTAGATAAATGCTAGATATTCCATAAAATTGTCTCTTTGTTTTGTTTTCTAAGTTCATAACATTTTTTCTAGGAAGTGAGATTAACAAAGAGTGATGAAGTTTGAAGTGTTTTTAGCTCCATCCCTAGTTCTGCTCCCTGCATTTCTGCTTCTTGGAACTGGGTTCTCAACATATGTGCCATGTGTTCAAAAAGATTTTGGCCATGGATCAATAGTTTGTGTCTGTAATGATACATATTGTGATGAATTTGTTGATGAAGAGCCATCCCTATTAGCTGGTCACTATGTTGTGTATACAAGCACCAAGGATGGTCAGAGGTTTAATGAGTCTGTGAATGAAGTTAAGAGAGAAGCAGTCAATGATCAAGTTGATGTCAAACTGCAAATCAATGCCTCAGTTCATTTCCAAACTATATTTGGATTTGGAGGAGCTTTCACAGGTCAGTTTTTCTTATGTTACCCCACCTACAATCTTTTGAGATAAAGCTATTGAGGCAAACCCCTAAACATGTGCTAAGTAGCATGTACGTACAGTCCAACTTCTACCCCCTCCCCCTCCCCCATTGAAAGTTGGAGCTTGTGTTTTTAGTATCAGGGATATCATAATTAAACTGGTCAGGGGAGGGGGGGTTAGAAAATCTCAACACCACCTTTCCAATTTAGTTTTTTGGGCTCAGAATGAGATCACAACCAGCCCCTTGCATCAAGTGTCTCAAATTTGCCTCTACTTTTAGGGGGTATTTTTAGCTAAAGCCTAAACATGATAATCAATTTACTTGATACAGCTCTCTTGAAATCAAATTCAGCCATTAAGACACCCCCCCCCCCCTTCATTATCCACCCAAAATCCACAGTTTGGAGCTTATGAAGTCCTTATCCTAGAAATATTCTTTTGCTGTCCAAAGTACAAGCTCCACTCTTTGAAGGCTTTCAGATTTCAAACATTGTTTGTAGAAAGCTCTTAATAATTATCAATTTTTCTTCAATTTTCTTTCCAGATGCAGCCACTTTGAATATTTTCAATTTAAGTGAGGCCCTTCAGCAGAAGGTATTTGATGCCTATTTTTCAAAGAATGGCATTGGTTACACTGTTGGAAGAGTGCCCATAGCAAGCTGTGATTTTTCTACACGTGTTTATTCATATGATGATCATGAAGGAGATTTCAAGCTTGAAAAGTTCCAGCTGACTGCTGAGGACTTAATACTTAAGATTCCAGGTAAATGCATATGTTTAAAACTTTGCTTTTTAGGATTTTATCAAGAGTTTTATCCACATTTGTCATTATCTTTTAAATCAAGTACCATTTTCATTAACTTAGAATTGAAATAAGTTTATTTATCAGGGTCAAAGCCTCTTTTTTCATAAATAAAATAGTACAATAAGCTTACATTGTTTGTATAGATAAACCATTAGATTAGAGCAAATACATTGAACCAATGTCCACAACCAAAACAGCAGCAGCAAAGTGTTTGTCACAATTGGGGCTAAAGGGGGGGTAAGAGGATGCCTATTTTACATTGGTGGCCCCTCCAGTTTAAGATGAGTTGGGTGGACCCTGTTTATTGTTACACTGAGCCAAGAACAGTTATTTAGAAACAAATGATTTAGCCATTAAAACAATGCTGCTGCTAGGAAATAGAAAATGTCCTCGATTTTCATTTGTGTTTTTGTGTCTCAAGTTTCTTATTGATAAAAAGTTGTGTTGTTGACTTTTTCAGCAATTAAAAGAGCTAAAGAGACATCAAAGCAAGAAATTAGGTTGTTTGCGAGTCCCTGGGCAGCACCGGCTTGGATGAAGACGAACAAGAAAATGCAAAACCCAGGAAAATTGATTGGAAATGTGAGCGGAGAGTACTACAAGACATGGGCAAATTATTTTATCAGGTTCCTTCAAGAATATGAGAAAAATGGTGTCAAGTTTTGGGGACTGACTGTTGAAAACGAGCCAAATGCAGGCCTATCCCCAAGGTATGATCCTTTTTATTTTTCTTGCTTCTATCCAATATTTTAATCTTTGATTATTGAACCTTTAGAAAAATCTTGCCCTTCATCGTTTCAAAACAATTTACAATTGGGAACAAATGTAGGTTTTCTGTTTGAAGTAAATCTCTGCTCCGAATTAGTAAAATGAGCTATTTTGCCCGTAATAAGATCCAACAAGCCTATGTATTCATTTAGACAAGTATTGATTTTTTTGGCATTAATAATAGGCTTAACATTGAAGATTAGCCGATTGGCTCCGTAACAATAGGTCTATTGTGTAGTCTAACAAATAGGAATGGCCAGTGAAATAACTAGAACAATAAAAAATTAGAACATGGGAAAGAGATTAGAAGATACGCATATAGCCAAAAATGTATTTACAGTAAAAAATGTTGGCTGCCATTTTTAATTCACTTAAGAGGTTTATTGCCTATGTTTGCAGCAGTAGGGCTTGTGCAATACTACGTAACGCGATAAACATTTTCAGACCATCTACCTATCTAGCCTGAGCCCCAGGTGTAACCGAGCGCAAAACCTTGTCCGAGCATTTTCCTAGAGATCGAGGAAAAATTAGTTATTCGATGAAATAATTCTGCATAATTAATAAACAACACGGTAGCTGTGAAAACGTGGTTTTCCATTAACTCGAAGTGAACGGCCGGTACAGAGCTTTGGGATCTTGAACTCAGGTTACTAACTACCCTGTATACACAGGTGTTGATAAAGGGGGGTCAGAGGGGGCAAAGAAACCCTGAAAAGGTAAACTGCTGTTTTGTCGGAAAACTTCTGATCTTGTCAGAAATTCGACATCGTTGGCTTTTTTTATTCAAGTGTTACATTTTGAGAGAAAATATCTTAAAGCTGAATTTGCTGGTTTCGATCTCTTTCAGCACTTAGGTATAGCACTTAGAAATGCCTTTTTCAGAGAAAAAAGCAAGAACAATCTTCGGATAGTATGATTTATGGCACGTGACTTACGTGATGTTATGTCCAAATTTCTGAAAAAAATAGCAGCTCCTATAAAATATCGGAAAATCTAAATTTCTCGCCCCTCCTATGAATTTTCCTATCTATGCCACTGCCTGCATAATCCACAATTAAATATTTATTGGCCTTGATTCTATCTATAACCATATCTATAGATGTCCGTGTATCTACCTACCTTAGATGCCCAAAGTTGCGTAGACGTGTCCATGTATGTTTTATGCTACTTCTACTGCTGTAATTATGAGAATTAAATAGTGCACAGTGGCGGTTTTAGTGATTGCGGGGCCTTGGGCCAAAAACATCTGCGGGACCCTTGTTCTTTACAATTTCTATCTTTTTTCTTAGGTATGGGGCCCCTTTTGGCTACGGTAAGCGCGGGACCTGGGACCATGGCCCCCCTGAACCCCCTTAAAACCGCCACTGATAATGCAAAGTGATATGATCGCATGCACTCACTTTTTTATAAGAAACTCGCTTAACGAAGCATGTACTGGGCAAGAAATCCATAAACATGATTGGCTGGTTGGCATAAAAATTTAGACACGGAATAAAAATGAACCTCCCTCATCTAAGCATAGCATTGGAACAGAAGCGAACCTCTTGATAGAATGGTCACTGGAATTTGTAAAGAATAGAAACATTGACAGGTCTCAATGCTTGCAGCTATGAAAAACCTCAAAGACTGGGAAATTTCCTAGCATGAAATATTAAATATAGGAACTTAATGTGCAAATTAATGACATTGAGTATAAGAATTTCCTAAAGCGTTGAGAAACAGGAGTACTTAGCATCGACCTTCGTGCCTTCAAGAAACGAATGTATTATGTAAAATGTACAGGTTGAATTAATTCATGTTAGAATTTTAAAGCTGGTGAAACACATGATTGATACCGTTTTTTAATTTATCCTTTTTAGCTATGCGTTTCAGTGCATGGGTTTTACTGCAGAATTGGAGCGAGATTTTATCAAGAAAGATTTAGGCCCTGCGCTGGTCGCTCATGGATACAAAGATGTGAAGCTGATGATGCTTGATGACCAGCGTCTTTTTGTAACATATTGGGCAAATGTTATTCTTGGTGATCCAGAAGCAAAGAAATATGTATCAGGTAAGGAGAAGAGATGAGTGGTTTTTTAATGATTCAAATTTTGTTCGGGAGACGAAACCTTTGGTCCTTTGTCTCGAAACAATACTGTAAAAAATCTTTTGGTGGTACACAACTTGAAAATGGCTTTGAAAAAAGCAAACATTTGAGTAAACTAAAGCTTTTCGTCTGACACTCTTCAGATTTTAAAACGTCAGAACATAAACAATACCATCTTCAACCAATCAGTGTCACAGTGGCATGGCACATGCGCATTAATAACAGTATGACCACATAACTCTTGAAATTCCCACCAGGGCTTCAAGTGAAAATGCGCATGTGCAATAACCCTGAAACGGGGGCTAGTGCATGGTCTGGAGGACGGGCATGATTCACCTCCCGAACAAGCATTATTGTTGGGGAGACAAGCTAGTAAAAATCGCGAGGCACCCCTCCATCCTGGAGTCAGAGAGCATGCGTAATAATAAATTCGTTTCTTGCCCATGATTTTTGACTTCAGGATGGGGGGCTGCCTCACTCATTAAAAAACTTTCTCTCTCTCATCTCTTCGTTCTTATCGCTCCCAGCAAATAAAGATGTTTCAAAAATGTTTGACCTGGAATGTTTTGAATTTGCACTTTCCCATATCCTTAGAAGTAATTTAAATAAATCTGACATATAGACTATTGACAAATAGATAATTTAGAATCTAATCTTTGATGTTATACCGTTTGTTAAGATTTTCTCGAATCTTTGCAATATCTATACTTCACTCCACTTCCTCTTCCAGGAATCGGCGTGCACTGGTATATGGATCCTTGGGTCCCACCGGCCTTTCTAGATGACACACACTCCAAATTCCCGGATGTATTTATCCTCTCAACCGAAGCCTGTGCTGGTTATGGCTACGATGGTCATGGCGTTTCCTTGGGAAACTGGGAAAGAGGCGAAGAATATGGTCACTACATAATGCAGGTAAATTTGCCATCTTTACATGATTGTTCGTTTTCTTGTAAGCGTGAAAGAATTGTAGCCCTAGTAGATTGAATTAACAAACACCCTTAAAGACATCCTTACGTTGTCACATCCATTTATATTGAATGTCTTGAAGTCGAACGATTTGACATCGAATGATTTGCCAAGCAAAGTTAATCCTCATTCCTCTGAACTGCTCGTTCAATGAAATGTTTAAGGAAGCCGAAGGAAAGTTGCTTGAAATTCGTTGTAGGTTATACTTTAAAAGATGAAGGAACTATTCTTAGGTTTTTATCCATTTTTTTATCATTTCTAGAGAAATATTGTACTAAGACTGCAAAGATGAAAATGTAATTCTTCTTATTTTAGAAAAAATTTCAGTATCATGCTCCTTTAGTACAGGAAAAATAAGAGAAAACAATTCAACATTAATAATGTTCTACGTTTTTAGAAAAAATTTTAATCATGAGTTTAATCATCAAGTTTATTCATTAATCGTTCTGAGCGCATTTGCGATCTTCAGGAAAACTATTGACTTTTCTCTTTTTGAAACGTGTTCTTGTAATGCCAACCGTATTTAAGATAAAAATTCATCTTCTCGTGGAACAGGTATTTGTCACATTTAATTGTCTCTCGTTTCCAGGATCTGAATCACTGGTCTGTGGGCTGGACAGACTGGAACCTTGTTCTCAATATGCAAGGTGGCCCGAACTGGGTCAAAAACTTCGTCGATTCCCCGATTATTGCTGACTTTGAAAACATGGTCATATACAAACAGGTATGTATAACTTAACATGTTGTCAGTCGTTTGGCAATTATTCAATCTTTAGTTTGAGAATATTATAGTGCATAATCCTATCTTTCGTTGAGCTTATTTACATCAATTCATATCTTTCATTCGCATTTCTTTATGGCAATTTTTTTTTCTCAGCCAACATTCTACCACATGGGTCATTTCAGTCGGTTCGTCGAGCCTGGCTCCGTGAGAATATTTTCCAAAGCTGATCGTGAAACCTCACTGGAATTCATTGCTTTTCTCACCCCGAGCAATACCCGTGTTCTTGTCGTCTTGAATCGTCAACCCAAAGCTTTCACTATACAAGTTTCTGAAGCGAGCATCGGAGACATTGTTTGGCACATCCCACCCCGATCTATACAAATATTTAAATGGAACTTCTAGCAACGAAATCAGTATACTGGAAAACATTAAATTAATGAATAATAATTTGAAATAAAAATTGTTTATATGTTTTGAAAGATAAATTACTTTTGATGAAATATCGTTATTATTTTGCAATAAAATCATGTCACAAACCCCGTGTAGGTTTTGATTCTTTTAAGTTGAATGACAACCTCACAATTTTGCATTCCTCACAGCACCTTTACTATAGAATTGTGTATTTGCAAATTGTGTAGAATGTTTAAACTGACTTTTGTACGAACGCTAGTCTACTCTGAAACTAAATTTTTAAAAAAATTATGCTTGGCATCATTTTAACAGCTTTGTTGATTTAAAAAGCGATTTTATTGATGTTAGATTTAATTCTTAATTTTAGCTATTTTATATGAATGTTTTTATATGTAAATGAATTCAATAAGTGTATAATTTTAAGAACTTTACCACGCAATGTCCTACTTTGTTCAATTTGTAATTCAAAGTTTATTTTTGTGCTTTGTTAAGTTTTGACTGAAATAGGTAACAGGTATTTCCACACGAAATCGCAAATATAAATATCAATTTATCTTTTACAAGTTGTTTCCGTGTGTATCATCTCGGGGCAACCAATATTTTATTTGTATCTCACGTGGAAAACATTTTAGTTTTATTGAAAATGATACGATAAAATCCACTGTTTTGAATTATTAACAAATGATCCCCTGTTTTCAGGCCGTTATTCCCCTGTTACTGTATGGCTACTGAGCACAGAAAAGAGCAGGATAATTATTTTAACCAAAAGAGAACTTAGCTCATGTCTTCCAGAAACATTTCCTATTGGAATTTTAAAATGTTGAACTGAGACAGAACTCAATGTACGAAGAACGATCGTTTTGTATGAGTGAAAGAGAACTTTTATCTACACCATAGACAGTCAAAGGCTTTTGATAAATCCATAAGGACAGCAAAAACTTGTTTGTTCCTTTCCAGTTCCGTTTTCCAGTCTTCAATAAATCTGAAAAGAGCGTGCTGGGAAGAAAAGTGTTTTGTATATGCGCATAAGGATTTCGACAATTTTTCTTCAAGAGATGGAGAAAGTTGAAGCTCTATTGCTTTTTCAAATACCTTAGAAAGTGTTGTGAGTAGACTTAATAATATAATAAAATCTATGTAAAGAAACACCCTGCCTGCCTTTACAGGTAATGCCACAGTTTGGCTCATGTCTTCCAGAAACATTATTAAAACGATAAACTGAGACAGAACTCAATGTGTGAAAAACGATTGTCCCCTTTTCCTTAAGTGATGTTTTCTTGCTTATATATTTTTCTTCAGATAAAGTTGTTCAACACATAGTAAGTTCAAATTATGCAACATTTTCTTTTTCGATACAGCAAATGATACTTTTTCGTACAACACAAATGTACTATGGTCACCGATAGGCATATCACTCCATGGACATTTCGTTCACTTTTAGGGGAAATATGGAGCTAACATGTGCCGCGGAGAGGAATCTGGGGGCTATAGAGCCCCACTTTTCATTAGAAATATAAGAAATCAACTACCAATCATGCCTCTTTTCTATCAATTTTAGCCCCCCTCCCTCCCCACTTATTTTGGACCCCTCACTACTCTCAATGCTCTGCGGTGCCGGGCTAAATCAATAACTACATTAGGGTCTCGGCTCCTTAACTTATGTTTACCTCGGTGTGTTAGGCAATATTTGATGCGTTTCTGCTTCTTAACTTTTATACTTGTATGTAGTCGTGTCTTTATATACCATTTACAGTCATGTACTTTGTGAGGATGTCATCAATCTGATGACGACAGCAATTATGACAACTCTTCTTAGCCTCGTTTCAGAAAAAAATGAGAAACTTCGAAGGAAGATAACAAGATGGCTGCCGGTGGTGACGTGGACGAGCTTTTCGAGCTAAGAAATGCGTTTTACATAGGCAATTTTCAGCATTGTATAAATGAGGCACAGCGTGTAAAGGTAAATTTATCTTTTAGTGATAAATTCATGATTGATCCAGTAAGGACGGTGTTGCATATTTAATAATGTCGTGACGGACGACACCCGGACAGATGTGTGTCGGTTTGGTTATAGAAAATATTTTATATCTTGCCAACCTAAAAAGGCACATATCATTCGAGACTAAAAATAAAAAATTTTTTAACGCTTTGGAAGACTTCTTGCTTGCCCTACCCGGCATCTCAGCCAAATTGTGGAAGAGTAGAAGAAAAGCTCCTTGTTTTTCCAGACAACTTTTATCATTTGATACATTTCCTAGGAAAACAGATCTATACTTATGGAGCACAAATAAGGAACCAAAGGGCACAGGGCGCATGTGCTGTCTTAATGTTTTTAGAAACTTGAGGTGAAGTGCCTCGTTTTGGCTCACCCCCTTTTAGAATGCTTTTTATGTCCTTTTGGTCAGAATAGAACTTTATAATCAAAAGTTATATAAATAAAAATTTCTTAAATTGTAATTATCATACATTAATTCTTTGTGACTAAGTAGTTTGTGAGATGTACTTTCTTCCTTTGCAGTGAGGGTACTGAAAATTACTTTAAATTTACCTAATATGGTTTCTTTATAATTAAAAATCTTCAATGGGATTGAAATTCTCCACTATACAAAGCCATCGGCAATGAGAAATTGACACCATGTATCTTTTGCTGCCAGTCTTTTTATGTACTAGCAAACCTTTTCTTTTACAGCACCAGGGTAGTGGCATATTTTGTAATTATTAAAGCAGCTATAAACATGAATGTCATTCTGAATAAACATCAACATATCATATTCACATAAATGTATGATTGTATGATACTTAAGTGTTTAAGCTGTGCTCAATACTGCATTGTGTCAATTTTATATACCAAGGTTCTTTATATGGCCACTGTCTTTCTGTTTTGTTTCTTATGCCTATTAAATTTGGTTACCATTTTTTGTGCCTGCTAAACTTGTTGATTTCATTTCACAGCCATCAACACCAGACCTCAGAATAGAAAGGGATGTTTTCTTATATCGAGCATATACTGCACAAGTAAGATGAAAAACCCATTGTTTGATATTTAATTTCTATTTTTTCTTATCTGCTAATTGCAATGGGACAATTTAACATGATCTCAACTGTATTATCATTGAAACCCATATTTCATTACACCCCATTAAATTCATTAACATATCTAGTATCAGAAATAATTGAAGTATTGTATGCAAAATAATTTGTTTTCAGAACTTTTGAAAGATTCTTGGTAACAAGGGAGGCACCATTGTAAATCTCCCCACTGAAACCTTGAAACAATTTTCTTCAATAAAACAAACAATTCATATGTTTTTTTCTTTGTCATTAATACTTTGTACTATTACTCTTAAACAGGGAAAATATGGTGTAGTGCTAGATGAGGTAAAGGGATCATCTCCAGGAGAGGTTCAAGCAATAAGAGTCCTTGCAGACTATTTACAAAACCCAGGGAAAAAGTAAGTCTGTTAGATTCTGACTGACCAGAATCTTTTGTCTTATAGGCAGACAATAATTTTTTGTATAAGAAGGAAGAACCGCGGGATAGGCTGTCCGCTGTATTCTGTGAATCTTGCAATCAGTGTTGTTATGAAAGATATACAGGAACAAAGCAATATGACAACGAGAATCCAATGTAACGTGATAAAATATTCAAAATAAATTAAATAAAATAAATATTTTGCCCCGGCATACAGGGCTACAATAATTGTTTGTCCCATAAGTTAAATTTTTTAATTTTTTATATGGTTTTTTTCAAAATATGAAATATAAAATGATATAAAATATTAACACAAAGTCAATTATCTTAGGAAAGCTGTAGTAAAAAGTATAAATTTGAGTATTTATCAACAAAGAGTTCAGAAATGGTAAGGAAAGAGTCACATTTTTTTCAGCATTGCAACTAAAAATTCTATCATATTTTCCTGTAAAACTGTATTGACTTTTATAACTACTTTACTAAAACCAAATTTTTTCTTTTCTTTATAGAGAGCATATACTAAAGCAGTTAGAGGCAAAGATAAATTCAAGTGATTTCAGCGAATACTTTCTTCTGATTGCATCAACAATTTACTTTCACGAACAGGTAATTACAAGACAAGCTCCAAGTTTTTGTTATTCATATTTTTATCAGCATTTACCTTTCTCATTTTTAAAACAAAACAATGATATAGAATAAAATACATTCCCTTATTTCCATAATAGCCTTTTGTTTTATGATGATGATATTTATCATGAATCGTTGGGGATGTCAACAATTTAAGAAAGCTTTAAGAATGATACATATAAAGCAAAAGAGATTGTGAATAAATATGGTGATGGATGGAAGGATAGAATTAACCTTTGAATGAGCTTCACAAGCAACAATTTGTGTCTATTGTACTGTTTAATGATCCTCGAAATGAAGTTCTGAATAAGTTGTTTTGAAATCTTATTGACATTGCATTGACTTGTATATTCAGTAAACTGAATGATCAAACATTCCTTTTATTTTATTCACTGTTATAAACTACTGCTATTTTATTATTAATTCATTTATTTTTCTATTGTCTGTTTGTTATTTATCAGCTCTTTAATGTGTTCCTTGTTTTGCAGGATTACGATTCAGCCTTGAGATGCTTACATCAGTCACAAGCTCTAGAGAGGTGAGTTTTTTATTGGAAGCTATTTCTTGAGAATTTGAAGGCTTCATTTCACATTTCTTGTTTCATTTAAAGATTTTTATCAACCACAAGAAGAACAAAATGACTACCTTTTGGTTAGAGCTGATATATTTTGAAATCCTTGACCTTGATTAGCAATACACTTATTACAAAATTCTACAAACATTTTAGCATTTCTAAGCTAGTGAATGTTCCGAAAAAATGTGCATCTTAATGTGTATAAGTGTTTAGAAAAAGAGTTAGCTTCATAGTTTCAACCATGCATTTTGCTACAAGGTTTTGGACTTCTATTGGGTAATCAAAGGAATATCAGATTTTGGAAAAACTGGAGTAACCATCCACCCATCTGTGCTTATAACCAAGTTGATGTCTCTATGCTTATAAGGGCTTTTCTCTTTTGAAAATTGCTACATGTGTACTTTTTCTTACTGAAACATTTTTATTCCATGTCCTTCAAGCTATGAAATTACTTTAATGGAGATGTTAAAGGCATTTTGTCCCATCAGTCAACTGTTCAGAATTAACAATAGGCTTGGCACAAAAAATATTGAGAATTCAAGTGGCCAGTGAAATTGTTCAAGACACAGTGCCTTTAATGTTACAGTGTATTTCTAAAATGTTTTCTGACCGTACCAGCTATACCATAGAATTTCATCATTTGTTGAATTTCCATTTTGTTTCTTTCAGCGAAGCATTATCAGTTCAAATGTATGTTGCAATGGATAGGATTGACCTAGCAAGGTTGACGATTGTACTTTTATTTTTTGAAGTTTTGTTTGTTATGAGAAATCATTTTTCTACTTTTTATGCAAGAGATTGAAATAAAATGGATTCGTTTATTTTCAAATTATGATGATTATAAAAAGCAATCCTAAAAATATTATAAATCTATTCGGAAAGTAGGCAGTTGAGTAAGCTAACAGGATACTCAATACGTTGCTTGTTGAAATGGAGATATGCAAGTTATGAATCTGGTAAGAATCAAGTTATTATTAATCCAAAAAACTCGATTATCCATCTGCAACATTTTGCAGTTTATCAAGTCCATTGTAGACTGTAGTCATTTTTATGTTGCTTTAATCTTTAAGCTGAATGTCATTTTAAATGTAGAAAACTGTTTATTTTTTAACTTTTATCTCCTGTTTTTAGGAAAGAGCTTAAAAGAATGCAGGTTTGTAAAATGAGTTTTATAAATTGCAATTGGAGTTAGGCCTTTGATTTCATTTTATATTAAACCATTTCTATTCTTTTAAAAATCTGGAACCAACAAAATATTATTGTTTGTTTTCCAAATAAAGAATAAATTTGATTGGCTTAGTGATCTTGAAGGAAAATTGCAAGGGATATATTGCAGCACATTTTGTTTGCAAGACAGATTTCCTTGTATAATTGTTCTTTTGCAAGAAATGTTGAAATTCTACAAGAGACACAAATGGGAACTGACCAAGATAATTTTATTATATTCTAAATAATTCCAAGATAGTACCAAGAAAATTTTATTATATTCTAAATAATTCCAAGATAGTACCAAGAAAATTTTATTATGAAAATTCTCTTGGACTCCATTGGTAATTTTTCTTTAGGCTTGCAGCACTGATTGGTCAACTATACCGGTCTTGTGCTTGCGTTTTTCTGATTGAAAATTTTATTATATTCTAAATAATGAATGAATGAACCTGAATGAATGAACATTAGCACAAAAAAGCCAGAAAACATCATGTTTAGCCAGGCCTGACCATTTGAGGAGAGCCATAGCTCTTGCTCCCCTCCAGGCTCTCCTCAAACGCTGGAGGGGAGCTAGAGATTGCTCCCCTAAATTGTTCTAAAAAGCAAATTTGCTCTCCTTGAAATCAATTTTTCCTTTGTTTCTATTCTTATAGCTCACCTGAATACTTCTAGGAGAGCTGTTTACTGCTCCCCTGTTGAAAGTCTTATGGCCAGGCCTGGTTTAGCATGTAGTACCATGGATTACATCTGCTTTTTTGTTGTCATTTTTAAATTATGCATCACAAAGGCCTATAAAGTAAACTGGATTGAAACTATTTGTATTTCGAAATGTTTCCAAAGATGATTTTTTTATTCAGGAAATCGATGAAGATGCAACATTGACACAGTTGGCTACTGCTTGGTTTAATTTAGCTGTGGTGAGTGTCTATCTAATATCTTACAGAGTGGACTGTAAAATTTGTTAGTCAGTACTATATACGTTCAACTAGCCATAGAGTTAAGTTTCTTAGCAGTTCAATTTTCCCGTGGATACAAGCATGAAACTTTGTACCAATAAAGAATATGACCTGATGCTTGCAAAAGTTATTTTTAGACTAGGATACCTGTACCTGGGTTGTGCTCCATCGTTTCATAGCTATGCAAGTTAAACAACTAAAACATAATTTTTTGAATGATTTTACGTTGTAAACAATAGGAGATTGAGATAAACAATGGTTAGGGCTATCATGGAATGGATTGGCACATTTTTATATCATATTGTTGGGAACATTTGTGCCAAATTTCAGCTGGTTTGGTAAGGTGTGGTGCAATGCCCTGGTGAATTGACATGGAATGACCCAGACCAAACTTCAAGAATTTCCCAACGCCCCTCGTAAAGTTAACCATCCTTTTGCTAAAGATTGAAGGTGTTGGGTGAAGGTGAAAAGGGAAGGTCAAGGGCGAGAGTCAAGTATTTGAGAGCTGAGGCGTCGGTGATGTGTTGAGCGAGATTTGTTTGAGATATAAGATTGTGTGATTTGCTTTGACAATCTAAGTGTTTTCTTACTCGTAGGGCGGAGAAAAAGCTCAAGATTCGTATTACATTTTCCAAGAACTAGCAGACAAGTACACGCCAACAGTGATGCTGCTAAATGGGCAAGCGGCTTGTTATATGCACATGGGGAAATTTGACGACGCTGAAAGCTTGTTGCAAGAAGCCCTTGAAAGAGTATGCAGAAGTCTTTCTGTCAATACGTTTTTATCATGGCATTCTTTTTTATAAAGTGTAAATACAAGTGCAAGGATAGGAAACGGAAAGATTATTTGCCTATATTGGATAATTATGTTTTGGTTAAAATACTATTGACACTATTAGCAGCGGCTACCCTATTAGCAGCGACCTCCCTTGCCCCATTATTAGCAGTGACCTCTGCTACCCCGTTATTAGCAGTAACCTCTGTTACCCCGTTATTAGCAGCGACCTCCCTTGCCCCATTATTAGCAGTGACCTCTGCTACCCCGTTATTAGCAGTAACCTCTGTTACCCCGTTATTAGCAGTGGCCTCTGTTACCCCGTTATTAGCAGTGACCTCTGTTACCCCGTTATTAGCAGTGACCTCTGTTACCCCGTTATTAGCAGTGACCTCTGTTACCCCGTTATTAGCAGTGACCTCTGTTACCCCATTATTAGCAGTGACCTCTGTTACCCCGTTATTAGCAGTGGCCTCTGTTACCCCGTTATTAGCAGCGACCTCCCTTGCCCCATTATTAGCAGTGACCTCTGCTACCCCGTTATTAGCAGTAACCTCTGTTACCCCGTTATTAGCAGTGGCCTCTGTTACCCCGTTATTAGCAGTGACCTCTGTTACCCCGTTATTAGCAGTGGCCTCTGTTACCCCGTTATTAGCAGTGACCTCTGTTACCCCGTTATTAGCAGTGACCTCTGTTACCCCGTTATTAGCAGTGACCTCTGTTACCCCATTATTAGCAGTGACCTCTGTTACCCCGTTATTAGCAGTGGCCTCTGTTACCCCCTTATAAGCAGTGGCCTCTGTTACCCCGTTATTAGCAGTGACCTCTGTTACCCTGATATTAGCAGTGACCTCTGTTACCCTGTTATTAGCAGTGACCTCTGTTACCCCGTTATTAGCAGTGACCTCTGTTACCCTGTTATTAGCAGTGACCTCTGTTACCCTGTTATTAGCAGTGACCTCTGTTACCCTGTTATTAGCAGTGACCTCTGCTACCCTGTTATTAGCAGTGACCTCTGTCACTCTGATATTAGCAGTGACCTCTGTTACCCTGATATTAGCAGTGACCTCTGATACCCTGATATTAGCAGTGACCTCTGTTACCCTGTTATTAGCAGTGACCTCTGTTACCCTGTTATTAGCAGTGACCTCTGTTACCCTGTTATTAGCAGTGACCTCTGTTACCCTGTTATTAGCAGTGACCTCTGTTACCCTGTTATTAGCAGTGACCTCTGTTACCCTGTTATTAGCAGTGACCTCTGCTACCCTGTTATTAGCAGTGACCTCTGTCACTCTGATATTAGCAGTGACCTCTGTTACCCTGATATTAGCAGTGACCTCTGCTACCCTGATATTAGCAGTGACCTCTGTTACCCTGTTATTAGCAGTGACCTCTGTTACCCTGTTATTAGCAGTGACCTCTGTTACCCTGTTATTAGCAGTGACCTCTGTTACCCTGTTATTAGCAGTGACCTCTGTTACCCCGTTATTAGCAGTGACCTCTGTCACTCTGATATTAGCAGTGACCTCTGTTACCCCCTTATAAGCAGTGGCCTCTGTTACCCCGTTATTAGCAGTGACCTCTGTTACCCTGATATTAGCAGTGACCTCTGTTACCCTGTTATTAGCAGTGACCTCTGTTACCCTGTTATTAGCAGTGACCTCTGTTACCCTGTTATTAGCAGTGACCTCTGTCACTCTGATATTAGCAGTGACCTCTGCTACCTTATTGGCGTCTTATTGGCGTGTTCCGACCTTGCCTTACGAAGACTTCTTTTTTTTCTTTCTCAGGATAGTAATAACGCCTCAACACTCATCAATCTTGCTGTTCTAAGCCAGCATTTGGGAAAAGCACCCGAGGTACTTCTGTTTTTACCTTTCTTTCGTGCGTGTGGCTCTTAAAATGAAATAAATTGATTTAACTATTTGTATCCATTAAACATTCAAGCCAAGTTCTGTTCCGAGTTCCGATCTTAGACACAGCCGTTGAGGCGTATTGTGGGTGGCATACAGCCTCACACCCCTCCTCCCCCAATACAGAGTTTGCCCTTTGATCTAGAATAGATATCAACATTTTGACTGTGCGAAGATATCATCAACATAGAACAGGTTTGTAAATGGGTCTTGCTTAGCCTTTCTTGACTAGAGCTAAATGATCCAGGTTATAATGGCTTCTGAGAAAATATTTGTCTCAGAATAGTGTCTCTGAATTGGGGATAGTGTCTCTGAATACCCTTCCAAATGGAAAAATATATGGCCCGATATTGGAGCTACAAACCTTGCCAAAAATACAGTAGAATCCCGTTATAACGTATTCGGTTATTACGTGCTTTTGGATTTAACGTACTGGTGTGCTTGGTCCCGGAAAAAGGTGTGCTTGGTTATAGTCAATTTTTATTTACCCTCGTTACAACGTACTTCGGATATAACGTACTTAATACGCTGGTCCCTTAAAGTACGTTATAACCGGATTTTACTGTAATTGGAACGCCTTCCCCTGACGGCATGGAAACAGACATAGCAAGTCAATAACTACCTTTTCAAAATATTACCTTTGGTCCACATTTATCCCCCCCCCCCCCGCAATGTTGATTTATTTTATCAAAACGGTGAGATTGGGCAACATTTTAATTGCTGGGGGGGGGATTTTCCCAAAAAACCTTTAGGTTTGCGCAAGTGTTCCAAAATTTTGGCAAGGCTTGTATGTATCATTTTCACAACATAATGCTGCAAGGCTCTTTACAAAGCAAAGTTTTCAAACCATCTGAGAAATGCTGTAGATTTGTAAAATGAATAGTTGGACAATGTTCTCAGAAAAGTTCAAAACTGGAACCCCTACACCAATTTTTGTGCAGACTCTGGATTGGACTGGACGTATCATCACTTTTTAAATTCTAATGAAAATATTTTTTTTATTGTCGCAGGTGAGCAATCGATATGTATCACAGATGAAAGATTCAAATTTCAACCATCGCTTCACGAAAGACTTTTTCTCAAAGGTAATTTTTCTTAATTTGGGATCCCACTTGCCTTCCATTTATGGAAAAGTGATTTACACAATGGAATTTCATAAATTATATTCTAATTTTTGATTAATTGTCAATTTTTTTAAATTGATTTACTTATTTCAGGGTAAATAAGCCTATTTTATTCAGATGCGTGCCCAACAAATGCACGTGTATTAGAAATATTATAAGCATATTCCTAGCATCTCCCTTCCTAAAACATATCTAGGCCACATGTTTTACTTTGTAAATAAAAGACCATAAGAATAGAAAATATTGAAGACATTCCTTTAGACTAAAATGTTTTTTTTTTTCAGGAGAAAGACTTCGACCGAATTGCCGAGCAGTATGCAGCATCAGTTAGCAGCTGAAATTTTCGCATGTAAAGGGACTTATGAACCACTATCGGCAGTTACTGTGTAAACATATCTAGTGAATTTATATTATTGTTTTAAATGCAAAATAACTGATATTTTTGGCTAGTTTTTTTGTCCACCATTCTGTTCTCTCCCTAAAAATATCAAGGATTCATATTTTTAAGTGATTTAGAGGAATATGATGCAGAGGAGCTTTTTTCGTAAGCTAAAAATATACTTTATGCAAAGCTCATTATTTTTTCAGTTTTATTTTAGGTAACATCTTTTGATTTATGTATTTATTGCTTAATGATTGGTTTCAGTACAAAGTCTTCTTAAATATCTTGAGCTCTTGTTTGGTTGGTGAAACTGGATGAAACCTGAAAGGACTCTCTGATTTTTTATTTCCGTGTCCAGTCGATTGACAAAAAAAAATTCAAGTTCTCTCCAATTTCTTGCATATCCACATAAATATGGATCGGTCCCGTTTAGTTTTGCACATGTTTGATATTGTCTCCTTTTTAATTTGTTCGTATGCCTTTTCCTTTTCAACCATTCAAACTGGAAATATCTGGGGTAAAATCTGGGGTAAAAATTTCGAAACGAGCCAAGTTTTTTATCTACTTGCTAAAATGATGTAAGCCTAAATAGCATACACATATACAGTTTTACTGCAAAACAAAGAATGGCTTTAATTTGGTTACTTGCCCCAGTTTTTATCTAGGCATGAAAGACCCTTCAAAAAACTTACCAGTACAAATGTAATCTGGTAGTAGGATATTGGAAGGACCCAGCTTATGAACAGTCTGCTTGGGAATTGAAACATGTTACGTCTAAAAATGAAATGAAAAAGTTCTTGTCTGCTAGCTTTCAAAAATGCCTTTTTTCTAAAGCAATATGCAAACAAGAAATCCTTTGACTGAAGGCTTCTTTCTAAGCCTTTTTCGTGAGATACTGAAGTTTGCTTTATGAAGAGTTAGATACCTTGGGTTCATACTGCAACTTAGGAGGTATTTTCTACTTATTCGGATGAACCCAAAATAACTCCACTTCTGTTGAACTCGATTTCGATGTGGCAAGCACAAGTAATCTTTGACAGAGAGGGAGGATTATGATGACCAGGGAGGGATTTAAGCAACAATGATAAGGGGGGGGTGTTAGATGCTAACTGGATATTATGACACACAATTGGATTTTGTCACACCCTTCAGGTCGCCTGAAAATTATAAAAACGCCCATTTTCAAAATTTGGTTCTTAACTTTAAGGTAGAGAAGACAGGAAGATGAATAATATTAAATCTTGGCGTCATTTGGTTACATTTCTAGTGAGACTCGAAAATGACTATTTAGTTAAAATAACACACTCATCATACATTGGCCTCCATAAGCAAGCATTACCCCAACTCTTGACTTCCGTTCATAGAATCAGTTTGAAAAATGGCTTTGAAAAAAGCAAACATTTCGATAAGCTTTTCTGCTGACATTCATTAAGTATTAAAGGCCAGACAGAGTATTTAATTTTTATGTAGATAGATTCTAGAAGCAGGGACGGATTTAATCGGCAAAGATTGGGGGTGTCACACCCTTGAGGTCATTCAAAATTGATGGAAACACCCATTTTAAAATTCGATTTTTAAAAAGGTAAAGAAAATCATAAGATTAATAAAGTAAAACCCTGGTGTTATTTGACTACTACTGACCATCAAAAATGATTTTTACCGAATGGAAGCAATTTTTACCTAAAGGCGCAGAAATTGTGGGGGTTGTCATACCCCCTTACACTCCTCGCTAAATCCATCCCTGACGACGACGCAGCCATAAACCGGGGGAAGCTTGACATTTTAGTAATGGTGTTTTCATTATTTCATTTCATTTAATTCAATTTCAAAATTCCAATACGTACAAACATCATTCAATATGCAATAAGTGACTAATATTATATAAAAGAATACAAAAGATGGAAAGCAGAAAATTGCTGTAAATAAATACAGAAAACTGATATTGTATAGAGGGGAATTTCTTAAGGAGGGGCTCTCTCAATAGATATAATTCATGGTATCATCACCAATTTGGTTTGCGTATTGCATGATTTGATATACCAGTGTTATCAAGCAGTGTTTTAACTCCTCTTTCAAAGAGATAAGAGGATTTTGGAGTTGTCGTAAAGGAGAATAGCAGGGAATTCTGAGAACTGTGTTGCGAAGGAGCTTCTCTAAAGTTGTTATTGGAAACAGAGCACAATAAAACCGACGCCAACGCATGCGCAACTCGGTGTCTGCGAAATCAAATTCGAATTAATCAAAATGGCTACCATGAGCGGCCGTTCCAAAACAATCAAAGCAAGCTCGGGTATGTGTTGTTTTTCTTTAAAAGTAAAGTTTCGATCTTAGCATCCTTGTTACATATCAATGCTGCTTTGACTATTTAAAGCATCGCAGCTTACATAATTAGATTATTTTGTGGCTTGAGAGGCCCATATTTTATCATTTCCCATGAAGCATTTTCTACATTTCATTAATGAATAAGTAACAGCCAGATCTCATCATAGTTTTGTGGCAAGTCCCCCTTAAATTATCAAGGCTACTCACAAGAAAACCTCTTCAAAATTCTGTAGGATAAATAACATGGAAATTTGATAATTTGGTTGAAAATATTTCGTAAAGTTGAGGTGAGAAATGATCAAAATCAATCTGAAAATGTTAAAATTGTTAGCTGCAGTTGTCACAGAAATGCAGCTGCAGTTGTTTATCAGGTGCATTTATTGAGAAATGATGTTTGATCAACATTATTTTTTGAATGACCATTCTATTTTCATCCACACGTAGCGTCACTGTTAATGAAATTTTGACAGGGAGCTGTAGAAGTGCATGATTAAAACATTAGCTGATGTAATAAATTCCTGTTTCCATATCTCACTAATAACGACGTTTCTTTTTCAGTATCTCCGACAATGTCGAGAAGAAGCCTTGGCACAATGCCTTTGAGCACAAGCAATGCAAGACCAAAATCGTCAAAGGGGAAGAAACTAGCTGCTTCACTTGATGCCTCTGGGACAAGGTATAACAAAATATATTTTTACACATGTAGCCTGATCTTTACATTTGATAAAAAGTAAATTCTCAAAACATTGTATTTTTTTATAGTCTATTTCATTTTGTTCTTAATTTATTTACTCCCATTATATTGTTTTTTGATTATGTTTACCCACAGGTAACCTATTTTTTTTATCTCCATAAGGTTTCTTTTCTGTGTTTGTTTTGTTTTGTTCAAAAACAACTCCAAGCAGATTGCTTCTTTCTTCATGCAGAAAATCTTTGGACATAACAAACTGGGACACTGGAAAACTTGAATCAGAGTATATCAGGAATTTGCAGCAGCAAGTCTATTTTCTGGAGCTTGAAACCAACTACCTGTATCTTTTCATCATATTTTTGTTTCTATCAAGAAAAACTTAATGTATTGATGAATTTAAAAGCATTGAGCCTAGCCATTTGAGGGGGGAGGCATAGCTCTTGCTCTCCTCCAGGCTCCCTCAAATGCTAGAGGGGAACTACAGACTGCTGTCCTAAACTGTTCAAAAAAAAGCTTTCCTTGAAATTAATTTTCCTTTGTTTCTATTCTTATTTACATTTATTAGCTTACCTGGAGATTACAATAGAGCTGCTTACTGCTCCCTTGCTAAAAGTCTTATGGCCAGATCTGATTAAACCTATTCGATAAAAAAGCATTTGATTTGATTGCTTATTATCTTCCCGATGATAGTGTGCATGACAATGCTAAATGTCATTAATCTGTTACCCTCCTGGCGCCCACTTTTTACACACCCAAGGCAGGCCTTGTGAGGAGCAATTATCATCATCAATAACAAAATTTGGTTTCTTGCATTTAGTTTTAAGACAGCATAAAAATGCTAGGTGCTCAACCAATCAAGCCCCTAGAACTTTCTAGGGGCATGCAGAGGCACTTGATGGAGCTTGAGTCCCAAGTAAGGACCATGACAAATAAAATGAAATTTTGCATGCTAAAGCATACATTTTCCTTAACACAACCAACCAGCCAAGAACAACTGAAAAAGGCAACAGGTAATTAACTTTCAATTGAAGAGCAAGTTGGAAAATATCATCAAATTAAATCTATCATTAAGTGCTTGAAATAACTGGTTTCATCTAATCTGGTGAACAAGGTTTTAGAAAACTTACTTCTTTCTTTCTCATCATGAAATGAACTTGTCTTTGAATGTATCTTGTTTGTGGAGGATGTGCCTTTCCTGAGGAGAGAATGCCATAGTCAAGATACATTATACAATGGTGACAAATAAAGGAGTATATTTCTATGACACTGTCAAATTTTGATGAATGTGTTTTGTCTAAGGCCAGAAAATTTAAAAAAAACTGTGTGTTTAAAAGTTGTGTATTAATAAAGCTTCTTGTTTTCCAGTGTTGCCTTCAAGAGTTACAGAAGAAGCTGACAGGATGATGAGGAAACTGAAGGCAAGACTTCAATTTCAAAAGCTGTAAAATGCTTCCTTTTCATTTACTATACATCAATGTATTTTATTCTTATTCCCTTGTTGAAAAACATGTTATCAAAAGGATGTCTTTGTTTGGGTCCAAAATATTTCTTTATATTTTTACAGTTTTGTAAAATTCAAATCTATTTTCCACAATTTGGATCTAATTTCAATCATTCCTTGCTACTGTCCAAGGATAAAAAGCACAGTATCACCCAAAGATATTGTCAGAATTGAGAAGATTTCATTAAAATCTTCTCTCCCCATTTTTCTAGGTTATGCAAGGAGAACTTGATGTTCGATCTCAAGATCTCATAAGAAAGGAATCTCAAGTTTCTATTGCATTAGAAGAGAGAGATCTTGCCATGGAAAAACTGAGAAAACATGAGGGTATGCTTTGGTTACACCAGATTCACTTTAAAACATGTGGTGACTCATGAATCCAACTTAACTTTTTCATTCTCTTTTTGATCAAATTCAGTTTTATTTTATTCTTTAGGAATTGTGCCATTTTAGGTTAGTTAGTGCTTAAAAAACACAAGAATTTCTTCATAATTTGGTTTCAGATGTTCTTCTGGCCATTTTCTTGAAACTTGAAAGACAAGCTATGAATTTGGCTTCATATCATTGATGCTGCAGCCATGCAGACAAAGCTCCAATCAGTAGCGAAGATGTTGTTTTAAGTTCTTAATTGGATCTTTTTTAAATAAATATATATTAAAGCTCAAATTCTTTTCATAGATTCATTTGCATTAGAAAAGAAGGACTTGGTGAATGAAGTTGTGCGGTTGAAGAAACAGCTTGACCGCCAACAGATGGATACTTCAAGAAAGGAAGTTCACATTAGTGAAATAAGAAGAGAGGCTGATATGGGTTTATCTGCATTGCAAGAGGCAGAAAATAAGATAAACACTTATAGACGAGAGGTGAGGCTTTCTTGCATCTCTTCTTATAGACTCTGTCATGTAAGTTGTATTATGATTGATGGGAACTGATGCCCCTTGGGTTGAATTTTTGAGCCTATAATTGTGCCAGCAGGTGACAGTTTAGTTAAAATGGGGCATTTTCTCTCACACACAGGCTGATGGAAAGACAGAAGATTTGAACCGCCTTCGAATTCAGCTCGAAGAGAAGCGATCAGAATGTTTAAAGCTGCAAACAGAATATCAAGAATTGGAGGAAAGATTTTTCAAGTCTGATACAAGATCTAAAGACGAGATTGCAAGTCAACTAAAGGTAAGTTTTTTTTAATAATTTTCACTAAAGTCCTTTTTATCATTAACAGTTCCCCACATTCCTTCCCGCTTCCTCCACCTTTCTTTTTTTGTGATAATTACGTTTTAAGAAAATCTCGGTGTTATAGCCCAGTCCAGGTTTAAGTTTTTCCAGTTAGGGTTAGCAATTTCCTGACTTGTTGAAGCACAGAAGTAAGGGTTCAATTATCCAGTTCAGTTCGGAACTGTCCTAAACTAGAGCAGTTTCAGCACCGATAAATCCCTTGCAAACATGGTCAAAATTGTTCTTTAAGCAAGGCAAATTAATTGCATGTGAAAGTATCAACAGCGCCGTCGAGAGTCAGCTTGAGCCCATTAGTGATTCTTTTCCCCCTAAGAAAACGTGTGTGACCACTCCTTTCCGTTTCTTGGAGACGACAACAAATAAAAAAATTTAGGTCACGCCTTTTTACTGTCAGAAAAGGCCCATTTACCAACAAGGAACGCCAATTTTGCCAATAAGGAAAACCCATGACCAACTTTTGGTTACGTAAAGGCATTTTCAAAATCATAGGATTATATCACAAAAAATACATTGCCAAAATTTTCCCTCCCCCCCCCCCCCCCCCCTAATCTTTTCTCATCGAATTTAGATGAAATACAAATTCGGGCCTGCCGAGAACTGGGAGGACGTGTCCCCCAGCTCCCCCTTGACAATGCTACTGAGTTCTCATACCTCTTTGGTGCCATTAATCCTTATGGTAGTACTGGATAATTTAATAAACATTTACTTACAATTATTTGACCTAATAATTCATCTTTGATATTTTTGTGGTCAGCCTTTCATTCCACCAGATTGCCTCTACAGCTACCTACATATGTAGATAAAAATCTTATTTTGTCACAGGAAGAGATCAAGCTTCTTAGATATGATTGCCGTCAGAAAGATATATCTGCCGAACAAGAAAGAGCTCTTCGCAATAAGGTCAGTTTAAAACAGAAGCTAAAATCCTAACAAAAATGTTTATCATTTTTTGTTGGAGCATGTGTTAGATGCCGAGAGGAAATTGAAGTGGAAGTTGAGAGTTAGAAGCAAATTCCCTCTTTTAAAACCTTGTTGCCTGGCTGCTGTCTCTGAAGCTAACTTTCTGGGGTTGAGTAAACGTGTAGCTTTTCTGTTGTTCAAGGATCTTGCATGCTAAGGGTTATTTCTGCGAATAGTTTTGCAGATCAGCTAAAAATAGCAATGACATAAAAGCCTGTGCAAAAAGCATCCCTTCCGTTCAATTAATTGAAACCAACTTTCTGTTACTTAGGGATCTTCTTTTTAAATCGTGTATAGCTGAATGGATTGGTTGAATAGATGGTAGTCAAATCGAAGACAAGCAAGGGTGGTCATCAAGAGGGGGGGGGGCGCTGCCTCGTAATTAGAATATTCCAAGAAAACAGCCTTTTTTAATTGTGCCTAAGAGAAACTCCAGCCAAAATACTTGTCATCTTCAGCTAACTCTATCAAAACTTATTTGTTTTTATCTGAACAATTTTTTTGCGGTACAGAATTTGAAAATGGCTTTGAAAAAAACAAACATTTTACCACATACTAAAAGCTTTTTCGTCTGACACTCCTCAGAGCATAAAATGTCAGAATAAGGCTCCGAAAGAACACGATGGAAAATATATAATTGTTTTTATTTTTTTTTAGATATCAGATGACTGCGCTGCTCTTGTGAAGGAAAACGCTGCTTTGTCGTCGCAGGTTTTTGAATTGCGGAAACTCCTTGACGCTGTAAGCTACTTTCACGAATCTTGTAGTTGTCTCTTTTATAGCATGACTACTGTAAAATTCAGAATATAGTCCCCCCTCGATTATAGACCTCCTAAATTTAAGCCCCCTCCCGAATTTAAGCCCCCCTCCCGTTTCTGGGCGTTATCTCGCTTCAAAATAAAACCCCTTCCAAATATAATCCCATGGCCTTAACTTGAAATAAAAAATACAAACATAATTTTCCCCCTTCAGCACAAATACACACCATTACTGATGCAAGAACAAAAATAGCAAATTCATTCTTCATTTTGGTTTGCAATGCTTGTTATCTTAAACATTATATAAACAGGGTGTCTCAATGTATTCTCTTTGAGTCGATGTGCATCCACGGCCCTTTATAGCTTCACCAGGTATGATACAAGAATTACTAACACTTAGCCACGTGTTAGCAAAGATTTTGAATTACCAGTACGATAAATTCCAAACCTTTTTATCCACAGGAACGGCAATTCCAAGACGACAAGGAGCAGCGAAGGCACGCCAATATCCATGAACTTGTCACGGCGAAAGAGAACGAAAAACAGCTAACCAGGGAAGTCGAGCACTTGAAAGACCAGCTCCGACTTGAACAAATGAAGCATAAGGATGCAACAGGAAAGGTTACTGCTTTGAAAATGTATTTTGTTCTCTGTACAATAGATTAAAACAATAGCTGTTTTCAGCCTTTGTTTCGAAACCTCAAAGGAGATTCTACAAGTTAACTTTTAGACCCCGTTTACACGAGTATGGATCCGATCCAGGTTCAAAAGAGTACGGACAGGCCTTGTGTTTACACGGGCTCTGGTGGATCCGTATACTTTTGGATCCGCTATCCGAACATTTTTTGCATGGCCTTCAGAGTATAGATTCGGTATAGATCCGATCTGGACCGGATTCCGTGCAAAGGGTTGGATATAGTTTTAACCAAGTTCTAGTATGATTTTTTCCACTCTTCCGTGGAATTTTTATTCAATTACTTTGTGGAAGAACCATTTCACACTGGTCTATTCGATAGAAAATTTCCACATAAAACAACGCTATTGTGTCTAAAAAGAACGTTTTTATGGTGCATTGATTCTCTGCTACCTGGACAAAATTGATTTTTAGAGACAATGTTCAGCTATGGTTATACTTTGATGTCAAGGCAATATCGACTTTCCCTTAAGAAGTAGGCACAATAATATGGGATTAAAAGCATGGTCCGCTATGGTATCCAGAGTCACAATCAATGTACTTTAGTTAGGAGCCTGTAAGAAATCATCTCTCTTTGTTAATATTCAGTGCTTTTGTGCCTAGAAGGCCAACCGAACTTCCACCCCTCAGTGCCCCTCCAGGCTTTAACGAAGTAGCAAATAAGGAACACCGCAATGGGCCAAGAACAAACAACAACAAACACACGTGAATCAGTTATGGCTAATATTTCGCCCCGGCATATGAGGCTTCATCAAAGCACAAACACTTTAACGCAGTATTTTAGGTTCTATAGAAAAAGTCACTTCTCTACGCAAAGTGAATGTTCTGTAAAGTTATGTAATATTTCTGTCTTTCTAGCTTCTTGAGGGAGAACGTGGTTTAAACAGAGGTATGCAGCCTCAATTTCCTGTTTTATGCCTATCAATCATAAAGGTTATTGTGCAACCGGCACGCTTTGCGACTATCATTCGAAGAACCGGCCTAAAATCGTACTGCATGAAAATACAAAATACAGTCAATTTCTCAAGACAACTGCCGCTAAGCATGCCGGTTGCGCAAGAATCTTTAATATGGATTGTCCTTTAGATCCAAGCCTCTTGTTAACATTCATATACGAAAATAGCCTCCAATAAGATACTTGATCTTCGAGTGACATGTGACTAAAGTACTTGCTTTTTAAATATAGTAAGCAAAATTCTCAATTTACGCAATGGCAGTTACATATTTGATATCGATTAGAAAAGATACAAAATATTTATTGCCGGATTGAAAAGCAAAGCTATAGAATTGTAAATAATGGTCGTTGTAGCATCTTTGAAGGAACTTAAAGGAACATTCCAAAATCATGAAGTTTTTTATAGTTATTAACAAGTTACTTTTCATAAGATGGGAAAGTAACAACATATCTCATTATTTTACAGCGAAATTGCGTGGCACAAAGCTCCAATCAGAAGTTGAAGAGCTAGAAAACTTGAACACATCACAAAGCGAAGAAAACATTCAGCTAAGGAGAGATAAAATGATTTTAACGGATCATGTTGCCGATCTTCAAGCCCAGGTAAATATCGTAAACATGACATTACCATCGGAGTAGCAACCTAGGACCTCGTCAAACGCATATCACATTTTATCCAACATCTACTCCCAACAACTTAGAAAGTTCATTTTTATTATTAAGTGGGTGGTCAAACGCATCCCACATTTCGTCCAACATTGGTTTTCTGCATGTTGGGTAAAATTTTGGATGCGTTTGACTCACACCCGCTCCATTCCTTGACATCGTCTATCCATGTTCTTCTTTGTCTTGCCCTGTCTCTTTTTCCGTCAATCCTACCTTTCAGAACAAGCCTTGCCAAGAACCCGGATGATCCCCTCATAATGTGGTCAGCTAATTACCGTATTTAAATTTTTGCCGTGGAGCATTCTGTCAAATTAATTCTAAAAGTCATTAGCTGTTCTTTTAATTATCAAAGAATTTCTTCTTTCCATTCCTAGCTCAGCGAAAAAGAAGAGGAAATTGAAACAGCCAAGATTGAGCTTCATGATTACAAAGAGCGTCTTACGCAACTCGATTCGCATATGAAGATGCAAAGGAGTATGGATAGCATCAAATGGGAGGAATTTGAGAAGATGGCCGACAGTCTGAAGGAGTTCTCCAAGCACATGTCGCCTTTGAGGCATTCAAGAACCGTTGAATTCGACTCCTAATTACAAAACATTTCACAAGGTTAGCTCCTTAGCACTTGAAACTTGCAGAACATAAAAACCATTGATTGATAAACCTGTTTGAATAACGCCTCGATGTAGTTATCCTAAAATGTTAAATACCATATAATTTTAATAGATGTTTTGTCCAAGATTTCTGATTTCAAAACATGCCAAGTTATTGTTAATGCTGATAAAATTGTATTCTTATCAAAACTTATCGCAATTTTTTACATATCTAGCTGCTTCTCTTTGACTATCTCCTTAAGAAATCAGCGTAAAAACTCGAAGCCAATCTAGCTTTTTAAAGATATAATTCGCCTGATGGTCGCATTAAGCGTGAAACTCAGAGTAGCAACTTAGAACCGTCCTGTTCTATACACAAAAACCGTACACAGCTCTGCCTATACGACATCAAGCACTTTATGACTGATCGCTTAAAAGCCATCTTCATGAATGAAAGACAGAATTACAATTTTGAAAGAACATTGATGGTAAAATATGATAATTTATCTCACTTCTACTAGTTTTCTTTCAGCATAAAGCATAATAGTAAGTTTGTGATAAGATATCAAAGAATAAGACAAAAAAGAGATACGATGAAAGCACAAAATAGGTTGAATTTGATATTAGTACAAATTTTTTAAGATTAATACACCAATTTTTGACAAATAGCTAGATTGAATACACATTATAGGGTAAAATTGTGCGGAAATGAAAAATGAATGAAATTGTCTACCAACTGTGTACAAAATTATTGACAAAAAAACGTGATTACATAAAAGTAGTGTGATGTTAAGTTGCAATGATCCCAAAATGCCGCCATTCGAGTTGATCCCAAAGATTGTGTCCCTGAAGCAGTCAATCTCCTTACCCTGATACAAAGTAGCGTTGTAAATACGTCTAGGCATGTAGAATTCCCAATTGCCATCACTTTGGTGATTCTGTGATAAAAATAAAATAGGTGTCAACTGTTTGTTTATCAAATGTGATCAATAAAGAATACAATATATACATAAAGACACAGTTACGTAGTTAGAACGTCCAGTCTTTAATCCTTTAACAAGCTACTCGATTAAAACATATTTTTGGATATTACATAGTGACGTTGCAGATATTCAACTTTTTTGGCTGAAGAAAGCTAAAAATACGCCACTCCAACTACAGCATCTCTGACTTTCTTAGGCAATTTAAGGCAATTTCATCTGCCTTAAGTTTTTAAGGCAATTTCATCTTACCCAAGTTACGAAGGACGCCGGAGATAACTTACTTAATTCGCCGGTCTCTTCAAGTACAATATAACCTATTATATGTTCCACTTTTTCGCTCAACGTTGAAAAGCAAAAAAGTAAAAACTCAAGGCAAAATGAGAATCTATGAAACTCACTGAATTTGTTCCCCATCGCTGCCTTTGATCTCGACTTATAATACCGCTCAGAAGAATCTACCTCACTGCATCTTTGCTGTTCATGCATTTGAGCCCTGAAAACGACAAAGAAGTGAACTCTTATTCCTCTTAAGTGCACTGTCGCATCTTTTATTAGTCTACTAAAACAATGATATTTGTCTACAAAAACAATAGTATTGTTCGTGTACCAAAGCTAAACGATGCGTCAAGCTTGCTCAGCTCTGCTCTACATCGAAATTCTACTCAGAAAAGACCAACGAGGAGGGCGAAAGTTTGCCTTAAACATACATAAACAAATATTTATAGATAAAACTTCTTGACAAGGAACGATAAATGAAAACTTACTTTTAAGCTACCTGACACTGCACTTCCAGAGAAAGTGAATATTTGGGGTGGAGCAGAAAAGAAAAAAATTGTCTTAGAATTCGAAGGGTGAGCTCTTAAGGGAAGCTTCAGCGTTAACCGCTGTGCCCAAGTTCACTTAAAGGCATTGAGTCATGATAAAATGGATTGGGTATACCTAAGTGCCAAAATCCGCTGAGTCATGATTTCCTGCCGCAGGCAAAGAAGGCATTGAGCCATTGATTGAGATGAAAACCATGACTCAGCTGATTTTGGGACTTAGGGTATACCCAATCCATTTGATCATGACTCAATGCCTTTAAAATGTTTGAAGGTACGAGGAAGGGCCATTATTTAGGCATTTATCGGTGATAACGATAATTCCGCACTTTTTCTGAAAGAACATGTGCGAAACTGTGGGTACCATTTGAAGAAACATGCAGAATTATGGGTACCATTTTTGAAACAATTTGCAAAATCATTAGGAGGGAGATTTAGCATTAACAAAATGAATGTCCAGTTAGAAAAAAAGTATGAAATTTGTGCAATATTGAGATTTGGGGGCAAAGGACATACAAAATTTGTTTGATGATTTTTTGTGCTATAAAAATTTTATTTGCTCTGTAGAATTATGGGTATAGTTTTCATGTTTGCGGAATTATGGGTCACATTTTCCGGCCATTTGCGGAATTATGGGTCCAAAATTTTAACCAAAATGGCTCGTCCCCGTCCAAAATTAGGCTTAGTTTATCCCCCCCCCCACGAGTTTCTGTGTTATTTACAAAAGGGCACTTCTCTACCTGGTTCTAGCTAAAAGTTCTGTTTCGGAAAACAACTTAATCGGCAATACGAGGGCCCTTAACCCTACCAGTCCTGGTAACTCTCAATTGTTTAAACAATAGACTATCGTCCTGCTCCTAATGTAAATCAAGAATTGCTCCCCTCCTCCAGAAATTTCCTTTCAGAAAGGCTATGAGTAATGGAGGTATTTCTCTACTAAAACCGTCAGCTTCAATGCATAGGTTTTGATGACCGTAAAGGCAATGAAAGGTAGTTAACAATGATCAGATATCATTAGGTGTTGAATATTTACTTACATATTGATTTGGACCTTTTTGCCTTTTTTGTGCCAAACTGATTTGCTGCTCATCATAGCATTACACGTCTCCAAATCTTGATTAAGAGCGCATAAATACTCATCATTCGCATAGGATTTGGATCGGTTACTTCTAGCTTGCTGCTCGATGACCTGTCTTGCCGCTTCAAAATCATCTAGAAACATAAGACAACATTTTGTGACAAGGTAAGAGAAGGCGTTCAGGGCCAATTAAGTCACAGAGAAACTGACAATTAAGTCACAGAGATTTGGGTTTCAAAATCGAGTGAATCGTTACATACCTCGATCAGCCATTTCAGTAGCTGTATTGATAGCGTTAGTTGTCTGAATTCTGTCTCTTTGTTTGTTAACGACAACACTTCCCTTTTCAGCACTATTTTCTTCAATATCTGCAAAGTCAAAGTAGATTTAAAAGAAATCAGTAGAATTCAGTAAAATATGTATAATACCGTATTCAAATATTCATGCAATGCTACCATTTTCACATAATATTACCTAACCTTTAAAGGTCATATGAAACGAAATTTTTTATTGGACATTTTACGCAATTTGATGGCGAAAATCTTGGTTAAATTTTCGAAAGCCGAGAATTTCAACTTTAAAACTCAATTTTGGAGACCAAAAGTGATACCGGGGTCTGGGACGAGAAGACAGGAAGTGACGCAATAGGTTTGACATGTTCTTGGCCTTGAAGCCGTAGTAAACATAAACATTAAGCAACTGCAGAGGAGACGTATGGTAATGTTGATTTGGATCAGTCTTCGAATGAATTAAATGAGTGAGGGAGCATTGGCTGAATTTGGTGGCCTTTCTAGCTTTACTAGCACAGAACACCGGTATCCTCCGAAGAAGAATCATTAATCCTCGTCGAACGATGAGAGGGAGAGGACTAGGACCATCCTGGGCACAGAATACTTTTTCTCTTCTGTGTCCTGGGAATGAAGATTGCATTTGATCAACACAGCTTGGAGTTTGGTTTGAGAGACATATTGCCTTGAATCAAAGGTAAACTAAATTCTTTATTTTTCCATTATCTTTACAATTTATAGTATTTCAAGGCAGAAACTTTCACAGACACGAGCCTGGCCTACTGGCCTAAGCAAACGGGAGACTAGCCTGATAAACAGACCTTACTGTGTGTAAGCTTTCACTAGATTGGCGAACTCTATTTCATTAAATTGGTGGGAAAAGGGAAAGACTGAATCGTGATCATATTTTTCTATCACAGGTGCTCGTGTACAAAGTGCTCAACATAATCGCTTATCAGACAAGGAAGTACTGCTGCAGCCGAGAAATAAACGAGACGTAGGACACACTCACATCTGATGGTTTAACAAACAGGCATGAATAACGGTGTAACAGAATAAAACCCCTTCAAGAATCTTGTTTACAAAGAAGTTCTCCTCCTTGCCGGCTCATATTTCAAGGACAAGACTCAAAGGCAGTACGAAGTAAGAACTGCTCTCACTTGTGGAATAAAATCAACACTTGCTTTTGAATCAGGAAGTGTTGTCACAAGGAACTGAACGAACATCGAGCATTTCCCCAGGGCCACCGAAAGCAAGGCCGGGCCCAGCTCAATGCTTGGAATCCTACCTAAAATGTATTTGATATGAACTTGAAATACATAGAATTTTTTTATGTACTTGAGATTGATATTCCTAAAGCCTTTTTTCAAATTTTCTCAATGCAAATTACCATGTCATAACTACAATTTGATTATCCTTACAAAATAATTTTGCTGCACAATGAGCATATAGTTTTCTAGAACAATCTTGTTCTACGTACTTTTGCAAAGTTCCATGACTGATTTATGGGAAAACCCTTCAAATTCCTTGGACTTCCTTGTGTTTTGTAACTGATTTTTGAAAAAAAATACTCAAAGCCCTGGGAACAAGTACCCTCGTCTAAAAATAGCTCAAGGGGTACTTGACAGTTGGGGGCAGTATCCCATCTTCAGCGATCAAGTAATGTACTTGCAGCACGATTCTTGCTTTGTGTTTTGAAACTGATTTTTGGAATAAAATCCTCAAAAGCCTGGAATCGAGTACCCCAGTCTAAAAATAGCACAAGGGGTAAATTGCCAACTGGGTTCCGCATCCTATCGTTTCAGCGTATCAAACTATGTATTTTCACAAAGTTTCTTGCTTTTATCGCAATCTTAAACTGATTTATGGAAAAACTTCTTCAAAGGCCTGGAATCGAGTACCCCAGTCTAAAAATAGCACAAGGGGGCATTGGCCAGATAAGATATACATCCTATTTTTTTCAGCGTATCAAACTATGTACTTTCACAAAGTTTCATACTTTTATCGCGATCTTCAACTGATTTATGGAAAAACCCCTTCAAAGGCCTGGAATCGAGTACCCCAGTCTAAAAATAGCACAAGGGGGCATTTGCCAGACAAGATATGCATCCTCTCTTTTTCAGCGTGTCAAACTCTGTATTCTGACAAAGTTTCGTGCTTTTATCTTGTTTTGCAAGATTTTTTTATCAACATCACTGACAAAGGTTCCAATGGCTATCGAAGGGACGTGTCAAACCTATTACGTCACAGCGTCGATCTGACCGCGTTCGAGTGGCATCGCTTTTGAAGGTCACTTTTTCGGGCTTTCAAGCGCCATATCTAGAAAAGTTCAAGTCGTAGAAAAAAACGGGAAACGGCGTCTTAACAAGCGAAAAAAGCTCTACCAAATATGTGAAAATCGTTTTTCGGTTCATATGACCTTTAAGTTACCAAGCCTAACAAAGGATAGCATATCGATTAGGGTTTGGAGCCCTTACTTGTTCTTAGCACACCAAGGGAGGTGCTGGTGTTAGCCAATTTCTCCAGTAGAACATTGTAATAATTGACTTCTACATCAATTAAAGGCTGCGGCGTCGTTTCCAGGGAGGAGGGAAGGGCGTTGGCAGTCAGCAACAAGACAACATCGCGCTCTTCCTCTGACTGCAAGTCACCGAGGTCCACCTTCAAACTGAAAAACGTTTCATTCATAAAGGATTACACTCTAGAAGTTGTTATAACAATGAATAATAGGATCAATTTCTCCAATTGGAAGAGTTTTAAATTAATAAAGGAAGACGTACCAATTTTGAGAAGCGTTAACAGTTGAAGAAATGCAAGAAATGGAAAAGTCTAACCACTTGAAAGAATGAAAAACGGAAGAATGTTAGATCTATCACCTCCTGGAAGAATTTACAATGGGAGAAATAAAAACATTTCTCTTCATAGAGAACTTGCAAGGAATAAATGAAAGACGGTTTACGTCTTGGAAGAAGTGAAAATTGAATACCTCCGACCTTTAGGAAGAAGGAAAAGTGGAAGAGTGTTAGACCCATCACCTCCTGGAAGAATTTACAATGGGAGAAATTGAAGTCTAAAAGATTAAAGAGACCTCACCTTTTTGCGTCTGGTGCTAAATCATAAGACCTGTTCACATGAATCTCCTTGATTTTAACGCCATCTTGTGCAGACAGATTCAGCTGTATCCCTTGCCCTACGGTACTCAATAATCCTCCAAGACAGTGACCAAAAGATTCTGAAATCTAAAATGTTTTGGAAAAGTCTAATTTCTACATAACAAAGTATGCTCGATGTGTTTTTTTTGGAATAGAGGGACTCTAAATTTTCTGGTACTTTTAGTCATACCTTCTAGATATTTTGTCAGAAATGATATTTTCGCAGGTTTTTTAAAGCTACACCTTACCATTGCACCCCAGGATGTCTGAGATACAGCACCATTGAAAACACTCCTCTCGCCCTTTCATAGGCCTGCCCTATTTCCTTCTGCCCTATTTCATTCACCTGGGAAATTGCAATAAATTTATATTTATGCTATTCAACTTTCTGTCTGCAGTGTCTCCATCCATCTATTTTCCTACTGTTTTGCCTCAAACTTAATATTGGAACTCTGTCTCTGCATTATTTCATAAACAGAAAAAACATCCAGACAAGAAGAAGCATTTATCTTAAATAGATAAAATTTTATGTCTTCAAAACACAACTCAATGTCATCGGAATGAAATTCATATTTAGGGGGCTGCCCATTGTATTCCTTCTCATTCAGTACACTGCTATAAGGGAAATATATGACAGTTTGACAATTATTAGGGGGGTTTCAGCTCCATAACTGCATAAATTTTCAAATCTGGGACAAAATTTGCAAATCTGGTGATAGGCATAAAATTCCCGGACTTCAATATCATAAAAAGATATAATTTATGACCAATATTGCAATTTTTCATAAACAAATTTGGCTGAAAAAGTCCGAGCAAATCACTCTATGGAAGAAATCAGTGAATCCTTAGAAAACATTTTGTTTTGTTTTTGTGGGAATCTATTAATTTCTTTACAAAAGTGAATTGCTCCTCGATAATACGATAAGTATTTTAGTCCAAGTAATTTATGTTGCTAAACGGTTTGTTCCACTTCTCCCTTTTACCCACAGCTCAAGTTTGTGAATTATCCAACATAACAATGATTTTTCAAAAAATCTGTCAAATTTTGAAACAACGGTACCCCCCTGCCCATGGGGCCACAATGCCCTTGAACTGGTGTGTGTTAGTCATATTCACCTTGTCTTCGTTCTCCACAAAATAGTACATGCCACTGCCTGCATCGCTAATAGCTTTGAGCATGGCTGGGTCATGATCATTTCCAAAGCCAAATGTGTAAACACTGCATGGCAAAGTAGCTTCTTTTTTTTCTTCCTCCTTTTCTTCTTCCTTTGCTGATGACTGCTCAACATGCTTGATTAAAATTAATGATAGCTTTATTGACTTGTTCATTCAATCAATTAAGAAAAAATTACAAAAAAAGGAAACACAACTTGTGTTAGGTTGTCAAACTGGATTCCTGGAAAAAATAAATTTTATAAGGAAGTGAATCAAAACCCCCAGCTCTGGTTTCAGAATGCAGGCATTCAATTGAAAATCTTGGGCACAGCTGTTGCAGTTACAGACCCAATATATAGAGTTGGAAGGCACAAGACGTAAACAGATGGAAAATGAAATGCAAAATATCTAAACCGCGTGTGAAGTATTGTGGATCTCTTGAGAACCACAAAAAGAAGGCAAACATAAGGCAATTGCAAGGAAAATGCTGATTGGTCCTGATTGGCTTTGATTGGCCCTGATTGGCTGAAAGACCCCAAGCTGACTTTTTTTAGGATTGTATGTAATCAAAACTGATTATGTTTCTTCTAATTTTTCCTTCTCCGCAATATGTAGATTTCTCCTTGGAATATGGATCACATTGAAGTAATTTGTTTATAAAACTAGCATTAGCAGCTAAAATTGAAACTTTTTGGACAAAGCTCTAATCTCAAAAAGATAATGTAAACAAGAAGACTAAAAAGGCTGCAACCAATCATTAAACGGCTGATTGCTCCTTGGCTGTCAATGGAACATTTTATGCTTCACTAAAGGCTGCTACAATACGATCTTGAAAAGGGTTTCAAGCAACTTAATTGGGTAGATAACAAACATGCAAGAGCAATGGTAGATACCTCAGTTGGTTCTTTACTTTTTGTAAGATGAAGCCTCTGAAGCCATGATTGGTGCCTGGGGGCTTGACTTGCACTATTGCTTCTTGATGGTGAGCTAAACATATTTGGGTTTCTCATTGCAGCAATAATGCCTTGAGCACTGGTGATTCCTGTAAAGAAAAGACAAATTGAAAAGGATTCATGAATATTTATATTCAATTATGACTGTCATAAATTATAAAAATGATTGTGTGAATTTCCTTGATAAATGTCTGCAAAAAAACAACAAAATTTGCAGTTAAAATTATCTAGAAACCGGCATCACATAAAGTCAACTCTGCTCAAAGTCAGTCATACTATCTTTTTCAGATGCAAATATGCAGAACTATTCAAATTACAGTCACACTCTGCATATTACCACAGACTTTCAATCAACAATTTGCGTGACGTGTCAATGTATGTATTAACGGAGATTAATTGGGTTGTATTAGACATTTGGGTCAAAATGTTTTGTGACTGTAAATTGCAGAGTGCCTTTCAAGTGGAATGACTCTAAGCGAAGTGGATTGTATCAGAAAAAAGCTTGGAGCCTCAGAAATTGTGCCTTATGTGGTCAGTGAGCAGTGAAACATCAGCTGGGAATATGAAATTTGACCAGCACTTATGCTGTAGTTGGTGATGCAGGCAAATAAATGCTCTTTATTTTCTTATTATATATTTTCAAATTTCCCATTGGCTCGAGGCAAAGGCTAATTCCCATAACAACCTTGTTGCATACTCACCATGATTGGCCAGTCCATCTGTGAAAAGTAGAACGGAGGCCAATTCGTTTTTGTCCTTCTGTCTTTCGGCCATTTGTTCAAGTCCTTTTAGAAGTCCACCTGACAGGTTTGTGGAGTTTCCTGAAGAGATATTTCGGATTTTCTCTAAACAGGAAGTTTTGTTGTCTTTGGTCATTTTCATCAGTTTAAAATCAAGGGTGACATTAGTGTCATATGTGACTATGGAAAGCCTGTCGTCACTTTTCACTAAATAAAAAAGAAGAATTTCTTGTAAATAAAGATATTTTTGGGAAATATTGACAATCAAGATAATTTTTGTAGAATTATTTATGCCAGATTTTAATTTGACTTAATTGAGCTTGAGAAAATGAATGCATACTGATTTTATAAGATCAGAATACGTAGATCCTTGTTTATGATCAAATAGATCAAAAGCAGCAAGCTTAACCAGTAAAAATCAAAAAGTAATCAGGTGAGTACATAAAAGAACTAGAAAAAATGATTTAGGAAAATACATTTAATGATGCATTGTAAATAATTGAAAAGTTAATTGTTTCCTAAACCTAATTTCTAATTTCAAAAGAAAACCTTATTTTATTTTGTATATTTATACCGTGGTAGCAGGAATATTCTTCATTATAGTCTGTCTGATGAGTGCGCAAGCACAAAACTCGGAGTAACAGAGAACATGTCTCATTTCTAGTCTATATTCTATTTTATTATATCTATTGCTCTGTGCTTTTGCACATCAAGCTTTGTCACATCAGAATAGACAACGCAATCTGGAATAATTGAAAAGTTATACATATTTAAGCCTATAAAGAATAGATTTGTAACATACATTGGCCAACCACGAATTCCATAGTTGTTTTGACAAGCTGAAGCTTAGTGCCACTCATTGATCCAGATTTGTCAATGACAGCAACAATATCAATTGGTGCTCTGGATTCTTCCAGTTCATGGCATGGAGCCTTAACTGTCACTAATGTCCATATGTCAACCTCCTTGTTGTATGGGTATTCTTTGAATTCTGCTTCACAACTGATGGAAAGTTCCTTCGCTACAAAAATATGTGTAAAAACAAACAATTAGTGAACAAAACTATTAAATATGAGATTTTGCATTACAAAACTCAAGTTAATAAAAACGAAGCCTTGAAAGGGGTAAACTTGTTTATTCACGATCAAAACTTTTATTGCTCGATAAGGGGGCTCATGGCCCTCCAGCAGCTCTAATAATTTGATGTTTACAATGAAAAGTCCTTCTTCTTTATATTCTTTCTTCAACAAATTGTGCTCTTCAAACAGTGTGGGGGAGGGGTGGGTTTGGCTCAATAACGTTGTCAAGAGAGAGACTGTTGGAGGTTCTTGGAGGCTACTTGAACCTTGGCTAGACTAAAAACCCACCCAAATCACAAATCAGTACAATATTTCCGACAGAGAGTTGTCATTTGCCAAAGTAACAGCATTCAAAAATAAAAAATAGTCAATAGTTCTAATAAAGATTTCATTTCCTAAAGGTTTTGTTCATATTAGCACCACTTATAGGCATATAGAATCATAGTTCTTGACATAAAGAAAAGTCATCTTTATTCATAGGACAGAATTCCTGCATGGAATGCGGAATCAAGCCCGAGCTAGAGCTTGGCCTAAAATTACCGTAAAATGTGTGGGCAAACGGAGAGGATGCGATCAGATCTTGATTATGATGATTCATCAAAGCAACAAGTAAATAAACAAAAAAAATGTTAAACCTGGGACATCAAGGTCGGCTCCAGCCATGATTTATCCTTTGTAGTTTTTTCTGTCTTTCTGCAAAAAACGCCCCAGTGTTTTGTACCAGGATCTGGTTGAACAAGAGGTTGAACACGGAATTAACAATTACGTCACTCCTATGTACGTGCCGTGAGCGTATTATCATCACGTGACCGTGACTATGGCAACTTTGGAACAGGAAACTGGGAATAGAGATTTCTAGGGAGAGAATCCGGAGATGGGCACCATATGCATACATACACAGAAGAATGTCTTGTTCTTGCTTCTTCCATATAAGACCTATGTTTTTGCAAAAGCTTGAGTAAAAATCTATAGTTGTCTTTTCTGAAAATTAGATGACTTGAGGTGGTTGTTGAGATTTAAGAGGGAAATAAGCCTTCGTGGGATCTCTTCGATATCTAAATTGAGCTAAAACACTATTTTCCCATGTTTTCTGCATGCAGGCCTGAATTACTCTGACGATGCCGCACATCCTTGGGCGAAATACTTGTTCATGGGCTCCGACACAGTTTGGGAACAAATTTTTTAAAAACTAAATTGTAGTTTAGTAAATGTTAATAGTGTTTAACTCCATTAAAAATTAGAAAAATATAGAAAAATATTTTTGCTGTCAGTCTTAAATAAAGAAAAAACCTTTTTACAAGATGATAATAAATTTCAAAATACTGACTCATCATCAGAACGAGGATCGTACGCTTATTTCATGCCTTAATATAAGAAACACGCTGATGAAGTAAACAATTATTTGATTCAACTTTGTTTCTTGTTATTTTTACTTTCCTTTTGCATTCTCAATGATTCTGCAACCATGGAGTAAGGAAAAAAGAGCAATGCCAAGAATAGTCGAATCTCGTACGATGAAAAAATACGATAAGACACTTTTCCAACACGACCTACAGCAAATAGATTGGGAAACCATCATTGCCCCTTGGCTTATGACACATCCACCATGATCTACACATTCCAGGCGATTTTCGAATCGCTCTTGAATGTACATGCCCCAATACACCAATTCGACTTACGACCTCGTTTCGGAAATTTCTCCAAACTTGGTTATACGACTTTTCTAAGCTCAGATTTGGTTTTATCGTCATAATTTTAGGCGGGATACCGTTTTTCATATTGTTTTAACTTGTATTTTAGATTTTACAGAGAAATGAAGTTTGAAAACCTGTAAGGGATTTGACCGCAAAAATCGTTTAGGGGGGAAACTTTACCCCCCTAGTTGCCAACCACGGTCAAATCCTTTATAAAATTTTCATCTTTATGTCGTCATAAAATCAATATCGTGAGCAATATCATAATGAAAACTTACAAGTAGACTAAAATCATTGCTCTCAATCAGAATCTGAGGTCAAAAATTTTGTACAAAAGAATTCAAAGAATTTTTCAAAATGAGGCCGTAAGTCGAATTGGTGTATTAAAAAAGAAGAGTAAGTTCAGAATTGGCTCCTTGGCTAACTCCAGATCTTAGTGTTAGAGACCTCGCCCCAGGTCCCTAGGAAGAGAGAACACGTGTCGTAGAGAGTTGTTGGTAGGAGGAGGAAGAAGGGGAGGGCGTAGATTTTGAGGTCAGTAGCAAAGTAATATGTAATTAGCTTGTATCTTATTCTTATGAATAATTAAATCAAAAGCTGGAAAATTTTCTGTCCAAATTCTAACACGTCGAACGCAAGGTTCACAACACTTAGAAAATCGATAGCGACTAGGGACAGACTGAAAGAAATAGCAGCAAAAGCAAGTCTCCTGAAATGTGGTCAGCTTATACTAGGCAACGGAATATAGTAACCAAAGAAGTTAGGCACTCTATTCGGGATTGTTACGAAGGTTTGATTGAGAAAAACGAAGGGGATCCCAAGAAAATGTGGAAAACGATCAACAGGGTCTTGGATAGAGATAATGAATCCACAGCAGTCTCCAGTATCGAAAAAGATGGCAAAATGTTGACAAAACAACCTGATGTGCTTGAATTGTTCAATTTTCAATCTCGGTTGGACCAAAGCTCGCAAGTAGCATAGGAACGAGACCAAATGACACACGAGTTAACAACTGTAACAACGAAATGCAGTTCAAAACAGTCGATAAAACGTATGTGTTGGATGCTATCGAACAACTAAAGAACGAAAATGCGCCCGGTCCTGACAAAATCACCGTGACTTTGGTGAAAGATGAGTGGGAATTTATTGCTCACCCCCTTCGGTTGATTCATACCTCATCACTCGTGAATGGTGTTTTTCCCTGACCTTTGGAAATTGGCAAAAGTCACCCCAATTTATAAATCTTGATCAAAAACTGATCTAAATAACTACAATTTTTCTCGAACTTAAGAAAGCTTTCGATACGGTCGATCTTGATGTATTACTAAAAACATCGTGTGCATACGGGATAAGAAGCAAAGCTGGTAATTGGTTTGAATCCTACGTAAAAAATAGGAAGCAATTTTTCTCTCTGAATGGTCAGCATTCAAAAGCCAAACATGTAACCCGTGGTATTCCCCAAGGTTCTTGTTTGGGCCCTCTTCTATTCGTCATTTTCCTGAATGACTTGGACAAGTGTCTTAAATTCCCCAGGGCTAACATCTATGCTGACGATACCAATACAACGATTGCATCGGATGATATAGCGAAAGTAGTTAAAGACACACATCATGAGCTTTCGAATCCCTCTGAGTGGATGAGGGTGAATAAACTTAGCCCTATTTCCCAACAAACAGGATTCATGATAATGAGGCACCCACTTAAAACTAAAAATCTTGACCAGCCAGATGTGCTGAAACTGAATAACTGTGACACAAAAAGAGTAGATAAGGCAAAATCATTTGGAGTGATAACTGATGAGAACTAAATTGGTATGAACAGTTTAGGCGAACCAAAGGCAAAGACAAATGAGTAGAGGTCTTGCAGCTCTAAAATAATTGAAACATGTCTATAAGGGGTGTTCGAAATATAAAATAATTTCGATTTTTGGAGAAAAAATATAAATATTTAGGTTCTTTAGCTTTGAAATATAAAAATATAATGATTCCCAGAATGAAATATCAAAGTAGCGACATAACTGAGTGTTTCATTAAATTCTATGTGAGAATTATTAATTTGATCGCAGAACACAATTGAGCTGTTTAGATATTTGTCGATCTCAAAACTCCTAGAAATGACGAGAAAAACAATTTTCCTTTCCCTAAACTTGGAGAAGTAGTGACATTCATGACCAGCGAAACGTATTTGAAATTGGAGGGGCCAAAATTTTAAGATAGTTGAAGTTTTAAGGCCATCCCCATGGTTGGCGGCAAAATAAATTATGAAAATACATACTCTAGGGATGCCAGAAACATTATCTAAGATAGATTCAGTGGCGTAACGTACGGCGTGCACCTTTAGGCACAAAACTAAAGGCCCACAAACATTTGCCCCCCCCCCCGAATTGTTACTTCACCACAGGTCAGCTATTGACGATTAAACCAGAAAAGGAAAAGAGAACAACTAACAGATTTAAATGCATTGCAAACTTTATATGCATGAAAATATACACAAAGTATGACAACTATAGAAGGAAAATTTCTGTTTTGTTAACACAAGAGAAAATGTGTCAATTCAAAATCCAACCAATGAGTCATAAATTTCAAAAAACATTCTTTCTTATCGATGCTATAAATATTTTTTATGTATTTTCTGCCCATTATTAGAATGTCATACATCAAACTTTTTCTCGCTGCTAACCACGGTGGTGGCTTTTACTAAATCCCTGAGCGATAAATAGCATTTTTCCCTCTCACTTGCAATCAAGTTTCCCCCGGCCCTTTCCATGTTTTCTATCTTCTGATGTCAGCTCCCCCTCAAACACAATCAATGTTCCTGGCCTCTCAACCAATGATCGGAATAAACATCAACTCTCGCCATGTTCAAATTGCAATTATTACATGAATAGAACAACTTAGAAATTTCATAGAACCCCTCCCTTTTAAAATTTTACGACGACATCCCTGCTAGTAATGTATGCAAACTTTTTGTCGGTTTATTAAGTGTCTTTGCCACCCCACCTCCCCCCAGAAAAAATGCTCAATTTCCGCCACTGTCACAACCATTTGCATTCATAGGAATTTTAAGTAGAAGAAAATGATATCTATTCTAAATATTTCCTGAGGATGCCAGTCAATTTAAGGCTGTTGCAAATTGACCAAAAAGATTATCAAAGCATTGGCTAACATGGGATACAGTAAAGACCCGCATGTAAGAACCTAGGAATTTAAGAACCTTCTTTGTATTTTCAATACTCCAAAATATAAAAACCTGTTTAACCAAACAATTAACAGGTTCTTATATGTGGGGTTTAACCATTTAATTCATAGACTGTTTTTACCAAATTCCAAAAAGGTCAAAATAAATTGAATAAACTCAATACTCGAAAATGATAAGTTGAAAAAAACTTGAAATGCACAATGGTAAATTTGAGCTGTAATTTCATATACAAAACTGTATCACTGATCAATTATTGATGGGCTTTTGGCAACACTGGTAAACTGATATTTATTTAGAATGAAGCACAGACCAGATTTAATGTTATTTTATGATAATTAAAAACAGTATATACTCTGTAGAAATTAAGAACCTAACTGAAAACTTATTTAGCCTTAACTGTCAATAAGTACGCTATAATACTAGAACCTGTTTTTGCAAAACTCTGAAAAAAGTCGGTTCTTACATGCGAGTTTTTACCGTATATGGCAGTGTTTCAAGCCAAAGTAGAGAGAGTGTCTTTTAAGTGTTTTCAGACCCCCACCAAGCTATTCATAGATAGAGCGAGTAGCAAGTTAAGTTCAGTTAAGTATACTTCAGTTAAGTTGGTATCAAAGAATTAATAAACCCAATTCCTTAATTCGAAAGCAGGATGGGCCTCTTGATAATTTTGAAATATTTTATAAGTTAATTTTGAAATATGAAATATTGGCAAGATTTCGTTATTAAATATGAAACAATGTCAACCCCCTTTGTAGGGCCTTCATAATCCCAACTGTGTAATGTTTACCATGCACTAATTGAGAGTCATCTTCGTTAGAACGTTAGATATGCGTTAGAACCACTCATCTATAAAAAAGACTGGATCGAG